CGTGACTACTGGTGGCCAAGACTACGCCAGGATGTAGAAGCCTACGTAAAAGGTTGCGATGTTTGCCAACGAACCAAGGCTGATCGCTGACCAAAAAGGGCCCCTCTTCACCCCAACGAGGTCCCTTTACGACCGTGGACTCACATTTCGGTTGACATGATCACCAAACTCCCAAGCTCTAAAGGATTTGACTCGATCCTGGTAATCATGGACCGCTTCTCCAAGGCTATCATTCCCATTCCCTGTACGGAAGAGCTCACGTCCCTTGGATTCGCTAAAATCCTAAGGGACTACGTCTATGTACCGTATGGCGTGATGCCCGAGAAAGTGATTTCTGATCGAGGATCGGTATTCGTTTCCAAATTCATGAAGGAGTTCTACCGACTCCTCCAGGTGGAGGGAAATCCCTCGACGGCCTACCATCCTCAGACTGACGGACAAACAGAAAGGGTCAATCAAGAGATCGAAAAGTACCTCAGGATGTTCATGAACGACCGACAAGATGATTGGAGCAAGTGGTTACCCTTGGCTGTGTTTACACATAACAATCGGCAACATTCAGCAACCGGGTACTCGCCCTACAAAGTCATTTTTGGGAGAGATGGGGAGGTTATTAAGAAGCCCCAGCGAACGGTCGTGGTTCCAGCGGCAGGAAAAATGGTGGAAGAAATAGAAAAAGCACAGAGCAAGGCGAGGAAGTCATTGGAAAAGGCGGCAGAATCAATGAAGAAGGCCTACAACAGACACAAGGAAGCCGCAGTTAAATACCACGTGGGAGATAAGGTCTGGCTCGACACGACCAACCTTAACCTCCCCCGCCCTACGAAGAAGCTCGGTGACCGACGAATAGGCCCCTTCACTATTGTCGCCAAAAAGGGAGCCTCGGCCTATGAATTGAAACTACCAATGGGCTGGAAAATTCACAATCGCTTCAATGAATCTTTACTGACCCCCTACGTCGTCCCTTCATTTCCTGATCAACCGCACCCGGAGCGACCACCTCCAGAATTGATCGATGATGAAGAAGAATACGAAATCGAGAAAATCATTGAACAGCGGGATAAGGTCGTCGGCCGAGGACGAACTCGACATGCGATAACGGAGTACTTAGTGAAGTGGAAGGGCTACCCAATGGAGGAGAATTCCTGGGTAAAACGATCGAACATGGCCAATGCAGAAGAATTGGTCAATGAATACGAAACGCGTATCCAGAGAATTCAATGGAAAGTCGACAAACATGGAAAGACAGTCGGGGTGGACAACAAAATACCCGCTTATGCTAAAACCCCATACCACGAACCGAGTACCCCATGCCTGTCGGATATCGAGACTGTCTACTCCTCGGAATGCACGAATCCGAGACATTCCGCTTCACAATCGTCAATCGCGGTACGAGAAGTTACAACAGAAGAAGCAGACGGAATACCCCTCATGGAAGAAACACCGGACAATGAGGACTCTAAGCTCGATCTCGAAAACCTACAACGAGTCCATGAAAATTGGGACTTCGACTCCGAAGATGAGGATGAGGACATTCTATCCTTTTACAGTCAATCCGCACAAAGTAGAGAGGACAGCGAGGACTCATTCGGGACGAACAAGTCTTGAGGGGGGGGTAATGTTATGATTTATTCTTTTCTTTTCCTTTTCTTACGTATTCATGCTTACTCTACGATGCGATTCCCATCGGACATTCCCACAGTACTATTTTTAGTGTACTCAACATGTATTTAAGTAGAGCCTCAGCTGGTCTAAACCCCAGCTTCGGCTAAGGTTTAATCTACCTAATTCAAAGCTCACGACTTCGCGAACTATCTAAGTTCGTCTCTGACTCCCTTTCATCGCCTTTGACCTCTAAGAGTATCGTCCACCGAAGTGCGAGTGGCGATCCTTAGTTGATCTAAGTTGATAAGAGTTAGTGGCTAACATTCGGAAATGACTCGAATTCAGTAGTGAACTAAGGTAAATTTTCGTTCCTTAGTGTTCATGTCTCCAACAGTCTCAATGACCACAGGATTTATTGTCTGATCTCTGTCCTGTCCTTTAATTAGAATCAGTCACTGTGGAAGCTGGGTATATGAATCAGCGAGCGTGCCTCCTTGGAGTTGTATACTTCCTTTTGCTATGGAGGGACGTGCGCCTGACCTTTCCCAAGATGACATAGCTATTATCTTCAGCACGCTTGACCTTAATCTGAACACTACGATTCTGCGAGCCTTGTTGCACGGTGAGTCCATCCCTCCATTTCATAGATTCTCTTTTAAATCTTCGCCTCGCAGGTCTGTATACCGGAATCGTTGCGGTTACTTTATGGACTATGTGTACGTTGATTTTCTTGACCAGACTAGGGCCTTCGCTGAACTCATAGCTCAGTCTCTTCTCCTAAGCGCTTACACGGCACATTCCTGCGTACAGTCATCATCACCCTTTATCTTCTTGCGACGATGGCGTTCGTAATGGACTGGGCGTTTATACGTCACGCGTTCATTGCATATGGTGACAATTATATCAAGGTATTCGGGGCGATAGTGGATGACGGCCTGTGGTGGAGACTAGACTACTTCGTCGCCGGTATCACTGGTGGTATCAGCACTCTTTTAGTCGATACCACAATTGTAGGTTATCTTGTACAGTATGGTCGATCAAGAATAACCAACTTGTTGCAGATATGGCGCTGCTGGGTGCTCTGGGATCGTCAGTGGCGAATTTTTTCGCTGCCAATTGTTTGTACTGTAGCTGGAACAGGTGAGTCTTTTTATTGGCTACAGATATATCTGTCCCTCAGTATCTCAGTCATGAAGGTCATGCAAATACTTAGTGATTTGCTCAATTCTTCCAATGGTTTTAGCGAGGCTGGAGGTTTTGCAGCAAAAACTGACTGGTCACTGATTTACATCTTGATGACGCTCGTCACAACTCTCTTTTGCACACTCTTGATTGTGTATCGGATTATCCGCTTTGCGCATAGGTTATTACTCTTCCGAAGCATCATTTATGCTCTGACCGAGTCCTGTGTCATCTATTCACTGGCGCTGATCGTGTACCTGGCACTTGTGGGGAAGAACATGGCAGCCGCCTATTACGTGGACATTGTTGCAGCATATGTTAAGGTCAAGAGATCTCTGGATTGCCTTCCTTTCAGCAGCTGAATCTGAACGTTTTTCCATCATATAACAGGTCATTGCACCGACACTTTTGGTACTACATGTAGCAGTCAGCTCGAAGCCCAGTGCTAGTAATGAGGAGACATCCAGGTCCAGAGACCTAACGGAGATTTGCTTTAGGCGGATGGATGAAAACAGCTGTGATGATGTTGGTGACGCGAGTGTCCCTGGATCTCACAGAGCATACACAGCTGAAAGTGTATGAATTCACATTCATCGTCACGGAGATGTTTCACTCTGAGATAATTACCTATCAAACATATACCTTATAGGACACTGCGTAGCACCAGTTATAATTAGATCTGTACAGGACAAGATATAATTTATATCCACAAAACTGTTTTTCGCCCAATTTTAGTTGTTTGGGTCTTCATTCCGATTAACACTGCCTTAGGACTTCAGCAATATCTCTCATAAGAGTTGTGTGAAGTTGAGAAAATAGATGGCCACACAATGAAGCTAATGTAGGGAAACTAGTCCTTCATTCAGAATCCGCATTTGTATCAAAATAAGAAGAGACCATGACTAGCTAAGTGTCGTATTGTATTTGGGTCTTTTTTTAGCCAACAAAGACAGACATGGTCTGAGAAATATCTAAACTCACGATGAAAGCTCGCTTGAATCCTATTTATAAGTAGGCATCTAAAGGAAGGATATACACAGGCTAGAATATATATTAGGGACATGATATGTCATCCTGTAGCCATCTGACAGATCAGTTAATTAACGGGGCATCTTGATTCGCACAGAATCATCTGCCGAATCCCAGGTAAAATCTCTATTGGTAATGGTGCCGACACGGAAATCATACAGCTTCCTTGCCTGACAATCCCGACAGCACAACTCTGAAGACATAAATGAAAAAAGGAAGTACAGATGGGAGGGGGGAAAACATTAGAAAACATATCATTGGGCAGGTCGCAGCAGCCGTAGAGACCAAAAAAAGATCAACAGATCGGAGTGAGGGAAAACATTAGAAAGAATCCAAGAAAGCATATTTGTGGTAGGGAATGACACAGCGACACGCAAGTGATCATCCAATAATAGTACTCACTCCGGATGATAGCAAGAGATTTGAAGTGGAGAATGACAGGACACACGATTCAACTAGGGAAGGCAGGGGCAAAGAAAACAGACTAAAAATACCATATCAAGGGATGAAATCTAAATTTATCATGCAGAGATCGGATAGGATTGCAACGGAATAATTTTGATTATCAAATGATTTGAGGAACCTATTTTGGTCCGAGGCAGCGAGCGCAAGCATGCGCCCACCCAAGGATGGTCCCGCTGTGCAATTAATTAATCAGACACCAACTACAGTTGGAGTCATTCATAGATTATGCTCTGCATTGCTGCCATAGTCTTTTAATTGATTGGAAGAGGTTTAATGCCTGGCCAGTTAAAAATCATCTTAGCTGGTAAGGCCTCTGTATCTCAATGATGTCTTACAAACCAAAGTGGCCTTCTCCTGAGGATATATCCTATTGAGGTGAGATGGTATACTGACGACTCCTTTAGCAGGGAAAACAGAAACAGCCTTGTTACTATATGGATTATTGGTAACTGTATCTGGTAATGATAGTTCATTTGATGATCCTAAAAGTTCAAACGTGTATAATTCACATATGCATCCAACCTATCTCACTGTAGTACACTAAATCCAGTTGTTTGTTCGATGATCCTGACTGCATGACAATGGGGCTCTAATAGCAGTTACGGTCTGTCACAGGTAAAAGCTGTGAGTTGACGAATAAGAGCATCTTATCAAAATGATTGCTTGGAAACCTATCAACTGGTATATGAAGTGGTAAGCCTCTTATACTACTCTCTACAATGGACCCACCCCCTGATCTTTCCCCAGATATTAAGAGTGTCATTTTCAACAAACTTGACCAGGAGCTGAACTGTGTGATTCTAAATGCCTCCTTGCATGGTGAGGTCATCCTCTATATCTGAACAGTCTTTTTTTAATTTTAACTTTTTAGGTCTATACACTGGCACCATAGTGGTCACTTTATGGACTATATGTATGTTGCTTGCCAATCATGACAGGACTAGGAGATTCATTAACACTCAATACAGTCTCTTCTCCTAAGCGCTTAAAAAGTACATTCCTGTGTACCACTATCATTATGCTCTATGTTCTCTCAACAATATCATTCACGACGAACTGGGTGTCTGGGCACCATGCATTCATTGAGTACAGCGACAATTATTTTCAAGTGTTTGCAGTGCTGCAAGGCTTTGGACCGTGGTGGAGAGTGAACTACCTTGTAGATGGTGTCATGGGAGGTGTAAGCACACTGCTCGTCGACATTGTTATTGTAGGTCATTTTGCTTAGTCTACTCGATGACAAAGATGCTGAAATGCTGTAGGTATGGCGTTGTTGGACTCTCTGGGATCACCAATGGCGAGTAGTTCTTATTCCAATGATATGCACCATCGCTGGTACAGGTGAGTCTCTGTTTGTTGTCTATAGGTGGTTATTCACCCAGTATTTCAGTGATGAAGACCATGCAGATCTTCAGTTTATTCCACAATTTCACCCATGATATCAGCAAGACCGTACACCTCGTAGCAGATGTTAACTGGTCTTTGATCTACATCTTGCTGACACTCACCACAACCCTCATGTGCACGATCTTGATTACTTACCGCATCCTTCGGAATACTCCAAGGATGACTGCTTCCCGCAACATTGTCGAGATGCTGATTGAGTCCTCGGCGATGTATTCTCTTTCCTTAATCATTTATCTTGCACTGGTTTCGAAGAATTCACAATCGGGATATTATGCGGACATGATTGCTGCTTATGTCAAAGTGAGATCGCCTCGCATTTGGTTTTTGTCGAAAATCTAAAACATCCCAAGGTTATTGCCCCAACTCTCCTAGTTGGCCGCGTTTCGGCCCACGCTAATGTGCGCTCTCGCCGACAACAGATGGTTGCTATGTTAGAGAACCATCCTCCCTTGGTCGGCTGTTTTAGGGAAGAGTGCACCGAAAATAGCCATGCATGCAATGACCCGAATGATGGTCATCAAACGGTGTCGGGAATGTCGGGCGAGGAAACTGTATGATCTCCGGGTCGGCACTGTCACCAATAGATCCACTTGAGATGCTGTAGATGGTTTCGTGTCAATCAAGATACCCCGTCAATTCACTAATGTATCGGATAGCCACCATATGATTACTACACATTGTGATCTTGATATACACTACCGTCCATGTACGACGGTTAATTTAGAAGCTTATTTATAATTGCGATTCAAGAGAGAAGAGGATCATGATGGCATGATGGAAACGTACTGGTATGTGTACTAATTCACGACCAGTGTTCCAGGTTCAAGCGATGAGGGTAATACAAGTGCAATTTCTTCAGTAACACACTCTGCATTCTCGCCAATGTTATTCTTCTCATTGAAAGTCCTATGCCATCCTGTCGCATCACGCATTCCAACGCCAAGAAGGTATCTTATCCTTTACTCGCCGTTCTCGCTGGACCAAGGTTGAAGATTCGGATGGACGCACACCCTCTCTGAAATCGCGTCGCTCATTGAGCAGATCTTTCTTCTTGTACCGCTAGGTGTCGCTTCCGCAGTTTTGCGATTTGTTTACCTAAGTTGGCGTGTGTTCGTTATGGGCCTGGGTCTTTGAGGACGCTTGCGTGCTTTAGAGTACATTATTAAATAACTCAGGCACTGGAGTATGAATACGTCATGGACCTATTATGGAACGAGGAATCTAAACTTCGATCACGCTTTCATTAATTCGCAACGGATATACCTCCATGATGATCCCTCTCTCCTCCTTTGGCTGTGTACCTCTCTACTTATGCAGAAGACCATACCCACAAGTGTACATATCCACGGCGTCAGTCACCACATGGCTAGGTGAGCGGGTATCAGCATCCGTTCACCAAAAACCGAGGAAGTGTTGGAGTTTAGGTGGTGGCAACTCGGAAAGGGTACGTGGTTGACTCGAAAGGCAGGTATATTCTGTCATGGAGTACGGAGACAGTGGATGGTTGGAGTCAAGTAAAGATAGGTACGAGATGTCAAAGTATAAAGTACCCGGTAAATAGGTATAAAAAGAAGGTGGCGTTAGAGCCTTGAAAACCAATTCTCAATAGGAAGAACGTACCTGTCGTGCAGATCCCTAGCCATTCTGTTTTACCCGTCAAAACGACTCTCACAGAAGCTCCATATAATGCGGGCTCAGGAACACTCCTTGGGGTATTGCGCGCAATCGGCGGGTTATCATCGAGCCACTTGATAGAATCATCCGACCACTGATATCTATAAATAGCGTTGCTTAATTCCCCCCAAGGCACTCGTTACGCTGATAGGCTGCCGTTAGAAGAGCAGGAGGGGAGGGGTTGGGCACATACCCTATCCCGGACAGCCCAGCGAGCAAGCATCAGCTCATTTCGTTCGTGCTCCTCTTTAACTACGTCAAGAGCATCTTTGATTCGTTGCTCATACTCCGACGTCCAGCCCCACGAATCAGTACCAGAAAACATGTCGTGGTGGAAGTAGACGTATTGTTGCTCGTCAAGTACACTGTATGCATGAACAAACATGATTGTCATACTGAATTGAAGAAAGTGGCTGGAGTACTCAGCAGCCTCAAACTTAGGTGGCATATTACAATACGCCGCTCGACGTAAATATGATTGTCCCGGATTAACGGATCGTAAATACGCAGATCATTAATATACTCCAATCCTCCTTATGGACTCTGTCAGCTCATCAATCGGGCTAGGACCTTGGGGAAAGCTTAACAGCTGTTCGAACTGCAGTCTAAACCGCTCGACAACTTCACGGTCAAGCATCCACTCATCGAACGGCTTCGTATCTAGCATGTTCCCATACTCAGCTAGTGCTGCACGAACTCGATAAGCGAGGAAAGACTCCTATGGGAGATAAAGAACATACGCTTGAGGCCTTCCTTTGGTGGAACATCGTTTCTGACGCTCCATCCCCCACTAGCTATTACGCTCTGGTAATCCACCGACAACAACCAGTTCATATAGAGCTTAGCGGCGGCCGGATGCTCGGCCGTGTTGAATATCGCCGCACGCTGAGCCCAGATGACCAGTGTGCTCGAGTCTGAGTCCGGAGGGAGCTCTTCGACAATTCCGGTACTCGCATTCGGGAATCCCGTAGCTGTGGTAAATGTCACAGCTTCGGGCCCGTCAGACAGGAGGACCGCAGGTGGAGTAGCAGTCCCCCTGACCCAGGTGATACCCTGTGCGATGAAGTCGTAGATGGCTTGCCAGCCGTGGGTTTGTTGGACTTTGTAGAACCTTCGAGGATGATTGAGATACAGACGAAGCGGAAATTAAGAGATACGTACTCGAATAAGACAGCATCGTCATCGTTGGGATATGCGCTTACGATGCGGTTCTGCCATTTCGGGTCCAGGTAGTCAAGGAATTCTTTTGGGGCATCGGACGCGTTGGTCTTGGCCGTCGCATATGTGTTGGTAAAAAGGTAGTAGGCCATTCCTCTGCAGAAATAAATCAATTGCCATAAGGGAGGATGGTACAGATATACACGCACACAAAGGCGCCATCAGGATCTTTGATATCATCTGGTATTTGGTCCCATCCGGCGGGTTTGTAGTTGAGAAGCTTGGATGCCATCAGAATTATCAGCGTTGTTACGAAATAAAATACTCACTCGACCTTCGCTCTTCCACCGAACGAAGTCATGGTATGTCTGCAGATGCGCAACGTCTACTCCAGCCTTCCCAGTGAGGTTTATGGATCGGTCGATAATACCGTCATGATACTTGAGAGCTAGATGAGATACATCAAACGGTGTGATCGGGCGACTTACTTTGGAAAGGTCGACAGTGATAGTGATGTTGATATTGGGGAATCTTTCTTGGAATGATTGGACGAAAGGATCTTGCTGAACACTCGTATCGCCCCCAGCTCGGACGAAAAGCTGGCCTCCTTCGACAACAGCGAGATCATAGAGCTCATCAAGGGACTGTGTTTCCACAGCTGTGGATGCAGGAGAAGGAGAGCCACTGTTGGACCCAGACAGGCCTCCCAGCCAGTCAAAGATAGGCTCAAAGAGCGGAGCAGCAGATACCGCAGTAAAGTAGGTAAAGAGAAGAAAAAGAGTGACGTGCATTTGTAAATGAGTGGACACCGAAGAAGGGCTAAGGTTTTCGCCGTCGACCAGACGACTTTATAACGCCATTCTGCTCAGGAAATCCTGCAACCTGCCAAAGAGCTGAGAGCCACCTAACGAGGTGGCATATGGCATGGAGATTATATCAATTGAGTGAACCTCCACTAGCTCGGAGTTATGTCATGGGTAGCGCGTATGACCGCACCGGTCCCGACGTTTTACTCAATTCAGAATGTGCATGTGAAAGCGGCTGATTATGCTCTGGAGCATAATTTCTGTCAGATGACAATTACTTTGTTTATGGGACACTTACTTCAAGACTATTAGTGAAGCGGAAGATGTCGTACTTCGCCTATGTTCTGTTTTGACATTTAGTTTGAGATCGGGATTGAGCCGTTATCCAGAAGACCTACAGAAAGCAGACGACAGAGTCCGATTCACCACACCTATCGCACTTTCTCCGCATTGCCCTTTTCGTTGCATGGAGAAACAGGGATAGGCGATCGATAATTCCAGCGCACCTGGTGGCACGTCTGGAGATCTCAAAATCGGTGAATCGCAGAGACTCTCCGCCCAAACAGTTACCTGAAGTCTCTGCGTTCACATAGAAGTTGTATTTACGATCGCCGTAGAGCAATCTTTGTTGCCAAATCTAATATCCGGTCGGTCATCTCGGCAAACTGGACGAAGGAGAGGCAGAATCAGCTTACCTTTTCTTGGGAGCTCTGGATCTCTTTTTTGCAGAAAGTCTCTCGTAGTGTGTTCTTGTGATATTATCGGTTCGTCTATTCAGAAAGCTGGCTTGCGGCACATCGGTGTCGCCGTTATCGAGCGGGAAAGGCAGTTCAGGGAACTGTTGCAGGGAAGAAAGCTTTATTTCACTTTGAAGGAATTCAACGCGGTAAATTTTTTTTATCAGCAGCAGCGCACCAGGAGCAAGAGGGTCTAGGCAGCAGCCTAGAGAGGTGCATATGGCTTTATGGCGAAAAGACACCGGGTCGGAGAAGGGATCCGAATTTGACCGCATATAATCACGTGAGATAACTCCAGTCGGTTGTCTCGGTCCGGTCCGCTTCGAAGCTGTTGCTTCCGAACTGGCAGCTCGCGAAAAGCCTTTCTGTTGGATTCTCTGACCCAATATCCCCTGTAGCCCTCGATGGAGACGTTTTTCTTGCTGTTGGCTAATCGTCACAGAGGAAATTGACATTAGTCTAGGCATCAAGCGCTCTTTGCTCTGTTGAACTGGTCATCTCGTCCTTCAGAGCGTTTCAGTACCACGCCAGGTGACAGTCTGAACAGAAAAATTGCAATACAGATGCACCAGTAAATTTACGGTCAGCTACTCGTGTTGGCGATATAGACCTGGAATTTACCCCGCGATCTATCCTTGTTCTGATTCATTCGATGGGCATCGCGTGTGTTGGTCAGAGATCTGTCCCTGGAACTTTACTGTATCCTCACGACACATCCACTTCTTCCTCTCTTTGTCTCACCAAAGGTCTTCACGAAATCTTTGGTGATAATCAACGCGAGTCCTTGTCGCTAGTCTCTCGATCCATAGTCTCGTCACTGGTAAATAAAAATCTATCTGATATCAAGTTGGCGAGGTGCGATTTTTCACCTAGCTTGGAAAACTCCATGTATCGGGGAACTCAGAGCGGCATATAGATTCCTTCGACAATATAAAAGAACGATGTAAATACACTCTTTCACCCTGTGATTGACTTTGAAATTACAAAATATTTCTAGTCTTCGGCAGCTTCCATCAAAATCAACGTTGCCTCAGAAATATTGTTAGGTTCTGATCATCTCATTTTGACACGGACCTTGCAACCTGATTCCTTGCTAGGTCAATGGAAAGCAACCCTGCGGAGTTCCCCGTCTCGCAAAGGACGCGCGACGACAAAGGTGGGTGAAATAGTTTCAATTTGAGAGGGGCCGTAATCTCTGAGAACTGCATTATCTGGTTTTATCTTAGGAACCCTGATCGTGAGCACATTATCTGAGAGAAAACTTGAGATTTTCCTGAGAATCGATATCTTAATCAACATCCTATCGCGAAGGTGGCTCATTTCGAGTCATCATGTATCGGAGAGTTAATGGATGTGGTTCAATTCTGGTACTTAACCCAGGCGAGGTTCTCGTTTATTAGTGGCCAAATCCGTGACGGTCTCATTGTCAATAGTTCCTGTTCTGATCTTTGTCTTGTCCTTTGAGTAGAACCTGTGACTGGGGAAGCTGGATATATGAAGCAGTGAACATGCGTCCTTTCTTGTATACTTCCTTCTAGCTGCCATGGATTTTTCGTCGTCTGACCTTTCCCAAGATGACATAAATATTATCTTCGGCGCGCTTGACTTTAATCTGAACACGGTGATTCTGCAAGCCTTGTTGCACGGTGGGTCTATCCCTTCATTTCTCAGATTCTCTTTCAAACCCTCGCCTCGCAGGTCTGTATACCGGAATCGTTGCGGTCACCTTATGGACTATGTGTAAGTTGATTCTCCTGAATAGCCTGACTGGGACCTTCGCTGAACTCATAGTGCAGTCTCTTCTCCCAAGCGCTTACACGGCATATTCCTGCGTACAGTCATCATCATGCTTTATGTTCTTGCGGCGATAGTGTTCTCAATAGACTGGGTGTTTATACGTCGCGCGTTCATTGAGTACGGCGACAATTATATCATGGTATTCGGGGCGATAGTAAATGACGGCCTGTGGTGGAGACTGAGCTACCTCGTCAACGACATCACCGGTGGTATCAGCACTCTTTTAGTCGATACCACAATTGTAGGTTATCTTGTGCATTCTGGTTCAAGAAAACTGAATTGTTGCAGATATGGCGCTGTTGGGTGCTCTGGGATCGTCAGTGGCGAATCGTTTCGCTGCCGATTGTTTGTACTATAGCTGGAACGGGTGAGTCTTTTCTTTGTCAACAGATATCTCTGTCTCTAAGTATCTCAGTCATGAAGGTCATCCAAATACTGAGTACTTTTCGCGATTCTACTGGCCATGATATTAGCGATGCCGGAGGTTTTGCAGCAAAAATTGACTGGTCACTGATTTACATCTTGATGACGCTCGTCACAACTCTCTTTTGCACACTCTTGATTGTGTATCGGATTATCCGCTTTGCGCATAGGTTATTACTCTTCCGAAGCATCATTTATGCTCTGACCGAGTCCTGTGTCATCTATTCACTGGCGCTGATCGTGTACCTGGCACTTGTGGGGAAGAACATGCGGGCTGCCTTTTATGCGGACACTGTTGCAACGTATGTTAAGGTCAAGAGATCTCTGGATTGCCTTCCATTTAGCAGCTGAATCTGAATGTTTCTCCCTCCTATAACAGGTCATTGCACCGACACTTCTGGTACTATGCGTAGCAGCCAGTTCGAAGTCCCGCTCTAGTAATGAGGAGACATCCAGTTCCAGTGACTTAACGGGGATTTGCTTTAGGCGGAACGATGAAAGCAGCGGTGACGATGTTGGTGACGCGAGTGTCCCTGGATCCCACAGAGCATACACAGCTGAAAGTGTATGAATTCACATCCATCTTCGTGGAATGCTCCACTCTGAAATAATTACCTATCAAACATATACCTTATAGGACACTGCGTAGCACCAGTCATAATTAGATACGTACAAGACAAGATATAATTTATATATACAAAACTGTTCGGGTCTTCACTCCGGTTAACGTTCAGCGATGTCTCGCGTAAGGGTTGTGTGAAGTGGAGAAAATGGATGGCCACACAATGAAGCTCATATAGGGGAACTAGTCCCTCATTCGGAATCCACGTTTGTATCAAAATAAGGAGAGACCGTAACTCGCTAAGTGCTGTATTCTGTATTGTACTCGATCTTTTTTTAGCCAACAAAGACTGATACGATCTGAGAAATATCCAAACTCGCGATGAAAGTTCACTTGAATCATAATTATATGCACGCATCTAAAGCAAGGATATACATGGATGATAATATATATTAGGAACACGATATGTCGTAGCTATCCGACCGATCAGTTAATTAACGGGGCATCTTGATTCACACAGAAACATCTGCCGAATCCCAGGCAAAGTCTCTGTTAGTAACGCTGCCGACACGGAGATCATACAGTTTCCTTGCCCGACAATCCCGACAGCATTTGATGCCCATCGTCTGGACGATGGTGTAGGTAACTATTATAGGTATCTCCTTCCCTAAAACAGCCGACCAAGGGATGATGGTTCTCCCACATAGCAACCATCTTTTGTCGCTGCGAGATTGTATTGGCATATGCGGAAACACGTCCCACCAGGAGCGTTGGGACAACAGCCTGGAAAGTTTCAGATCTTCGACTTAGAGTAGAAGTACGACGTAATCTCACCTTGACATAGGCTGCAATAATATCCGCATAATAGGCAGCTTCTGAATTCTTCGACACAAGCGCTAGGTATATGATTAAGGAAAATGAATACATTGCAGACGACTCGATCAGTATTTCGACGATTTTGCGGGAAGCGCTTATTCCTTGAGCGTGCCGAACGATGCGGTAAATGATGAGGAACGTGCACGTGAAGTTTGTAGCGAGCGTCAGCATGATATAGATCAATGACCAATCAATATCTGCTGCGAATTGTCCATGCTTGCTGATACCATCAGTAAGATTGCGGAAAGTACTGAGGATCGCCATTATCTTCATAGCTAAGACACTGAATAAAAAGTATTTCTGGAGATGAAGAAGAGACTAACTTGTCCCGGCTACAGCACAAAAAATTGGTACGAGAACCACTCTCCATTGGCGATCCCAGAGGGTCCAACAACGCCATATCTAGAGTATATCAACTTTATGAGCATTGACCGTGATAAACGAGACAACGTACAATAGTGATATCGACCAGAAGTGTGCTTATACCGCCAGAAATACCACTGGTAAGGGTGTATGCTCTCCACCACGGACCAGGATTTATCAATGCTGTGAACACGGTGTAATAATTATCGCCATGTTCAATAAACGCATAGCGCTCAAAGGCCCAATTAATTCCGAACAATATCGTCAACACAACGTAAAGCGTGAGAATGATTATGCGCAGTAATGTACTGCGTAACTGCCGGGGAGACGAGACTGTGATGGTTGAGTTCAGCAAATGACTAGGTCTGTTCGGGACAGTCGACATACATATAATCCATAAGGTGACCGCTACGATGCCGGTATATAGACCTGCGAGACGAGGGGCTAAAAATGACATCTCGGCCACGGAGGATGAACTTACCATGCAATAAAGCTTGCAGAATCAGAGTGTTCAGACTCAGGTTAAGGGCGTTCAAATGGACGTCCCTATCATTTTGAGAGAGGTCAGACGATGGAGCCTCCATTAAAGGCGGAAGGATACGAGGAAGGAAACATGCTCGTGCCTTCATATATGCACCTGCTGGATTTTATCGAAACAATAAACCCGGAACGAGGAATTAATTAGGGAAAAGCATTCAAAATGTCTGAATGCTCTCACCTCGTCGGTAACAGCAAATGCAAGGGCAGTGGCGAAGCTATGTACCCAGAACAATCATTTTGATGAGTTATCTTATTAATATCTCACAGCTTTGACCGGCAGATAATCAGTACTTCAGTATGTCGCGACTAGATGTGAGTGTGGGTCATACCTCAGCAAGGACATTCATCGCATAGGCTGTACAGCCCGGAGGCTTCGTAACAGCGAGATGTAGAGCACGACGTACAATCGTCTTAATCACCCAACAAATGGTCGACGGGCCATCAGTGATGAAGCAAAAGTAGTACAGGATAGCATTGGAACAGCAATGCAGACATAGCAGCTACGTTTCTGCTGTGCATTTACTCGCCTAAGGGTGACAGTCAACTTGGAGACATCTGCTCACCTCAATTCGTGACAAATTACACGCGGAAAGAACCATCTGTCTTCACCATTATGAAGAGACGCTGTTGTTAGTAGCGTCGTTGAGATGCTGGCTAACCACGCACAAGGGGCGAAATTAAAATCGCCGAAGCGGCATATCATGTGACGGAAGTCACGGCAATCAATGATTGAAATTTCAAATCATTTTCTATTCCCTCCCGCGATATAATTAGCGTCTGCTTTCCTTCCCACTCGTCCGCCAGTGCCGTTGAAATGAATAGCGTGACGCAAAACATAACGTACGCTCGGACGCCAAAGAGAATGTATCTCTAACTGGAGGTGAACAATAATCGCTGTCAAGAAGCGCCTAACAAGTGGCTAAAGTAGCCGCCGGCAACATTCGCAGATATCCCATTGGACATTATAATTTCCGTATGTCAACATGTACGCCTTTCTTTTCATACATGAGCTCATGTATGTCATAGGTATTTGCACCGTTGGGCCCTCGGGACCTATTGCAGCTGTCGAAGGTTTTCCCGGCATATTTTTGATGTTCAAGATTCGGGGAAGAGAAAGCTTGGAGAGATCATTGAGCCCCTTTTTGGTCTAGCTAAGCCCACTTGGGCCGATTTCTTCCTTGTCCCAGTCCGTCACTTATGCCGTTTTCATTTGTATGCCTTTCTTCGCTTACCATCTGCGAGGCTCTGCTATAGGATATGAGCTAAAACGCGGTAACTTCTCCTCATGACACATAGATGCGTAGTACATAAATCATTATGTAGGTATCAACGTTATCATTGTTCGAAAGTTAGCCTCATCCCATCATTTTAGTATGCGCGGAATCGCTGACCTTGAACGCGTTCCCGGATGCGTCCGGACTGATGTGGGCACGCTGCTGATATCAACCCTCATTTTGATCGCCTCTTGAGTACGTTCTGTATCATTGTTTCATTGCGCTGTGCGCTAACCACTTTCTAGAGTGCGGTGGAAATTGCCCTTCCAGGACATCCTGTCTGGTGCAGGATCATAAGGACATGTTCTAGGCGCTGCTTTCCTGACGTAGCAAGTGTGAGCGGGGCCACGTTAATATCAAGCTTTATGACGCGCTTGCAGAAGGTGAGCTTGTTTCGCTGGTGACATGCTTCTTTACTTATTTCTCTTGTTGCTAGAAGATAAGAGGTCCAAAAGTTTGAAAGGAGATCTTCTTCAAGCTTGAATGTTAACCGGCACTGCCGGAAGAGTGAGCTGGTGTATATCAAGTCGCTCCTTTCCCCCGAAACTATGTTGCATGCTTGCCTCAACCTGGGATACGATTATTGGGACCAGAACGACCAGCCCCGACGTCCCGCAGACGTATCCGTGCGTATGCTATGGAGTACGCCTGTCTCGAACTTAGAAACCGTGGAGGCGAGGTTGTCAATGCTCTCATGACCTTCATCGGTGGGGGATCCCGAGATGACTGCTACCGAGGACCTAGACGATATCATGGCAGATTATGCCCTAACATGCATGAAGGGGTGATGCCTGTTCCTATGTTTGCTAATTGCGGGAGGGGAGACTTCGTAAGTGTTTCTTTCGTCCCTGCATATTCTGATGCGCTGTTATTCTACATGGTGAAACATACTTCACAGAACATTACGGATATTTGACGTCGCTCGATGACTGCGTTAAGCTCGTCAATGATGATGCCTTCTGGGCAGACAATTGATCCGTCTTGAGGTCAGCGCTCCACGGCGGAGTATTCTTGAGCCCGCATTATATGGAGCTTCTGTGAGAGTCATTTCTACGGATGAAATAGACTGGCTAGGGATCTGCACGGCACGTAGGCTCCGTTCTTCGGTTTTTTGTGAACGGATGTTGATACCCGTTCATTTAGCCATGTTGTGGCTACGGTGAGCGACAGAGGGGATATGCACGCTCGTGGGCATAATCTTCTGCATAAGTAGAAGGTTACACAGCCGAAGGAGGAGAAAGGCATCGTCATGGAGGTATATCCGTTGCGAGGATTAATGAAGGCGTGATCAAGGTTTGGAACTCTCGTTCTATAATTATAATAGGTCCTATGACTGATTCATACTCCAGTGCCCGAGTTATTTAATGCTGTATTCTAACGCACCCAAGCGCCCTCAAAGACCTAGGTCCATAACGAACGCACGCCAACTTAGGCAAATAAATCGCAAAACTGCAGAAACGATACCCAGCGGTACAAGAGAAAAGATCTGCTCAATGAGCGATGCGATTTCAGAGAGGGTGTGGGTCTATCCGAACCTTTTAACTTTGGACCGACGAGGACGGCGAGTAAAGGATAAGATACCTTCTTGGCATTGGAATGCGTGATGCGACAGGACTTTCAATGAGAAACCTAACATTGGCGAGAATGCAGAGTATGTTGTTGAAGCAATTTGCCCTCATCGCCTGGACCTGAAACCCTGAACAGTGAATTAGTACAGATACCAGTAAGTTTCCGTCATACGATCATGATCCTCTACTCTCTTGAATCGCAATTATAAATAAGCTTACAAATTAATAGTCGTACACGGTCTGTAATGTATATCAAGAACACAATGTGTAGTAATACTATGGCTATCCGATACATCAGTGAATTGACGGGGTATCTTGATTGGCACGAAACCATCTACGGCATCTCTAGTGGATCTATTGGCGGCACTGCCAACACTGAAATCATACAGTTTCCTTTCCCGACGATCCCGACACCGCTTGATGTCCATCATTTTGGCTATCGTATGGATGGGTATTTTCGGTACCCTCTTCTCTAAAACAGCCGACCAAGGGAGGATGGTTCTCCAACATAGTAACCATCTGTTGTCGGCGAGAGCTCGCATTAGCATGGGCAGAAATGCGACCAACTAAGAGAGTCGGAGCGATAGCCTCGAAAGATTTAGATCTTTGACTAAAAGCAAATGCGACGGAATCTCACCTTGATATAAGCGGCGATAAGATCCGCATAGAATACGGATTCCAAATTTTTTGAGACCAGTGCTAGATAGACGATCAATGAAAGCGAATAGATCGCCGATGACTCGATCAGCATCTTGACGATTTTGCGGGAAGCGCTCATCCCTGAAGCTTGTCGAGCAACGCGGTAAACAATCAAGAGCATGCACGTGAGGGTTGTGGCGAGCGTCATCAAGATGTAGCTCAGCGACCAGTCAATTTTTTCTACAAAACCTCTAACATCATTGACATCATCGGTAGACGTGCGGAAAACACTCAGCACTTGCATGGTTTTCATAACTGAGATACTGAGGAATAGAGATGTCTGTAGATGATAAAAAGGCTCACCTGTTCCGGCCATAGTACACAAAATTGGCAGCGAAACGATTCGCCACTGACGATCCCAGAGCACCCAGCAGCGCCATATCTGCCACAACATACTTAGTCTCAATTTACCGGACTAAGTGAGTTAACACACAATAGTGACATCGACAAGGACTGAGCTTATACCGCCAGAAAGACCGCCGATAAGGATGTATGCTCTCCACCACGGGCAAGGGTCTACCAGTGCTGAGAATACGCTATAGTAATTGTTTCCATGTTCAATGAACGCGCGGTGCCTAAACGCCCAATCACTTCCGAAAAGTATTGTTAAGAAAATGTAAAGCATGACGATGATCGTGCGCAGGAATGTACTGCGTAACTGCTTGGGGCCAAATACTGAGTTATGAGTACCGCAAAAGTCCGACTCTATTCAGGATAGTCGACGTACATATAGTCCATAAGGTAACCGCTATTATGCCGGTATACAGACCTGAGAGACGATCGTCTAAAAGAGACTCGGAGAAATGGAGGGATGGACTCACCGTGCAATAAGGCTTGCAGAATCATAGTGTTTAGATTAAGGTCAAGTGTGCCGGTAATAATAGTCTTGTCATCTTGGTAAAGGTCATGCGCTGGAACCTCCATCGCAAAGGGAAGTATACGATATACGAGCAAGGAAGTATGCTCGCTGATTCATATACCTGAATTCTGAACAATGCGATGAAAGATCAAAACTGGAAAAGAAGAAAGGATCAGGAAGCTCAGTCACTACGTCTCAGATCTCAAGTTTCATTATTTCAATCTTGTTAGTTGCACAGACAACGAGTATCCCTGAATAAGTTTCCGAGTGATCAGCTGCATAAGATGTTCTTGTTATCATCGCACAGCTCCTACCTGCGACAGGCCTAACTTATTGGATGGATGGTCCATGCCAACAGATAGTAGTTGTTGCCGATATTTATATACACCTCATCATGCTGAACGACATGAGAAGGTGCAAGGGCAGCAAACTCCAGGCGGGAATTGGTTGGGCACATGTGTTGGAATGTGGCAATCCACTACGCAAAGGCCCGGGATCATGGCATGGGTACAGCCACCATCCAGCAATAGCAACCCGTATACCCCCGGGTAAGCCGGCCAAACCCGCCGTACCCTTGGTTTTCACTAAGGAAAAGCATGGAAAGTTCTAGTAAAAGGTACATTTAGTATAAAAGTTGGTCCTGTAGAGTAAATCCTCATATGTTTGCAGAGCTCAGCCAAGCGCGATACTACTAATATTGGCTTGCTACCGTGCACATGATACTGGCCAGGCTGGGAAGTTGGAACGAGCTGTTACCTCGTTTTACGACAACGTGGGGAGAGACCAAGAAATAGATAGCACGTGAAAATTCATAGCTATGTATAACATCGCTTTCTAGCAGATAGTACATGAATTTGATTTCCGATAGTTATAGGGATTTTTATACAGAATGGACATGAAGGGATGTCTCTGACACCAAAGAGAATGTACTGTTAACTGGATGTGAACAATAATCGCTATGTCAAGAAGTGCTTAAAGTATCCACTGGCTTGCCACCGGCAACTTTCGCACTGTGCAGATATGCTACTGAACATTATAATTTCCGTATGTCAATATCTGTGCCTTTCCCTTCATAAATGGGCTCATGTATGTCATAGATATTTGCACCCTTGGGCCCTCAGGGCATATTGCAGCTGTAGCGCCTCGAAGGCGTTTCCGGCACCTTTTGATGTTCAAGTCTTTTATTTCTTCCTAAAATTCGGGGAAGAGAAAGCTTGGAGGGTTCTTTGAGCCCATTTTTGGCCCAGATAAGCCCACTTAGGCCGATTTTGTCTTTGTCCCGGTCTGTCACTTGTGTCAGTTTCATTTGTATGCCTTTTCTTACCATCTGCGAAGCTCTGCTATAGGGCATGAGCTAAACACGGTAAATTGAGGCTATACCGTCCATATTATGCAGAGTTTCCTGTAACTACAGGCGAATGGAGTATGCAGAGTCGGAAGAGCTGCACACAACGCTCTGCATACTCAGGGTCCTGTAATTTTCCCACATCCTTATTATGCCACAATACCCTCCCCAACCCTCCGCCCCTCTGCCCACAGCCCCAAAAACACTGGGAATAATCGCCAACGATTAATTATTGACATTTTTTTGGCGCTCACATGATATTTAATTGATACTGGCTGATACTGGGTGGCAACTGGGGCATTGAATTTTCCACCCTTCTACTCATTGCCAGGGGGCCACAAAAGAGCGGGCTCAGAAAATATTATTTGATATACTTACTAGTACTGCTTCCAAACTGCTTCTACACCTACCCTTACCATATATTTGACTGAATGCGCATTGGCATGGCTTGGATGCACAGACCATGGGAGTATACCATTCCCGATTTGGTATACAGTTTGGAAATTGCAAAAGTGGGCGAATTTTGGGATAGTAGACAGTATATTACACTTATTCAATTAAAATATGACAAAAGAAGCAGTATATGATTGCTCTATCTTGTTTATATCATATAATGTATGGATACTAAGGACAAGAAGTATCCTGACATTTTCCGGAGTTTTCTGAAACACCCTAACCCACTCACAGTAAGCAAATAGGTCGAGATTGTACAGTCCCAAAATTCTCTCAGTGCTTGGAAATATACTTCAAAATGTCTATTAGCTTCTTTAATGTTCTATGCATCTTCTCTTTGCATGTTTTCTGTCCTGTGCCAATGGTGTGCTAATGTAGACATGAATTATGATCTCAGAAGTATGCCAGAGACATGTGTAAAAGGCATACCTCACAGTACATGCTTAAATTGAAGTATATTACCCAGAGATGCATGGTCTGTACTTATTTGGAGTGATATGTGTCACAGTGTATATCTGCCCTGGCAGAAATATACCTCGGTCAGATGAAATTGCACCAGGTGAGATTGTGCATGTAATGTTCTTTTATGAGTTCACTTCAATGAGAAATGCAATTACAACGCACATAAAGGCAGATCACCATGAATCGGACACTTGCTTTGGATAATGTAATACATAAAATTTTATTTTCAATCATTCTTACCCTTGGAATGGTTGCACATACCTGTGTACAAATGGTGCATCCTTGAAATGTCCTAAAATGCATGATATTCACCATAAATAGGAGATAAATCAAGGTTGGGATAGATTATATACTATAAAAAGTACACAAATGTATACTAGAGCATTTATATAGTATATTCTGTCAGATTTCTGGGCTTCGGAGTAAAGGATTCGAGCAGAGGATGCATCCCGAGCATCCATTCTGCTTGTTCAATCGCTCTAGTCCAGTTTACCGGATACTAATCAAGTGGCTGTATGCCTCCTTTTTTCATCTCACCTTTTCATGGCGTAGTCGCCTGCCTGCCCCCCACTGCTCATTTGAATGGAAATAAAGGTATATTTCATTACTTTTAATGCTAATATAGGTTTTATAGGTACTTTTGATCCATCTGGTGGCCCCTGGATGGCCTGGATATCGTGCATCAAGTCCCACTCGCCTGCGTGTAAGCCCTCCTGCAAGGCAGCATAACTTGCCCCTTCAAAATGATGGAGAATTGCACTACTGCCATCGCCCTTTTACTACAGTGCACGCCAATTCTTGCCGCCACCATTAAGTCCTGTCCTGTTGTCATTGCAACCCACCTAGCATCTCCCACATCGAAATCAGGGCCAATCGCCATTCACCACGGCTTCCAGATGCATTAACGATGCCTCAATCACTCGATAGCTCAAGATCTGCCTCCATCTGCCACCAGGAAGGCATATGGCAAAGCTAACCATCACGATGACCAGGACGATGATGATGACGACGACAGTGAGGTGTGAGGGGTAGGGAGGACTTGAGTATAGGGTATGACCATGCCAATAGCAGGCTAGGGATGGAGTGGAAGCAGGGGTGTGCTAGGGATGGGAAAGAAAGTGAGAGGGTACAGGCAGGAGGGTGAGAGCAGGGTCGGGATGCTGACGGTGAATGACACTGATGATGACTGTGTTATTTGAGGCATTATGTAAATGAGGGCTCAAAGGTGTTGTGAATGAACCCACATTCATGGCTACGCGATCACGGATACCCCCGCTGCTGCCTGCTGCATCCCATCCAACATCAGCCTCCTGTACGCTGCCCAGCTCACCCACCCACCTCAAACTCATGCATCCCTCATTATTTCGACCAGGTAACATGCATCATAGCTCCGTTTACCCCCTCAATGCCATGGTTGTCATCTACCGGCTCCCTCAACACCCACCTTTTCCCGCTCACATCACCCCCATAATAATGCACATCAGCAATCTTGCAACCCGTATAGGGACCATAGAGCTATTGATCCTATGCCTTGCTATACCCTATAACCTGATATAGGGCTATAAGGCACATGCATGGTCTCTATACCACATTTCATAGGGCTATACACCCTCTATACATGCTATACATAGGGATATGCAGTGGTCTCATCGTGATTTATTGCTTTGAATATCGTTGTTCCTTGGGTAAACAGGTGAAAAGGCATCGTTGTATTGGTATAGTGACTAGATTCTAGATCGACAGTGCTGATACACATATGTCCAGATAAATCCTGTCTCGTTCCCAGAATACTATCCCCGTTACAGCCACGTCAAACTACTAACTACAGCCTGCAAGCCTGAGCCATGGCTCGCCAGTGAGAAGATGCTGAACAGGATTCAGTGACACATCTGCCAGTTGCCATGTCAGGGGATGTACTTGCCTTCAGTCTGAGAGATCTACATCGTCACTCTCATCATCTGCTTCGTTTTCTGAATTCTCACCATCGTCAGCCTTGCCACCAGCGCTGAATTCCCAGCACCGAAGGTAAATCTCATTCCACTTATCCTTTGACAACACGCTCGTGTTTTTGTAGTGTTGCCTCACGACTGTCGCCCAAGGATCTTCACCAAAGCTATCCGGCGAATTCTTGGACTGCTTGCCAGCGAGAGTGTTGATGCCTTTCTTCCATACCTGAAGTGCACGTTTAATCTGTAATCAATAGACTATCACTGTTACAGTCAGTAAGAAGGAAAACAGGATGCACGGCTGCCGCTGCAAGAGCCAGAGCCCCAGCCAGAGGACCAAAAGTCGTGGGTGTCGAGATAGTACGATGGATATGGTAGGCCATCGTCTGAATGAGGAGTCGTCCCAGATACGTGCCATGCCCTTCTGCAGCCTGAAAGTTCAAATGAGTCAGTTCTCATTGACGAGACAGATATGCGACCACTCACCATGTTTTCAGGCTTATCATACACAAACCATTTATTCTTGGATGCATGCTGAACCCACTCTGCCCGCTGTTCAGCTGTTTTGCATTCCCTGAGATCTGGATGTCTCCAATTCCTAGATATCGCTGCCATTGCTGCTTTCCCCAGTTCACTGCGATGCGTTTGAATTTGAATTTGAACCTGCCAGTGCGGAGCCGTTAGTCATGAGAACATAAACAAGATATACACATACGACTCCCATAATTGTGGGATGGTCAGCTCGAAGGTCCTTCTTCACCTCGTTGAGATACTTGGGAAGGTGACCAAAGGTGTTAGTCCATAACAGAACGACGGTGGGTTTCAAATCGGAGTGGCTGTTTGCACTGAACTGATCCTCAAGTGTTGCTGCCCAATCGAGTATTGGAACGATAACATTGGCCTTGAACAGTTTGATGTCTGCTGTGGAAGGAAGGGGAAGATCTTCGAACTTCCATGCGGACTTTCGTGTCTTGGCTTTCTCATGCTCCTTGCCATCAATCTCATTCACGTTTGCCAGCTCAAGCTTTATGGTGACCGATTTCTAGCAACGCAGAGTCAGAATGTGGATGGTGCTTGATATACAACATACTTTGTTGACTTTGGAACCCTTTCCTGCAGCTACAACGCGATCATTATGGTTCTGAGTCTTGGATGGGTCCTTCGCCTTTCTCACTTCCTTGACAGCCTCCACGTCCTCATCATGGTCAAACTCACCAGGTGGATCATCACAGTTATCCTCTGTCTCGACTCCTTGAGCTGATGAAGCCAATGATGTCATGGAAGCTGTAGGTGCACTCTGTTGGTACATCTTTTCCCAGTTGGTGATGAGTCCTCCGATGCTATCTGACTTTGATCGCTTTGCTGGCCTGGAGGTGGGTTACATCACAGTGAGTTATCTTTGACCCCATGATCAGTACAAACTTACACTATTTCAGGATCAGTGAGCTGATTGCAACATTTTTTTGCGATGGCTGGCACAGCAATTGTCGACGTTGGTGCTACTGTGCGGAGACCTGCAATGGCTGCTCATACTTCCAGCTTACTGTCCACAGTCTTCACAGTGTAAGATAAATATCGTATTTCAACATGGAAATACACTTACCTTGACTTTAGCTTGTCTTTTCATTGGAGCGACTATTGGGGTGATACCAGAATTCGACGATGCTTTCTTGAGCTGTCTAGCTCCAGCCTTGTCCCTTTGGCATGCAGCAAGAAACTCCTGGTATAAAGCAGCTTCATCCTGCTCATCCTCTGAGCCAGCATCGCTGTCCATGCCTGCGCTATGTTCAACATACTCTCCATCTGACTCACTCTCATCTATGACCATCTCCGTGCCTGTAGGAGGCAATTCGTTCCCAGAGGTGAGGTCCAAGTCCATCCTGTCATCGCTTATCCCCTCTGATTCTGATGTCGCTATGGAAGATATAGGAGGGAGTTCATCCGATGAGTCCAAACCAGCATCAGGTGTTTGAACTGTGAACCCGTCAGTGGGTGATAAAATGACAGGTGTTACTGCCCGAGAGGGGATATCGACTGGCTGTATCCGCTTTCTGGAGGGTTTGGTTGTACGGGCCTGAAACGAAGCAGGTAAGCCTTTTCTTATCATGTCAAGATCAGGATGCATAGACTGGATTTCCTTATCCTCGCGGGCATTGGCATCCTCCTGTGCTGCAACATTCTTCTTGGCTCGTTGCTGTTTCTCCTTTTTCGCTTGCTTCTTCTGCATGTTGACCTCCCACTGATGATCCTTTTCCTCTGTGTGTTTCCGCTGACTTTCAGAAATCTCTGCACGAGTATGGGGAATCCATTCTGCAGGGACTGTAACTGCCTTGCCATGCGTGGCGATGCGAGTGTCTGAGGTCATGAAAGAGTGAGAAGAGGAGTTCCTGCAGTGGTAATGTTCCGAGAGGAAAAAAATTGGGTAAGCTCGATCAGGACTTTTCCACCTTTTCCTTACTCCTTGTTTATCCCCTAAGTCATCCTCAATTTGTAGCATGCCCCGACATCATTGTCCTTGGAAAACCTGTAATCGGGTCTTCAAGTGTGCAGGAGATTTAACTCGGCATGTCAACTCTTGTCACCAGTCTCATCCAGCTCCAGTCAACCGCAGTGTCTCTCCAAGTCCCAGGGATCTGTCAGAGAGTGAGATCTCAGACTATCCACATGACAACACTGCCTTCGACTGTGACAACAATGATCCTCAACCCTTTCACTCTCCAAGTCAATTGCCCCGCTCATCAATACCTATTCCTGAGACACAGCGCCGAGCTCTGCATCCATATCTTACCGGTGAGCCACCAACTCAGTACTAAACTAGCATGAGTATATATTGACATCCATTTTAGGGCAAAAAACAGACCGAGATGGTCACTACTTGCCTCCAGACACGCCACCTCCTATGGACCCACCTATTGTGAATGTCTGGGCACCTTTCAACAGAGAGGTCCAATTCCATCTGGCCGATTTTCTTTTTCGCAAAGTTGAGATGTCACAGTCAGACATCAATGAGCTTCTGGATTTGTGGTCTCTGGATATGCACCGGCATGGAGATGATGCACCATTTGATAGCCACCAGGCTCTCTACCAGGCGATTGACGAGATACGTGTAGGAAGTGCCCCTTGGAAATGTTTTGAGATGGTTGTTCCGGAAAATCTGGGCCGAGATGCACCTGAATGGCAGAAGAGGTCCTATCAAATCTGGTTTCAAGACCCGGATGTTGTCATCAGCAATATCCTCGCTAATCGTGACTTCAAGAAGGAATTTGATACCACACCCTATGTTGATGTCGATGTGCATGGTCAGCATAGATGGAGTGATTTTATGTCGGGCAATTACGCCTGGCACCATGCGGTCTGTAAAATATTATGGATTTACTGTCCAGGAGCTAATTGTGATTCAGACCCAGATTTACGAAGCAAACAGTGGTACCGAAGGTGCTATGTATGTAAGCGTGATCCTCGGCAGTGACAAGACAACAGTGTCAGTAGCTATGGGGAATGTGGAATACTATCCTGTTTATTTGTCTATCGGAAATCTTCACAATTCTGCACGTTGAGGGCACCATAATGGTGTTGTACCCATAGCCTTTCTCGCCATCCCTAAATGTAAGTGATTCTTGTTTATGAGGAGTCACAATGGGCTGATGGGTGCATTGGTACTTTCAGCGGATCGAAAATATGACCGCGATGTTGCATTCAGACTCTTCAAGAAGAAGCTGTACCATGAATCTCTAACAGCTATTCTTTCCTCTCTCATTCCTGCAATGACAACCCCGGTGGTACGACGATGTCTCGACAGTCACTATCGCTGCGTGATCTATGACCTGGGACCATATATTGCTGATTATCCTGAGCAAGTCCTCTTGGCAGGAATTGTCCAAGGCTGGTGTGTGAAGTAAGTGTTTCTCATGCATATAACAGCCATTCAGATACTGAGAAAACTGGTAGATGCACATCACCAGCTGCCAATCTGGATGCTCTGGGAGATCGTTGGTCATGAAAACTTACCGAAGTCCTCTTGGAAGCCTTTGCCAATGACGGGGACATACTTTGGGATAATTACGGTATCAATGAGGATATCTTGGTATGTGACAAGTCCAACTCATTCATGCACAAAAGTATGTTAATGCCAAATTAGCCATTTACCTTTAATTTCCCACATGCGGACATCCACGAGATGATCTCGTCAGATTTGTTGCACCAGATTATAAAGGGTTCATTCAAAGATCATCTAGTTGAATGGGTGCATGAGTACTTAGTCCTCAAAGAAGGCAAGAGTCGTGCCAATGAAATAATGGATGATATAGACTGACGGTGGGTTATCTCCTTGATTGGTTGCTGGTCTACTCATGGCCAATATTCAGAATTGCTGCAATGCCGCCTTTTCTGGGCCTTTGAAGATTTCCCCAGGGGCGACGCTTTAAGCAATGGACTGGTGACAACTCCAAAGCTCTTATGAAGGTAAGGGCTATTCATATTGTAACATGTTATGCTCATGCACATATTGTATCTGCTAGGTGTACCTTGCTGCTGTTGCCGAGTATCTTCCAGAAGCAATCATGAAGGCTCTTTCCGCCTTCATGGACTTTTGCTATCTAGTTCGGCGCTCTGACTTCGATGAAAGCACTCTAATCCAGGTCAGAGAGACAATCCAGCGCTTCCATCACTTCTGTGAGGCCTTCAAACTCTCGGGTGTGTGCGATGACTTCTCCCATCCTCGCCAACATGCCATTGTCCATTATCCCAGTCATATTATGGAATTTGGTGCCCCAAATGGACTTTGTTCATCTATCACAGAATCTCGGCATATCACAGCTGTCAAGAAGCCCTGGCGAAGATCCAATCACTATAACGCACTGAGCCAAATGCTACTGACTAACCAGCACCTTGACAAGCTGGCTGCTCTTCGAACCGATCTGACTCAATGCGGTTTAGTTGAGCCATTACGGGCTCCACCCGCAGATCCTTTTGACATTGGAATGGAAGATGAGGGTGCCGTGGATGGGGAGAGGACCATGGGAGAGGTTACACTGGCAAAAACGCCAGGTATGCTCTTTGTTTCTCAACTGGAAAGCTGATACTTATCTCACCTTTCATTAGAGCATGGATATCCCAGAGACATCGCTGATCTGGGTCAGTATATTGGGCATCCCGACCTTCCAGCGCTTACCCAAATGTTTCTACGTGAGCAGTTAAATCTGGGAAGACCCGACAATCACAATTACAGTGATGACACTGGTTATCCTATCATTGATGGTCCTGTCCGGGTTTTTCACTCTGCCACAGCGACATTCTATTCACCAAGTGATATATCTGGTGTACGGGGTATGCGCCGTGAACGCATATGTGCAACCCCATCCTGGCATGGTTATGCCTGGTACGACTGTGCACTGGCTGTCATTGATCAAGAAAAATCAGGATTCCATGGAATGAATGCGGTGCGAGTGCTGCTATTCTTCTCATTTCGGCATGATGGCAAAGAGTTTCCATGTGCCCTGGTGCACTGGTTTAACACTTACGGGCGCCTACCAGATCCCAAGACTGGGATGTGGATTGTTCGGCCTCACTTTCGTGGCACTGCCAGGCGCACTCCTGTTCTTAGTGTGATTCATGTAGATACTCTCCTTCGAGGTACTCATCTTCTTCCCATCTTCGGCAGTCAAGCATTGCCACATAAATTCCATTATTCCTGTTCGTTGGACTGCTTTCAAGCCTTTTATGTTAACTGTTATGCAGACCATCATATGCATGAAATCGTTTTTTAAATGTTATTTTCCGTAGTTGATTGAATAATATAATTTTTATGGCTCTACCCAAAGAAAGCATAAGTGCTCCTTGCATTATCCTGATCATGCCCGACTCAGATGTCCCACGAAAGTTCCTCTTTGATGCTCTGGCTACACCTGGCCGTAAGCTAGCTCCACTTATGAAACGGCGCCACTGGCATGCAATGCATGCTGCAATTCAGAGTCGAAGCCAAGGGAAGTTGTACGTGCTTTCTCTGCCATTTGTGTCAAGCCAAGGTATTTACTTTGTGACTTTGCAAAACTTCAGGGCTCTCAGACCGGAGAACCTCCCCAAGAAAAGAGCATTCAACAATCCAACAATTTACCAATATGTGCAAGCATCACCTGGCAACAGACAAATCAGAGATTCCGAGTTGGACAGCCGGTACAATGGCCCGACCACTTGGGACTTCATGACCCTGGAGATCGATATGTCGAACGCTACCACAGCTATCTTCAATGAGCTCGCAAACTATCGGACAACGTTCAATGCAGGGATTAACTCATTGAAACTGTGATCCAGATTGAAGGAGGCTCGAGAGGCACTGGAACAGCTTGAAAAGTTGGCAGATTGGATTGATGATGCTGATTTGAAGCAATGGTCACTGGCGGAATTCGAACACCAGCGGTTGTGGCAAGGTTGGCAGAAGTTTCTTGAGATAGAGGAGGCTCAGCCAGACTCGGAGCAGGGGTCAGACCACAAAGGAAACTTTGGTGCAGAATTGACAGAGCCTTGAAGTAAATACGTGAATATAACGAAATAAAATGTATCATGCAAGGATTGAACCAACAGCCATGTGATTAGCGAAATAATAAGCAAGTATCATTAACTGATGCACTGCCATCTTGGAGCTACCTAGATACTTACTGGGGTATAGAGGAGATATAGACAAGGGGGTCCTAATAATGAATTAAAAGACAGTGGGTCGATTAAATAATTTCGTGCACCGGCGATGGACCTACCTACCTTCACGTGACATTTATGATGTCACTATGCTAAATTTGGGTATCTTTCAACTCAATTCAGTGAATATTTTGCCTGAAATAGCCATGATATTAATATTGAAAGTGTTTTGAACATAATCTGTATGCTATCAAGTCTAAATCATGTAATGGGATGTTGTAGTGTCATCATGTCCAGTTAGCAGGGCCGCTTTGCAATGGCTTTGACTGAGTGTTGGTATGGCTAGGTATGATGCCCTAAGGTAAGTAGCACACTCAGTAGCATATATTGTATCATGTATGCTCTAAATTCTACCCTTGAAGTCCATTTTTAGACCCCCAAAATGGTGGTCAACTTTTTTTTTTCGTGACATCTGGCTGGACCTACCTACCTACCCGGTGTGCCGGGCCAGAATTCCGGTACCCCCTTGGGTATAGAGGTATAGATGGCGTAGAGTTTGAAAATGGCCTATACCTTCTATAACAGCTATAGTCAAGGGGGTCCTAATAATGAATTAAAAGACAGTGGGTCGATTAAATAATTTCATGCACTGGCGATGGACCTACCTACCTTCATGTGACATTTATGATGTCATTATACTAAATTTGGGTATCTTTCGACTCAATTCAGTGAACATTTTGCCGTGATATTAATATTGAAAGTGTTTTGAACATAATCTGTACACTATCAAGTCTAAATCACGGCTGCGCTCTAATGCGATGTCATAATGTCATCATGTCCAGTCAGCAGGGCCACTCTGCAATGGCATTGACTGAGTGTTGGTATGGCTAGGTATGATGCCCTAAGGTAAGTAGCACACTCAGTAGCATATATTGTATCATGTACTCTCTAAAATTTACCCTTGAAGTCCATTTTTAGACCCCCAAAATGGTGGTCAACTTTTTTTTTTTCGTGACCTCCGGCTGGACCTACCTACCTACCCGGTGTTCCGGGCCGGAATTCCGGTACCCCCTTGGCTATAGTCCCTATAGAGCTGTGAAATTGCTGATGCAACGATCACTGCGCCATCAATATCATTGCTTCCCTCTACATGAGGCTTCATGGATGCTATTGACGCTTACGTCCCGCCATGCCCGCCTGTACCGCATTTTATCTACATTTCGTATGCTGTACTATATTTCAATTATATTCATTTTATTTGATAATAATACGGGACAATCCCTTTTAGGCAGGCATCGGGAGGACGACGAGAGGACGTCTCCTCATCGTTTGCGACGATGACGGCAAGGTGAAAGGACATGAGGGCAATATACGAATACGTAATTTTTTTCTAGGAGTATGCAGAGTATGTGTCTTGGGTATGCAGAGTGGTATGCAGAGCGCATCTCTCCAGCGCCACCGTCCTGTAGTTACAGGAGACTCTGCATACCGGCTTGCACTGTAACTACAGGAGATTCTGCATACTGTGGACAATAAAGGTTGGTAAATTCTCCTCATGACAAATCGATGCACAGCACATAAATCATTATGCAGGTATCAAGGTTATCGCTCTTCGAAAGTTAGCCTCATCCCATCGTTTTAGTATGCGCGGAATCACTGACCTTGAACGCGTTCCCGGATGCGTCCGGACTGATGTGCCGATATCAATCCTCATCCTGATCGCCTCTTGAATACGCTCGATATCATAGTTAGATTGCGCTGTGCGCTAACCACTTTCTAGAGTGCTGTGGAAAATTCCCCTCCAGGGAATCCTGTCTGGTGCAGGATCATAAGGACATATTCTAGGCGCTGCTTTCCTGACGTAGCGAGAATGGACAGGACCACGTTAATATCAAGCTTTATGACACGCTTGTAGACGATGAGCTTGTTTCGCTAGTGTCGTGTTTCTTTACTTATTTGTTTGATTGCTGGAAGATAAGAAGACCAAAAGTTGAAAGGAGGATCGTTTTCAAGCTTGAACGTTAACCGGTGCTGTCGGAAGAATGAGCTGGTGTATATCAAGTCGCTCCTTTCCCCCGAGACTATATTGCATGCTGGAGTCTGGCCTCGACTTAGGATTGATTATTGGGACCAGAACGACCAGCTCCGACGTCCCGCAGACGTATCCATGCGCATGCTGCGTAATGTATCCTAGCGTACTCAAGCGTCTTCAAAGACCGAGGCCCATAACGAACGCACGCCAACTTAAACAAATAAATCGCAAAACTGCGGAAAAAATACCCAGTGGTACAAGAGAAAAGATTTGCTCAATGAGCGATACAACTTCAGAGAGGGTATGCGTCCATCCGAATCTTTAACTTTGGCCCAGCGAGGACAGCGAGTAAAGGATAAGATACCTTCTTGGAATTGGAATGTGTGATGCAACAGGATGGCATAAGACTTTCCGTGGGAAGACTAACATTGGCGAGAATGTAGAGTATGTTGTTGAAGAAATTCCACTTGTATTACCCTCATCGCCTGGACCTGAAACACTGAACAGTGAATTAGTACAGATATCAGTAAGTTTCCGTCATGCCATCATGATCCTCTGCTCTCTTGAATCGCAATTATAAATAAGCTTCTAAATTAACAGTCATACATGGACTATAAATTATATCAAGAACACGATGTGTAGTAATGTTATGGCTATCCGATACATTAGTGAATTGACGGGGTATCTTGATTGGCACGAAACCATCTACGGCATCTCTAGTGGATCTATTGGTGGCACTGCTGACACTGAAATCATACAGTTTCCTCGCCCGACGATCCCGGCACAGCTTGATGATCATCATTCGGGCCATCGTATGGACGGCTATTTTCGGTGCCCTCTTCCCTAAAGCAGCCGACCAAGGGAGGATGGTTCTCCAACATAGTGACCATCTGTTGTCGACGAGAGCTCGCGTTAGCATGTGCAGAAATACGACAAACTAAAAGGGTCGGGGCGACAGCCTGGAAGGATTTAGATCTTTGGCTAAAAGCAAATGCGATGGAATCTCTCGCACCCTGACATAAGCAGCAATAATATCAGCGTAGTAGCCGTATTTTGAGTTCTTCGACACCAGTGCTAATAGACGATTAAGGAAAGCGAATAGATCGCCGATGACTCGATCAGCATCTTGACGATTTTGCGGGAAGCGCTCATCCTTGAAGCTTGTCGAACAACGCGATAAACAATTAAAAGTGTGCACGTGAGCGTCGTAGCGAGCGTCAGTAAGATGTAGGACAGCGACCAGTCAATTTTTGCTGAAAAACCTCCGGCCTCGCTAAAACCATTGGGAGAATTGGGCAAATCACTAAGTATTTGCATGACCTTCATGACTGAGATACTGAGGGACAGATATATCTGTAGCCAATAGAAAGACTCACCTGTTCCAGCTACAGTACAAACAATCGGCAGCGAAACAATTCGCCACTGACGGTCCCAGAGCACCCAGCAGCGCCATATCTATAACAATTTAGTTGTTCTTGATCGACCAGACTGTACAATATGACTTACAATTGTGGTATCGACTAAAAGAGTGCTGACACCACCATTAATACCGTAGACGAAGTAGCGCAGTCTCCACCACAGGCCGTCTTCCGCTATCGCCCCGAATACCTTGATATAATTGTCGCCGTACGCAATGAACGCGTGACGTATAAACGCCCAGCCCATTGCGAACGTTATCGTCGCAAGAACATTAAGGATGATGATGACTGTACGCAGGAATATGCCGTGTAAGCGCTTGGGAGAAGAGACTGAGCTATGAGTTTAGTAGAGGTGCCAGTCTATTCAGGAGAATGAACGTACACATTGTCCATAAAGTGACTGCAACGATTCCGGTATATAGACCTGCGAGGCGAGGGTTTGAAAGAGAATCTGAGAAATGGAGGGATTGAACTCACCGTGCAACAAGGCTTGCAGAATCGTAGTGTTCAGATTAAGATCAAGCGTGCCGATGATAATGTTTATGTCATCTTGGGAAAGGTCAGGCGCACGTCCCTCCATTTCAAAAGGAAGTATACGACTCCAAGGAGGCACGCTCGCTGGTTCATATATCTGACTTTGGACAAATACAATGAAAGATCTAAAATGCAGAAGAAGAAAGAATCGGGAAGCTCAGTCACTAACGTCTCAGATCTCAAGTTTCAATACTTTAATCACGTTGGTTGTGCAGACATACGCAGTATCCACGGATAAGTTTTTGAGTGATCAGTTGGATGAGATGTCCTTGTTATCATTGCACAGCTTCTACCTGCAACTGGTGATGACTTATTGAAAGCCTTGGTTGGACCGGGACGCACCATGCTTCGGGATCATTGGATGAAGATCGACCCCCATTGCACTGCAGCAAGATCAGTTGGATGCCACCAGATAGCAGTTGCCAATATCTACATAACGATGAGGATGTTTCTACCTGATTGTCATTGTCCTGCGGGAGTGGTTGGTATAGCGGCTCACCTCAGTAGATCATACCCTCAGGAGAGCGTAACTTAGACCAAATAGCGGAGCCTTGCTCCTAGGGGAGGTGCGCTTGTTTTTTCTGGACATGTCACATGCAACAATTAAATGAGTTCACCAACGAGAAGGGTGCGCTTACGTGGCTGTCGGTTTGGACTGTTGCCGCAAAAGGGCTAAAGCTGGCTCTGATGTTGGAGTTCGCATGGGAGTGCGCTCAGTTCCTACAAAAGTATGGTTTGTTTGGGTTTCGTGATATAATTAGGGGATAAAGAATCTGTTAGTCCGAGGAGACTGCAGATAGTAGGGCAGGATTAGGCCAAGAATGCATGATTACTCGCGCCGAGAAAAGATACACACGACATGCTAGCAAACTGACAGAAAAGTTGAGATATGCGGATAGCATAATTTTGAGTTTCATTACTTCATCCGTACGGGCTGTAAAAACCAAGCATCCAGCTGAGAATCGTGTTCGGAAAGAGATGGTAGGTCAAAGCCAAGTAGGAGTGTGGCCGGCCCGGATGGGGACAGCGCCAAGTCATCTGATCAAATCGCGTTTTTCGAATTTCAAATGTTCGTTGACTCCTTCACTTCCATTCCATCACATCCTTGCTCTCAGTTCCACACATCTACTAGTGCTCCGGGGATGAACAACGCGACTAAAATACTTGTGTACTCCGAGGAAGATGAACTGCTGACTGGAGGCCAACGAAAATTAGTAAAAGCGTAAAGGGAGCATTGGCGTGGATATGCTACTAGACATTATGCTCTGTGTCCGTAGATATATTCGCTTTTTATTGTTGTGTAAGAGCTCATGCACGATAAAGATCCTCGAATTTCCGGATACTCAGTGCGCCTGTCGAAGACTTTCTGGCGTATTCTGATGTCAAAGTCCTTCATCTCAGCCTGGAATTCTGCGCGGAGAAACATCGGTGGGCTCCTGGAACCTTTTCATGATATAACCGAGCCTGCTTGAGTATTCATCCCGGTCTGCCAGGTATGCCTTTTTCATTTCTATGCATTTCTTTGCTGAATACCTCTCTAGTTCTGCCATAGGGTATCAGCGAAAGCGCTGGAACTTCATCTCGTGACGCATGTATGCACGGCGCATACACCACTCCAGTGAGCCTCGACTTCTTCGTTATCGAAAGACAACTGATGCTATCGTCTTAGCAGGCTCTCCATTTCTGATCTTGAACACGTTCCGGAATGCGTTCGAACTGCTATGGGCGCCCTGCTAGTATGCTAGAGCTCTTCCTGGCTTCCGTGAACACAGCCCGATAAGGACAAGGGCGGAGACCGAAACGTTAGAAGGAGATTATCTGCAAGCGTGAGTTCCTTTCGCTATTGTCGAAAATTGTCCTCATCTTTCCCCCAGTATCAGACAGAACCTTGTGGACCTCAGATATAGAGCAAAATTGGTTGCAGTGGTTAGTATCGACGTCTTCGCCAAGAATAGCCTTGGCAACTAAACTCGATCTCTTACAGATCGAAGCGTGCTGCTTTCCCATATGCCCAATGTACCCTTTATCATGATCCTGTTCCAGTTTGGACCAATAGCAGGGGAGAATTTGACAATTACATGAAGAGACAGAACGCCCGCCTAACTCGAGAACGCAACAACCTTCTTCAAAGACGAAGGGCGTTTCCATCGATTACCGTCGCATGAGCAAGACTCGGGCTTTGATGACGCTCTTCCCCCTATGTTCAATTTCTTCGAACTCCCTTCAATCCGAAAGACCATACACCTACCGCCCGACGAAACTCCCCTGGCCACTTCCGTCTTATCACCGAGGTACTAATCCTTCACTTCGAGGCGTGGCAGTCTTCCATCCAGCAACGAGTCGTTGACTTTGCCCTCGGGAAGGACTTAAACGCTCTTTACTGAGGAGAAATCCTCCCGAGTCGAGCTCACTCGGAACGTTTGATTTGCAAGGACTGCACGATCTTTTTGCATTGAACTGGCATTGTCGGAAGGAAGCTGATGTATATTGAGCCGCTCATCCGCCGCCGCTGCTTGGGGTTCGTTTACCGCACCAGGAACGACGGGCATCGACGTAAGTACTGCAAATGTATCCGCGCGTATGCTACGGAGTACAACTCGTCTCCGAGATCAACGACCGTGTGCAAGAGGTCGTCAATGGTCTCATCGCCTTCGTTGGCAGCGATCCTGCGACGACCACCACTGGAAGACCTGGATGTCGACATGGAGGATGGCCAGTTCGAATGCTTCAAGTGTTCTAACAAAATAAACAGGCAAGAGGGAGCCATGCTGGACCCTACATTTGAGCTTCACGTGTGGAGGGATTTTGTAAGTGTGCCTTTCCTGCGTCCCTGCATGTCTTGATACATCGTCCACTCCAAGGTAAAACACATCAGCATAGAGGACTACGAAGACCTGACACCGCTCGAAGACTACGATTGGCTTGTCCCCGAGTCGATGCTAGATGGGAGAATCTTCCTGACCTGCACGGTATGGAGTTCCCCTGCTAGTCGTTCTACCGCGAATATGGAAGCATGGGCATAGTCAAGCACCTGCATGTTATGCTGAATACGTTTCTTTGGTCTTCCATAAACACAGATGTTGATGACACTTCATTTAGCCCCGGGCGGGCCGCTGCGATAGACGAGGTGGATATGTACGCTTATAGGCATGATCTTTGCCTGAACAAAGGATTGCATGCACGACGAAAGCGTCAAAGCTAGCACTTCGCGAAAACTTTGTGTTGATTTACTTCTATCGCTTTCGTTGTCTCGGTGACACCCTGGTACCAACTCTAATACCCTGTAGATGCACCTACGATATCCCACCATGAGGTCCCATATAGTGCTCAGCGTTTTACGAGTCTCCTTGGGGCATGGCATTCGATCGATGGGTTATCCCCGAGCCACTTAACAGAATCATCCGACCACTGATAACAGTGAACGGCGCTGTTCCCTGTAATTCCCCCAACGCACTCGGCACGCTAGTAGGCCGCCGTTAACATGGTATCAAAACAGGAGGGGGGGGGGACATACCTTATCCCGGACGGCCCAGCGAGCAACCATCAGCTCATTTTGACCATGCTCCTTTTTGACTACGTCGAGAGCATCTTTGATTCGTTGCTCGTACTCCGATCTCCAACCCCATGATTTAGAACCGGAAAACATGTCGTGGTGGAAGTAGACATATTGTTCCTCGTCGGCCGTGAATTCATATCTTCCCTTCGCAACTGGGGAGGCGTCCACAAGTTCCTTGAGTGCCTTCATCGGCTCTGACATGGGCTCGGAATACGCTTTCATCTCTTCCGCCTCCGGGCGCGGCGGATACTGCCGATGGAATTCTGCATCTTCCAGATCCTGCATTCGGTGTATTGCCATCCTCCTCTTCTCTGACGACGAGGTGGCGCTGTATGGATACTCTGGATCCGTCTTGTCATCCCTGGCTATGGGGATGCAAGCCTTCCACAGCCAAGAAGGGATCTCCTTCTTGAGGCGCGTCTCTTGTTGGAGAAGAGACTCGGACCGTGGCGCTGCTTTGGTTTTCGACTGCGATTTCGTGGGTGACTTTGGCATGAGGGGAAGGAAGAACTCAGGGGACGAGCTTCGTTTACATAACGCGTCGGGACCGCTGAGTGAGACACTATAGGAGATGATCGACATGATAATGACTCGATCTCATGATAACCCAATGACGACCATATCATGTCATAGCGATCACACACAAATAAAGATGACGATCTGTAGGTATTTTGTTCCATTCAAGCGTGGAACAGGGAAGCTGAACATCGGTTCATAGTACTCTGCGCTCGGACTGCCGCACATATATGGGTCATGCTAACTTGTCGGGTCTAATGGATTATAGGCTGGAAAGTGCCTAATATCGGCGTCGCTGAAACTAAACCTCTTCCCAGAAATCGAAACTCGGAGTCATATATCATTTCCCTAGTAAATATAGCTATGCTATCTCAGCCTTGCGAATAATTGAGACGATCTTTCCTCTTTCCATATCGCTCGCTTTTGACTCCTCTGCCAGTTTCTGACGTTGGCGGTGACGAATCCGACCAATGAGGATAAATAAGAGGATAAACAACCCGAATGAACGGAGGAAGAACATCATGGTCTACCGGAAGCCGAATATCAGCTCACTGCTCAGAAACCATGAAACATGGGGCTTACGTTAAATTATATTCGGGTATCATTCGTCTTCTGTAAAGAAACTCCGTCACCACCTCTAAGTGAAATGTATTTAGAGAAGATACGAACCCCAAAGATGAGGCGGACACTGGTTCGTCTCTAGTAGGAAGATGTTCCCAGCGAGTCGGGCTCGAACTGTAAGAGTATGCTCTGCTTTGCTGGCCTCCCATTTCGTTGTATGGCTTTGAAACGAGGCGTGCAAAGGCTTTTCTGAAACATAATTAGCACAAGGAAATCAATGGTAGCGATAATGCACAACGCACAGTTTCTTTGGCTTTTCAAGCTGAGAGGGGAATCCACGATTAAAGATATCAATTGCGAGACATTTGTGCCTTTATAACCACCAGTACACAGTACATCGGATAAGTGATAATTTCTGGGCCGTATCGGTCATTTGGAGCGCTCGGTTATGTGATATAATGGCTGAAACCATGACCCCAAACTTGCAAGGGGGAGATCATGCATATCTTCATTCCCGAGGTCGTTTGTCACCCTGGATGGACAGAGAATCAAATGATGACTAGGAGATACCGCCTTCGAGTGATACAAATGACAAGGTCGATTCTCTTGCGCCTTTATATATGTACCCTGCAGACTCAGAGCAGGTTCGAACGGATATGTATGCAGGGTGCGATAAATGTCCGGATACAAGACACCAGGCTGAACATGCAAGTAGTTGTGGTAACAGGTACCGGACATTGTGTTGGACAGGTGCGAATCTAGGCCGGCAGAACGAGGGAAAAGAGAGGAACAAAGTAAGGGTACTACCTAGTCTCTTCATTTCTGACCGTTTCATGATAGGCGATCTACAAGACGAACCTTCGTTTGTACCTACCACCTAAGATACCAATATCTGTCGGCGAGGCACCTGATGGAAAAGCGCGCCCACCGCCAATAATTCGGATTTCACATTTTAGATGCTTAGGTGCCCGGTAGGCTAACAGGTAGATTAGAATTGAAACGGATAGCCAGAAGAGGTCGGTTTCGAAGGAAAGATTTTTTCTATGAAATTAAATCACACGTTCTCAATAAGCTTAGCCAAGTTCGCCTCGTTGGAGTTTGAAAGATCGGGCCGCCCAGTCAATGGCTGTGTTACACAGTGAAGGGACGTCGGCCCGCACCGGGTCATAAGCGCGGCACGCTCAAAAGTTTTGCACTGTTTTCCTCATTGTCGATGGGCGATAATCTACGCTTTCAACGTCATCGATTGCCGTCATTTTTTTTTTCAGGGCGAGCCCAACGCCGCGCACTGTTCGAAGAGTTTGGAAGGCCGGCATCGACGCGTCGTTCGATGGATTGAATTGCTACATTACTTATGCCTGCTCTTTCACACTTACTGCTCTACAGCCCATAAGATTTATCTGTCGCAACTTAGCTATGCCCCTAAGGTGGACTGATAGTGGGCTGTTGATTAACTTCAATCATTGATGAGTGATGTTGGATTCATCTTTCGATAAGTTCGTCACGGAAGAACGCTGGCACCGAGCAGCATCCCTGCGTGCAGAACGCGACTTTATGAGGAGGAAATACGAATTACGGGGGAAAGAAGAAAGTAGAAAATATTATATGCAACCTCATCCATGTGTATTGCTGATGGTACTCTTTTGGCTTTCCAAATCGACTGTCACCAGAAAATCTACCTCTTCTGTGGCCTTACAAGCCCTCCAACTCCGATACCACTGCCGCAAAATCACGACGACTAGAAGTAGCAGTGTAATGCCCCATAAGACGTCGAAACGAGTACCTGTACTCGAGGCGCAGCTGTTGCGATCTTCTTGCCAGTCGAATAATGCACGTTTACTGTCAGGGCTTTTAGGAAAAGGTAGCTGAGGTAGAAAGAGGGCAAGTACGAACTCGTTAGGTGAAGCACCTACATGAATCGTGCCGGCGTAAGAGAAATTTGGCGTGCTTTGTGAGCTTCCCATTGCGGCTAGATGCAGAGCCTGTCACCATGGCGTAAAATTGCTGTAAAGGTAAATAACGTACTTCAAGTGCAGCCAACAACCTCACAGAGGTGATTTCTCTATTAAAGACGGCGCCAGTATAAGGATACCATTTTATACGAGCTTCGGGATATGCGATGAAACAGCTCATACTTTGTAAGCGTACCTGTAAGGAACTTGAGTCCGAAAGCGTTCGACATCATCTTAATGTCCAGAACTGATATCAATCGTACAAAACGGAAAATGATCAGAGCTTTATTTGTACCTTAGATGTAGAAGGAATCCCTTGTCAAACTCGCTTGAAACTGAGCGCCCAACAGGGTAAGGTCGATACATATCATCTGGGTCTCCATCAAAATCATCCATCCTCATTTCTGCAACGAAACCCGCTCACGATTTTGTCTTGGAGTGCTTTCTGACGATGCAGGAGAGTCAGGGGATGTTGTGCAATCATCGGACGGATTATCAGTGAGTAAGATGGAAACAAGGTTCCCACGTGGTGGCTGTGTCGCTCACCCTTGGACTGATCCATCACTGGCTCTTCGCAGCCTCAAAGTATCGATATATCAGCGGCGCTAATCATATCCGTTTTACCGTTTACGACTTCTGCAGCAATTCACTTTCGTCAGCATCTAATTATCGGAGCTCTCGGCGAACGAATCCAAGGACAAGTCTCGCTATTTAATTTTTTTGTTTCGGCACCGCCCAGTTTCATAGCAATAAGGCCGATGTCATTGCATCACAGCTATGGATGAATAGTTAAGATGCGATGCTGCGAAATCTAAAATTTAAAGTGTAAGCCAGCCTGTCCGTTTCGCCTTGTTCCGTTGATCAACTTCTCCATGAATTCCAGACTATCAAACTTGAAGGCATATTCTTGGTCCCTTCTACACTGTTTGCGGTTTTCTGGACGAGGCAAACTGCTGGTGTAGAATTACGATTACTGACTAGCGGGCTATGTGGACCCTAAGTTGGGCCTCGGGGCATCACTGTCAATATCTGATCTGCTTGATGGTAGTCTCTAGGTCCTGATGCATACGATACGCGTTGCATCATAATACCGTATTAAGGAGTCGCTGGGTTTGGTTTTCCCTCAAGATGGATTCAGACGGCGTTGTTCCTTGTTCCTGGTCGAAAGGTACAGTTCTCCATGAAAGACTTCGTAACGAAGCGCTCAGATTTACGCAGGTAGTCGGCGCCACAAGGTAGTGCAAAATTATTTCGTCACAGCCTAGGCATCGATTTCCATGATAGGTTGTGGAACAAGGAACACCGCGCGAGGTGAAACGTACTCGGTAATTCCATGGATCCCCATCCTTTTGTTGATCATCAGGGATGTACCGCAGAGGCTCCATATATCAAGAGGCTGCCGACTCCCTGCTCGACAAATTACATGGAATCTCCTCCGGCCAACCTGTCTCAACATGACAGAAATGTCATATTTGACAATCTTGACTTGAATTTCAATCGTACGCTCTTGGAATCGTTACTGCAAGGTGAATCCATTGTTCCTTCCTGTCTTCCTTCTCCTAAACTCATATTACCGTAGGCCTGTATACCTTTATCGTAGCAGTCACCTTATGGACTACACGTTTGTCTGTATTCTTCAATTAGCCCACACACTAATTGAGCATCTCGTCCAGTTTCTTCTCCCAAGAAATCCGGCAATGCTTTCCTGCTTACAGTCGTCGTGATTCTATACCTTCTCACGACAATTGCCTTCGGCGTCGACTGGACGTACCAACGGCGGGCGTTTATCCAGAACGGGGACAACTTTTTCAGTGTCTTTGTTGCGCTGCAAAGCTATTGGGCCGTGGTGGAGAACGTACCAACTCGTGGGCGGTATTGGCGGGGGAATGTGCACGTTATCGTCGATATCACTATTGTATGTCTTCTGTTCCAGCTGTGGCGATCTGTTAAAACTCACCTTTCTTAGATATGGCGTTGCTGGGTGTTTTGGGGCCGTCGCTGGTGCATCATCATTGTTCCAGCCCTTTGCGCCGTCGCTGGGACGGGTAAGTGCTTCCTTGTTGTCACTCTGCTCTTTTCGATCAATGATTATAGTTGCGAAGTCCATGCAAATCCGCAGTGTTTTCATCAATACAACCAACAATATTGGCGAAACCGGAGGATTCGCAGCAGAGATCAACTGGCCATTGATCTATATCTCCCTGACACTCGCTACAACACTCCTATGTACACTCTTAATCGTGTACAGGATTGTTCGTCTGGCGTTTGGGGTGAGTTCATACGGGAAGATTGTCGAGATCGTGATCGAATCTTCGGCGATATACTCACTGGCGCTGATCGTGTACCTGGCCTTGGTCGCGAGGAATCTCGAGTCTAGCTATTACGCCGATATCATTATGGCATATGTCAAGGTGAAGAATTGTCATGTTTAATTTCTTGGGTCGAGCAGCTGACACTTCAATTCCACGGTAGGTTATCGCGCCTACGCTCCTTGTTGGACGCGTCGCAGCTGGTTCAAATTCAAACTCTAACAGCCAGACAGTGGTCCATTCCACAAGGGACCGCAGCTCTGTGCTAAGTCGATTTTTGGCAAGAAAGCGGGAGACTATCATCATAGGTCAAAATGTTGAGGACTCCACCACCTCATTAGGATCTTATAGGAAGTCTATAGTGGAAAGTGTCTGATATTGACAATCTGCGCTGTTCATAGAGATTGGGGGGTAACTATGTTTTCATATATTAAGTAGAGCCATGGACTGCATAAGTTATTCGTTCTGAATATTAGTTGTAATATGATAAGTTGTCCGTATCATAGGCGCATCTTGGGTAGCCATTGTGTGAACTGAGAACAAACAAAAAAACTAATTCCGTGTCAAGATGCCTTTTTAAAAACTATACAGCTAAGCCAAGGGCACATCCTCGACAACTACGATCATCTTCTGATCTTTCCTCCCTCTAAATCTCCCACGGGTAACATCGTATAACGAACCTTTGACGCAATATCGCTAACCTTGCGGTATCGATGACGGCTATATAAGAACCCGGCCATGAGGAGAAGTAACACCAATGAGACCATTGCGAACACAAGGAGTCGAATTCTAATGGCTACTTCCAGATGAACATCATGATCAGCCTCATTCAAATAATACAATGACTTACGTCTTATTGTTCTCGAGCAAGACTTGTTGTCTGCACAGGTATGTGAATTATCCTATGCATTTCAGCAATGTAGTTCACGAACCTTAGTTCGCATTCGGGTAACTCGTAAGAAAATCAGATTGATCCTCCTGTTCTATTGAATGGAAAAAATGGTCTTGTAAGCCTAATAATCTTCATTTAGACCCCTATGAATGTGAAAATGACAGAAAATACTTTGACGTACCTAAGGAACGTTTTCTATAGACTGTTCAGGACTGTAACACGATTTCTTGGTACTTGCTTGATACCGGCTGCATTTATAACTGAGAGAGTTCTTGCATGTGACTCGGTGCGGGATATGGTGTCCTTTCTATGGGATGTAATTGTTTGAAGTCCTCCACCATCACGATATGAGAGATTGTGGTTAAGGTATGGTTCAAATACATACTTATCGTTTCCATGTTTTACTAGACAGCCTTAAGAGATATCTGGACTATTATTCAAGCATTCGGTGTCAGATGTCTTCTTCAATAGGACTAGGAAGGATTCCCAATAATATACCACGAGTATTATGGTACGTCCCGTGAAAGTCAATGGCTTCGAACATTCCGTTATCAGTTATGGATTCATCTACAAATGAAGGGCAAATATGTATGCGCTAAGAAGGAACGGTCCAACTCGAACGTCGGTTGCACACAGTACAATAAGAAGTAAGTACAAGAGCATTTATACTGTCTGAAACATACAACTCAGCTATTATATTCCAGCGGTAGTGGCTCATTGCAACACGGTAAGCTAGCCGATTGTGAATACGAGGTTATTGACAACGACTATACAAGAAGCGTTTCAGGACAATAAGACAGCAGCCGTCCCTGCCCCACCTCAGGGCCAGGGGTATGATAAAAGTCTTTTTCTTGGAATTCTATGGCGCCTAAGCCTGCTTGCCTTTTCCAAGCAAGAAGGAAAGGCTGCAAAGTTATGGAAGCACCACTGCGCCTTCGTGTGTTTGCCCGATAGATGGCAAGTGCTGCAGAGATCAAGAGGAGCATCAATGCTACGCAAACCGTCGCGACTCCCCAGACAACCGCTATTCTCAATATAGCTTCTGTGGACGACTGGGACTCGCTAGAAGGGTCCAATTATAAGATTTCGAATCGAATTGGCATACATGAAACTGACTTTGATCTGCTATCGCAACAGGTTACGAGCGTCTGCTTTCTGTGCCGATATATTAGAGACTATCGGGAAAAGCGGTTCAAAGGGTTATAAACTGACATCACGTCTCTCTTAAATCCATGAGTAGAATGGCCAATTCCAAAACTAGGCAAGCCACCGCTGTTTGTTGACCTCCTTTGGATATCTAACAGTCTACGCTGAAACTGCAAGGGTATGAGTACCGAGAAAATAGGGCGAGAAACGATTACAGAAGTACATGCATAGAGGAAATTCTGGATATCATTGGTAGTAGCTTGATATAAAACCGTTTGCAACCCTGCGAAGGAAATGTTTTGTGTTGTTAATACTGAAGGAAATTGATCGGAATGGCAGCTTGTAAGAATGCTGAAGAGTTAACGATCCCCTGGGGTTGTTTTCCTTTGAATTTATGAACCATTGAAACCGTAAGAATCATCCAGCACTGTGTCAGAACATATAAAGGGGAAAGGCTATTCGGTTGTATTGTCATCAGATAACCATCCATTTAGACGTGTTCCTCTGGTGCCATACAAAACATTCCATGCTGGGACAGAGGAAGTGAGAAGAGCGGCGAGTTCCCATTGTCGCATCAATGGATCAGGACGATGGGAAGATGCCACCGTTTCCACTGATCAACAAAGTATTGAATTCTACGACTGTCTTCATTCCGCGGAATTCCTGCTTAAGCGTTCTTGGTGATTTCAGATTCCCTAGTATGTCTTGACCATCAAATGGAATCCGTCTCACATCGCAGTCTATGCCATAGCAACGAATGCGTCCAGTGCCTTTTCCAGATCATCCCAATGAACCTAGCAGACGGAGCATTATTTCTAGAATCGAGATGTAAGATGATGCACAGATACGTACAAAATGATTAGTCCCACCAACAATCCTGTACTTGGCCGGCTTCGTATCCGCAGACCTCAACTCCTTCTCGTCATCCTGCACCGCCCACATCACAGTGATCCCAAATGCGCACACCTTGTCTTCACATGCAAGCGATCTCTTCATACCCAGGAACACCGGGTCAAGCTAATACCCAGGACAGCTTGTCGAGGTCGCGCCCGATGATGTCAGTGTGGTCGAAGTAGGACGTGCACCACTTCCCGAACGTGGGTAGACGGAGGTTCTCGGGCACCTTGTTGTCGACGAGGAATATCCAGTTCTGCTCGGGAGTCGGTCACCCGAGTGCAATTGAGGCGGGTTCTACAATTGGTATTCCATCATTTCAGCGATGCCTAGAAGAAGACAGGACGCACCATAAAGGGTCTACAAACGCATATAATTGCTTAGACGACGACGGACGTCTTCTGGAAGTGCATCAGCCCTTGATGTCATAACGGGAATGAAAGTCGTGCCGCCAGTGAGCGGCCATCTGAAATGCGCTGCCACCACCACTCGAGATGGATGAGATTGATATTTGTGTAAAGATACCGATAAAGAGCGCAATGTCATGCCCTCGAGCCTCGACAAATGCCTCGCGCTGGGAATCATCGGTGCCGCCGGCATGAGAGATGCTAAGTTCTTTCGTGGAGAGAGGCGTCGAAACAGGGAGGGAACGCCTATTAACGCAACGGAACATACGCCTTTGGATGGAGCTTGATCTATTACTCATTGGAATACCCCTGAAAGTGTGGGGTAAGGGGCTTCGCATGGTGTTCAGAAAGTCAGTACTCACCCTTATAAAGATCATGCCATGAATGGCAAACCTCACTCCTCTACGGCATAAACTTGAGTGATGAAGGGAAATGCCAAAAGGAAACTATGACGATGCCATGATAACAAACCCGAGTGGCCGGAGCCGAGGCACTCACTCCTCAGGGTAACGAGGTCAAACTAGCCCAGTCCTCGATGCAAACGACATGGATCTCTCTCCCTCAGTAATGAAACTTTGGTGATTCAGAAATGGGAAAACAACCCTGGGCATGAAGCTTGAAGGCGCAAACCACTCAGTCAAGATTGCGAACTTAAAGGAAACCCCGCTTTTACGCCGTCTTGCGATGATCGGAGGTTAGCATTCTAACGATCCGCGTAATTAGTATCCGCACGCAGTGTCAAAAGGTTTGGGTGATGGATAACATCAATTAGAATCAATCATACGACACAACATCCAAGCAGATGATACCGCAAAGAATCGCATGATCCCGCCGGCTTAGGCTAGCTATATGTTCAATCCTTCCGAGCGACTTGTAAGTTCCAGTTGGAAAGAGAAGGATCGAGAAACTGACTTCTAGATCCATCTAAAAATTCTCTGGTGTGAAATTCAACACAGAACGGCAATTAGCAGCAACCATTCTCATCGGGCACGTTGCCATCCTAGCCATCCGATGCCCTGCAAAAACTTTGAGGGTTGCCTAAGAAGCAGACAGTAACGCATATATCCTGTTTAATACCATCAAGACACGACCACAGAGCTAGCTCTAGGAAGCGCACCGGCTTTTTCAACTCTTTCTACATCGCACTAGAGTTCGAACCATGACTTACTCAGCCCATTTCATGGTCAAGGCTCAACTCTGTTCTCGAAGGGTTCCGCAACTCCCGAGATGGCTAGCACTACAGCTGAATTTAATAAACACGAGCCCAACAGAAGAAAAACTAAACGCACTCTTGAACGAAGTCACCAAGATACTTCCTACGTGTGATTGGTATTGTTCGGATGAGACTACCGTCGTGATAGCAGCAAGAGCAACCCATAGAGAGCAAGAAATCAAGATTTTGGGGCCTGAAGTCACCGTAAATTCATGCAACAACATAATAAAAGAATGTGCGTACTGCGCCTCGCGGTCAGGCATCAGCTGGCTCTTGATGGTTTCCGATTCTCGCTGATAATGTATTTTCTGTACAGAGCACTAGCCTCATCACTGTCGTAGATACGGGAGCAGGTTGAAAAGGCAACGGAGACGCGCTGAGAGCTGAGGGAAGGACGGGAAGAAGCTCGTTATATTTGTTAGTGCTTGACATCGTCCTCCTGTGCCGCATGCGGCCGACTTCGTTCAAACCGCTTCCAAATTGTTTCGTTTCAACTTTGCCTCATACAGTAGCAGTAGTGAACTTCGTCCTTGTTGGGATTTGCAACTTCAAGCTCATGCTAGAAGATTCCCGAAGCTTCGGCTTATTCATTTGTCACGATACTTAGATATATTTAGTACTTTTGGTAGAATATTCTAGATACTTTTCGTAGTATATAAGGAGCTCATTAGGAGCTCTAGTAGCTAACAATTCAGTATTATACCTACTGCAAGCCTCCCACTGCAATAATTCCAACAGTCCTAACGTTAAGGTACTTCCAGACGCTCAAGAAATTTGACTCCGCAGATCACGTAGGGCAACAAATTTGAAATTTTTGAAATTTGGGCGGCTCCCTCTGAAGGTTTCCTGGTCCCAGAACCTTGGGGCCACCGACGCAATCATGTTAATCTGTTTGTCATGGTTTAACCAATGCTTCTCAGCTTTGTGGGCACTCAAATGGAGCAACGGCGAGTTGAAGAACTCTCCAAGGAAAATTTCCAAGGATATTCACGATTTACCTGGAAACGTACTAAGGACAGTTTTCCTGGTACTTCCGGGCGAGTGCTAGATAGACATTATTCATTTTTCTCAAAATTCCTTTACTATTAATTAAATGATATACCATAGTATGTGTAAAAAATCTATTAAGCGTCATCTGTAGCTCTTAAATCAAGATTGTAGGCAGGCGGCGCATCCTCGGCAACTACGATCATCTTCTGAGCTTTTCCAGATCTTCTATGGGTAAGAGAGCTGCATAGACCGCCTTTGACTCAATGTCCGCAATCCTGCGACGTCGACGACAACCACATATGAGTAGGGCTATGAGAACAAGTAACCCCAACGAAAGCCACGCAATCATAATAGTCGGGTCAAAATGGCTACTTCTGGATAAATATCAGGATTTGCCACTTGTTCAATGGATACAACTTACGTCTCATTGTATTCAAATGAGGCTCGTTTTCTGCACGACCATGTTAATCACTCTACGCACTTCCATATCGTGATTCACGAACCTGACGCATCCGGATGCTTCGTCAGAATAGCAGGCCCGTACGAATGGTCCCAGGGTTGCCAGGGTTCCCCCAGCCCCTTGGCCAAATGTAATATCGCCTGATTCGCTTGGTGGCGGAGGGTGGTGCTTATGCCCCATTCAAAGCTAAAACAAGAAATTGTTTCGGAAGCCTATTTTCATTCAGGACCCAATGAATCTTTAAAATGACGGGCAATAGTACTTTGACGTACCAGGGGAGCCTTTGCTGCGTGGAAGGATGGAGTTCTTGAATGCAGGTGTCCGTCAACAATTGCGCTTATAAACTCTTGCTTGTGTACCTATGCTGGCCTAAAACCGTAAACGATCAGCACAACCTCAGAACATATAAAGGGACAGAGCTACGAGGCCTCGCTGTCATCAGACGAGCAGCCACTTGGAGGAGACCCTCTTGAGGGATCCAAAACGCGATCAAAAGCGCTGAAAAGGGCTTGTCGTGTCTCCCAATCAATAAATTAGAACGTCGCAAATATGCCATCATGGTCCACCGACCGACAAGGATCCTTAGAACCATATCCCTGACTTCGCAAGTACGATTTGGATTATGATCTGTAATTTAGTGATTTCATATTTTCTTTGAATGCCTTTAACATTAAACGGAACATGTTTCGCATCACGGCCTATGCCATGTCAATGAACGTATCCAGTGCCTTTTCCGGATCATCCCAGTGCACCTAGTAAAGGCGTCTCAGTTTGGACCATGGGATGAAGATTCAGCAGACAAATATGCACAAAATGGTTAGCTCCACTGATAATCTTATACTTGACTGGCTTCGCATTCGCGGATCTCAACTCCTTCTCATCATCCTGCACCGCCCACAACGCAGCAATAGCAAAAGCACCCGTCTTGTCTCCACAGACAAACGATCTCTTCATACTCGGGAACACTTCAGCATCAAAGAAGGCTTTACGATATGCCCCAGAATTTGCTTCGAGAAGATCAAAAATGGCAGGTCCGCCCGCTGCATCCTCCCCATAGTGTTGAATGGACAGAGGAAGGTCATTGAAGAATGTGGGAACACGATAAGGGGAGGCTAATATCCAGGACAACTTATCGAGGATGTCAGCGTGGTCGAAAAATGACGTGTACCACTGCCCGAATGCTGGTGGGCGGAGGCTCTCGGGCACCGAGGTATCTAGGAGGAATGTCCAGTTCTGCTTGGGAGTGGGTAGCCCGAGTGCGATTAGGGCGGGTTCTACAATTCTTATTCAATCAGATTTCAGTGTCTCCTAGAGAAGGACAAGATGCACCGTATAGGGTCAGTAAACGCGTGCAATTGCCCAGACGACGGTGTGATTCAGAGTTCTTCCGTAAGTGTTGCCGAACCACGAAAAAGCGTCTATTCAACGCGAGAATGCGTGCGCCTTTGGATGGAGCGGTCAAGCACTTGTTAGAATATCTCTGAAAGTTTGGCGTAGGCAACTGAGCATAGTGTTCAGAAAGAGAACAGGTCAGTACTCACCCTTGGTAAAGGTCATATCACGAATGGAAAATCTCACGCCACTCGACCAAGCCAATACGAAGCCATCGCGTATTATCGCCCCCAGTATAGACTTTCAAACCAAGTCCGGAGTGAAGAACACAAGGAGAGATGAAAAAAAAAAAAAAAACCGCTAAAAACCAAGCTATCGCAGTTGAGGTTGAGTTAATAAGCTCTGGTGGCTGAGCCGAAGCACTCATTCTTCCGGGCAACGAGGTCGAACTAGCCCAGCCCTCGATGCAAACCACATGGATCTCTCTCCCTCAGGAATGAAACTTCCGTGACTCAACAAATGAGCCAGCGAGCCTAGGTATGAAGGCAAAAACAGTTACATCCAGATCGCCAACTCGAAGAAAACCGCAGCTTTTTGGAGTATAATATCGCGACAACTGGGGAGTGACATTCTAGCGATCCGCGTAATTAGTTTACGCGTAGTGTCAAAAAGTTTGGGTGATGAATGATATCGATTAGGATCAATCGTATAATACAACATCTAGCTAGATGATAACGTAGCAAGAATCGCATGGTTCCGCCAGCTTAGGCTAGCTATATGTTCAATCCTGCAGAACGACTTGTAAGGTCCGGTTAGAAAGGAAATGTCCGACAAACTGACTTCTAGATCCATCTACAACTTCTCCCGTATAGAATTGAACACAAAACAGGTATCTGCAGCAACCATTCTCATAGGGCAAGTTGCCATCTAGCCGTCCAATGCCCTACAAAAACTTTGAGGGTCGTCTGAGAAGCAGACGGTAACGCATATATCCTGCTTGGTACCATCAACACACGACCACGGAGCTCGCTCTAAAAGGCGTACCGGCTCTTTCAACTCTTTCTCCATCGCACTAGGGTCCGAATCGTGCCTTCCTCAGCTAATTTCATGGTCGAGGCTCAACTCTATTCTCGAAGGGTTCCACAACTCCCAAGGCAGCTAGCACTCGGGATGAATTCAATACACATGAGCCCAACAGAAGAAAAACCAAACGCACCCTGGAACGAAATCACCAATATACTTCCTACGCGTGATTGGTATTGTTCCGATGAGACTACCGTTGTATCAAGATTTTTGGGTCTGAGGTCACCGTTAGCTCACGCAACAACGGAGTAAAAGAATGTGCGTACCATGCCCCACCATCCAGCATCAAGTGGTTCTTGATGGCCTCCGATCCTCGCTGACGATGTATCCTTCTCAAGTATGGAGTACTAACCTCACCATCGGGGGTACGGAAGCAGGTAGAAAAGGCAAGGAGGACGCGCTAAAAGCTGAGCAGTGGGGGAGGAAGGAAAAGTTCGTGATGTTTGTTGGTGCTTGTGATTGTCTTCCTGTGCCGCATCTAGCCGGTTCTCCCACGCTCTGACGGTCTTGCGCTTCATTTCAGCTTTGCTTCGTCCGGGGACTGGCAGCGATGGTCAACATTGTTGTAATGCTAGAGTGCCTCCAGAAGTTCAAGCATATTAACTCATCACAACATGTAGTGGGCCCAACAAATGTGAAGCAGCTCCCACTTCTGAAGGATTGGTCCCGGACCCTTGGGGCGACAAGTGCAACGTTAATCTGCTTGTCGTGGTCTACCTAACACTTTAAATCTCTCAGGTGAGCGCATCGAACAATACAACGACAAGAAGGTCTCTTATTTGTATCATGGTTCAACGTGCCATCTGTCGCGAGCGATAGATATTAGACATCATGCAAGGCCATTGGATATTCGCGTACATATACAGCTTGTGGTATCAGACGCGTTACAGCCAGCTCAAATTATAGCTCTAGCTCTCATGCAATGGTCCACCATAACATGGGACCACTGCTCTTTCCGGAGTCCATTCAGGGCAAGAAAGCGGGAGTCTGTTAGTGTTTGTCGGGACGCCGAAAACTTGCTGCCTTGTTGGGAGCCAATAAGAACTCTGGTGTATAACGCTTTTGATACTGAAATTATACACTAAAGTTGATAGACGTGACATTCTTCTATTGAGCAGATCGATGTAATTTAAGTTTTCGAGCAGGCCGGAATATTATTTAGAAGGATATAACATAGTACGTACAGCAAAATCTATTTCGCGGTCCTCTGTGCCAGTTTAATCATAACTATGAGCAGGGGATGTATCTTCAGAGATCACGATCATCTTCTCGTTCTTTCTACTCTCTAGAACTGTTCTCTGTGAAGTCGCTGTATGAAGCACCATCAACTCTATGTCCGTGACCTTGCACCGTCGACGACGACACCCACATATGAGCACCGTTGTAAGGAGAAATAACCCCAATAACAACCACGCAACCACAAAAATCAGGTTCCAATGGCTACTTCTGGATGAGCGTAATTTACTTATCCCTTGTTCTGAGTTCAATAGATACAACTTACGACTCATTGTTTTCGGATACCGCCCGTTCCCTGCAAGAATATGTTAATGACTCCATACACTTCGGCAACATAATTCACAAACTCCACGTTGCATACAAATTCCTCGGGCGGGCAGATGAGTCCAAAGGTCCCACTCCCCCGACCATACGGAGAGTCGTCTGGCCTACGTTTCATCTGAATGTCGATACGAGAACTACTTCAGAAACCTATTAATCTTCTTTCATGCTCCTACAGATGTTGTAAAAATGGCAGGTACATTAACGTACCTGGGGAATGTTTTTTGTGAGTGAAAATGAGCTGAGTTACTGATTATATTTATCACTCCGGGCTCTTGCATATGCTATCATCACGAGTAACAGAGTTCTGTTAATTACCATAGCCTCAAACCGCCAGAGATTGTGATGGTTGCAACACTAATACAGCATGAGCTAGCATTGAACTTTCCACTAAATGGTTTACGTTCCTAGTATGCATATATCGTTAAACAGAACAATTTTTGCGTCTCGGCCTATGCCATGTCAATGAACGTATCCAGTGCCTTTTCCGGATCATCCCAGTGCACCTAGCAAAGGTGTCTCAGTTTGAAACATGGGATGAAGATTCAACAGACAAATACACACAAAATGGTTAGCTCCACTGATAATCTTATATTTCACCGGCTTCGCATCCGCAGACCTCAACTCCCTGTACCGCCCACAGCCCAGCAATACCAAAAGCACCCGTCTTGTCTCCAAAGACAAACGCCCTCTTCATACCCGGGAACACTTCTGCGTCAAAGAACGCTTTACGATACGCTCCCAGAATTTGCTTGGAGAAGAAGATCAAAAATGGCAGGTCCGTCGCTGCATCCTCCCCATAGCGTTGAATGGACAGAGGCAAGTCATTGAAGAATGTGGGGACACGATGAGGGGAAGCCAGAACCCAGGACAGTTTGTCGAGGTCACGCCCGACGATGTCAGCGTGGTCGAAATACGACGTACACCACTGACCGAACGCTGGTAGGCGGAGGTTCTCAGGCACAGAGGTATCTAGGAGGAACGTCCAGTTCTGCTTGGGAGTGGGTAAACCGAGCGCGATTGGGGCGGGGTCTGCCATTTATCATTGAGTTTGGGTTATCCCTTGAAATGATAATGCGTACCATAAAGAATCAATGAGCGCATATAATCGCCTAGACGGTGGCGGACGCCTTCCGGAAGGGTATCGGCATTTGATATCACGATGGGAGCGAAGGTCGCTCCGAGAGACCATCCGAGAAGTGCGACGCCGCCACCGCTCGAGATGGGCGGGAGGTTGAATTTCTGTATGAAGATATCGATAAACATGGCAATCTCATGTCCTCGAGCCTCGACAAATGCCTCGCGCTGAGAATCGTCTGTACCACCCGTTTGGATGATAGCGAGTTCTTCCGCGGAGAGTGGCGTCGAACCAGGGAAGGGACGCCTATTCAGCGCAACGACCCGCACACCTTTGGATGGAGCAAGGTCGATCACTCTTTGGAAGATCTCTGAAGATGTGGCGCAGGTTGAGCATCGCGTTCAGAAAGAGAACAGGACGGTACTCACCCCTGGCAAAGATCATACCATGAATGGCAAAAATGGTGATGTACGACGACTGAGCCGGCGCACCGCTGTCTATGTAGGATAGTTCGACGCCGGTTGAGGCGTTAACTACGAGAGTGCTAGATGTCATGATATCGCGGAGGCCCAATGACGGCGTCGAATGTTAGACCACCAACAATATATCATCGGCTAGGTGGGAATTTGCACCCACAGCGTGGATGGTGAAAGAGGGGCAATCAGGCTAGACCTCTGACCGTGTGACGGCGGGCCCCGTCATCGAAATTTCAGTATCATTCAACCGCCAAATGTACGACTATCATCGCCATAGAGGGCAAACATCCGATGATGTGGTATTGTCTTTGTCTCGGGCCTCCGGGAAAACCTGACATAAAGGGTAGGTTGGTCAGGAACCAACCCGAGATCTCCGTTTGCTGCATGAGCACTCAGGTATATCGCTATAGAGTTTGTTCAAGCAAGCTCCGGATGGGGCTTGATAATATACAGCTAGCGAAGACATGGTTAGCATATATTATGGGGAGCAGCAGGAACTATACTTTGGTGGAATCAAGCGGACGTTCAAAGCTACGAGCTGGGATTCTTAGCATGAATCGAGGGTCCTAGATTGGTCTTCACCCTGAAATCGATTGTATATCTGCCTGTTCGTACTGATGAAAAGGTAAGAAGACGACCATACTCATCGAACAAATCACGACGAAGTGCATTATCATCCTGTGTAATCAGGGGGTAAAAAACACAGATATAGCAAAGAGAATGACAAGAAACATACCGAGAAAGATGTACTGCTGCTGTAAAAAAATTCCGACGTGCCAGGATCATTCCGCCAGCCATTTAGTTGGAATAAGCCCAGCCCTGTATTTCAATGCAGACTACTTGGCTCTCTCTCATACCTCCAAAGGTCGCGGTTGCTTTTTCTCCCAATCATAACGATTCAGTGAGCCTTCAATTGGCAACCAAGCCTGGATATGAAGGCACGAAACGCGCGGTTCAGATATCTAGTGTATTTCCTTGCGCGAATCATTGATTAAAATTGCTGTAACAACCCACATAATCGATTTTCGTTACAATATCGAGCGGAATGTACGATGAACAATAACGATTAGATAACGGTTTCTTCACAAAATATGGCTTCGAAGAGAAATCCGGAAGGATAATGCATCAACTGCGGTTCCTTAGCACGATTTAGAAATAGAAGGACAGAGAACTGACTTCTAAACCTACCTGACAGTATTGAACCTAGCCGTCCGAGGTCCTACATCTGTACAAAGACAGGAAGTACCACGAAAACTTTCGACAGAATCGCCTGAGAAGCGTCCGTATGTGCATATAGCCTGCTTAGATAGCATTAATATGCGACGACAGAGCCAGCCCTGGAAGACATACCAGCTTACTTCTTTCTTCATCACAACTGGAATGGTTCTTGCTCAGCCGCCTTCACAGTCAAGGCCTATCCATTGTACCCAAAGTAGCACGCGTCTTGTACGGCCATTGGCATGGCTGGGTCGCAAATTAGTAAATCTGAATACGAAAGAGAAAAAAAACAAACACACCTCTATCCCCGTAATTTCACCAAGACGAACGTGTCATTCTGCGACCTAGGCTGAAATTGCAAGTTTGATTATATGCGTTGGTATCGTCTGGAGGAGACAATCGAGTGCGAGATACAAAAATTTTGGACCTGTGACCGTAAGTCCATGCAACGATAAGATAACAGAATTTTCATACCGCATCCCGTCCTCAATGACCTTCAAATGATCCTCGAATGGTACAATCGTCTCCAGAGCAAATTCCGGTATATGGTACAAGATACCAGCCCCATTATCGTGTTATGAGGGCATGGCCGAGAGTTGATGTTGAACATTGGTCTTGACTGAGAGAGGAATTGTCATTTTATGTGTTCCTGTTTGGCTTTACCTTCCTGTGCCTCGTGCAGCCGTAGCCCGGCTCTCTTCTGCCGTGAGGCTCTCCTTGGGATTGACACGCTTCTTGCACGCTTTGTTCCAACTGGACCTCGTCCGGCAGCAATAGTCGTCTTCATAGTAACACAAACACTCTTCTGGCGCTCAAAGACGTCAGCCCTGCGTTATCTGTGACGATGATCTACTACTTGTCTACTACAGCTCTTCCGAAGCCTCAACTTGAAGTCTCCTGAACCTCAGGTCATGGGTTATCCGAGATCTACTCATTACCTCAAAACTCCGAGCTCGATAAACCTTTCGGCCCTTCGCATCACAAGTTACGGTTGATGCGATCATATTCTTTGACTTCATTGTCTAAGGTACCTTTCACTGCCCACAATAAGCCTTTGGATTTTACTTAACGATACTCATAAAGCTTAATGAAAAAAGCCTTTCAACTGAAAGCCTGGGCCCGTCGAAGCACAAACGTTTGAAATTCGACCAAGTGGCAATCTTTGTCTTTAGCATTGTCTGTGCCATATAAGATAGCGCTACGTGCTCTCTATGCTCATCTTCTCCTACATTCGCAGTTCAACGTATCTGATTAGAGTCATCTGCTGACTTCCAAGGTACGACGTTGGCCATATGCCTACATATTTGCGCTGAAATTTTACATCATCCATCAGGAACTCTTAATGACCAGCGACATTTCCTGTTCGATCTGTGGATCTACCGGAGAACGTGAGGAGACTGTCGAATAAAAGTACACCATCTGACTATTTTTAGCTATACAATGGAAGAGACTACATGTCGAGGAATCCTCAGAGCAAGAAACCGCGACGACCAAGGGTTTTGGCGATTTACCCCCGAACGTGTTAAAAAAGATCTTCCTTTCCATTTTGGACGAAACTGGGTTCAATTTCAGTGAAACCAGCCAAGGCCCTTGGATATTCGCCTACGTATGCAGCTCCTGGCGGGCTGCTGCTCTTGATTATCCATGCCTATGGTCCAATATAATTCTCAACGATTCCTCATTTCGCACAAGCAGCAATTATCCCGCTTCCTCCTCGATATACTCCCAACCACACTGTCCTTGTTCCGATATGCTTATACCTCGTCAACGGCACGATCTTCTCTCGCTGCTCTCCACCGTACTCTCACGGGCAGGTCAACACGATCTCTCACTACATGTGGATTTCTCGAAAGGATACTCCGATCCCTATCAGTCGTTTATCATGCGGGTACTACTATTGCGACTAGCCCAAAAGTCGAACCAGTGGAATATCGTCTTCCTCCAGTTGCCACGCAACATGGTAGATGACCTCTTCGGCGTTTATTGCCTTCTTCCAAGGCTTGTGAGCCTCCATCTCGTGATATGTACCGATACCGAGATGCGGAACTGTGATATGATCAGAGTGTTCGAGATGGCACCGATGTTGGTGTTCGTTACTTTACAAGGACTGGCGTTTAGAACCTACATCTTACTTCCATGGCAGCAACTTGTGTATTTCTATGACGACCGTAATTATCGACCTCAGCCTGGAATTAATGCTCTCCCGTAGGTTTTGTAGATCCAGGTGTGGAGCTTGATCACTGGGCGTAGGCGGATAGATAGAAGATAAGTACAAGGATTCGATATCGCTTGTACTACATGAATATCACGGAAATGATCACCTGTTGCAAGACAACAAATATTTCCACGGGGGCCCTGTTTAGGGGCTATCTAGGACTAAACACGCAATGACCTCTGTTTCATCTTTACCACCACTAAATAACATTTAACCCTCACAAACAAGGACTTCACCCTCGATAACATCCACCTTGTCCGCTTCTATTGCCGAGACCCACTCGTCGGGCTTGTACACTCCACGCCCTAAGCACGGTCTTCCTCGCATTGTATCCATCACCAATCGACCGTTCTATGCTGACCGCCACCACACTTCCGCACTGACCGCCATGTCCTTGTTCATTGGCACTCGATTGTTTTGTCTGCAAGCTGTTTCCTTTGCGAAGGATCTGGTCTGTCTGGTGCTCGGTTGTTACGTCCGCTGGTGGTCTCCTTTATGAAGGAGCTCACCAGTTTGGTGGTACTCGGTTGTCTCTCCGCAGGTGGTCTCCTTTGCGAAGGATCTCACCTGTTTGGTGGTACTCGGTTGTTACGTCCGCTGATGGTCTACTTTACGAAGGAGCTCATCAGTTTGGTGGTACTCGGTTGTTATGTCCGCTGGTGGCCTCCTTTCCGAAGGAGTTCACCAGTTTGGTGGTACTCGGTGTTCCGTCCGCAGGCAGTCTCTTTTTCGAAGGAGCTTGCCTGTTTGGTTGTACTCGGTTTCCGCTTTGTGGTTTTCATGGGCTAAGGCTCGAGCATTGCTACAGGCACGCTGTTCAGGGAAATGGCGGACCTTGTCAGTTATGCTCGCCTGATGCTCACGTTCCCTTCCCGCTGTCTGGTTCCTTGTCAATGTTTGTCGGTGGATGGGTCAGACGCTGCCATTGTGTTTAGCATCTTTCATTCGCCCGCTGCTGACCTGTAATCTCCCTCTCCATGCAGCGCATGGCCTGTGCGCCATGTCCGAGTCTGTTATGTATTCTTGTTTATTAACATGTTCTTTTGTCGTCATCGCTGACGCACATGTCTCATTGTTTGGAATTTGGAACAATCCCTTACCTGGTTCCATGACGCGCTCTCGAATTGCTTCCTGGTTGGCTCTTGGTACTCCTGTTGAATTTTGTTCCGTTACGACTTGGATCGCAGTAATATCGTCCGTGGTGTTCAACAGCCTTCGATGGTTGTTGGTCTGAATTTATGTCTTTCTTTCGTCGCCTTCCGCTACTATGTCCTTCCGACTCGTCAGTTCCACCGGTTTCGATATGTTGGAATCCTCGGTGTTGCGCAGGGTAGACTCCTGGCTGGTAAGGCCAGTTGATATGAACTTATTATTCCTAGGCTCCTACAGAGCCTGTATTTATACTACTTCGCAATGTAATCTAGAATGTACTACAACTTTCTACTAGTCTCGTGCTTACTCAGCAACTCTCGGCATGATGCTGGATTGCTCCTTCTAGAACTTTCCGGCAAAATCCCAACACGATACAATTCTTTCCGAGCGAGATATGTTCCCTTTGATTTAATTGTGTACCCTGTGAAGAGCTTTCGTTATCTGACCTTGCCCGTGTCTTACAGCAGCTCCACCACGGATCCTAGGTGATATAGATAATGTTATGGCAGCGGTGAAGTTGTGTCTAATGGATATCAATTCCTTCATTGAAACGTCCTCCAAGTCTGTCCTATCTTTCTACCGATACTAGCTCTCGTGCCACAGTGCTGTCTGCAAGTCTGCCGTTGCGAATTTTCGCTCGATAATTGTCTGAATGCGCCTATTCCCGCACACAGGAAGGCACTCATTCACTTACTGACTTCTTCCCATTCCCTTGCCGTCGAGATTCTGAGATGGAGTCAACACCATCATTGCTGTATTCCTCTGTATCCGGGTATGATGGGACTCGTACACTCCTCGCAGCAGATAGATAAGACTTGTGGATCTTTAGCAAAATATGTATTTGATGTTTTCCGTAAACTTTAATGCTGTCCCTCTACATTGTCCTTTGTATTGCTTCCTTATACACCCCGCGATGTGTCTCTACTCCGCGCGACACACTCAACAGTGTGATCACAACGGTATGAGCCTTCGTGGCCACAGCGCATGGCTTGCCATGTTTGGGCTGTGGGCCCGGCCGTTCCATATTGGGACCTTGTGCCGGTACCAACACCAACCAACACCAACACCAACACCGTTGAGATATTCGATACTCGTTCTTTCGAGAAGATGGATCAAAGAAAAATGTGCCCTCCCTGTGGAGGCAAAGGTTATCTCCTTCCAAGTGTGTCCTTTCATCTCTACAATGAGTATTATCTAGTTTTGACTTCATTTCAGAGACACAAAGTGAAGTCGCTGAGGATATTGGCGCTGCTATTCGTTGCAACGAGAATCGCATGCGCCTCCTTCCGAACATGCCGCTCTAGAGAAAACAAACGAAGAACTTCGCAGACAGCTTGGTACTATATCGCAGTCCATTGCTTCGACTCCGAACTCCCACCTTCTTCCCGAGGTCCTCAGCCAAATATTCGGCCTAGCATTAGGGGGTGACTTTTTCAACATGTCAGAGACTCATACAGGTCCATGGGCACTCAGCCACGTATGCAGCTCGTGGAGATCTGCTGCGTGTGGAGATCCGACAATCTGGACCTCTATTCTCATCGACGACAGTTCCGTGACTATTGGTGTCTCGGGTAAAGTCTTAACCCCATGCCCTCGAGAAGACCCCCCTTCACTTTTATCCACCATACTCTCCAGATCAAACCAGCGTGATATTAACATCGTGTTCAATATTTCCGTGGGCAAGGTCGACTTCACGACGAAGAGAACCATCAAACAGCTATTCCAAATTGTCATGAGGGATTCGAAGAGATGGAATGATGTATCAATCTGCGTTCCTTGTGAATTAATACCGATGCTTGAAGCCGTGGAAGGAAACGTTCCGCGTTTGTCAAAACTACATATCGGCACGTCCGAAGTCGACACGGTGCATGAAGGTCCCGGCGTCCCCCCTACCCCTTCACCCTTAGTAAAGGCTTTCAATGAAGCCCCAGCGTTGAAGGAGGTATCTTTCGACAGACTTAGTGTTGAAAACACTGTGCTTCCACGGTCTCAGATTATATCACTGACGGATATCCGGAAGAAATATGGTCGATCCAAGATCCTCGTTAAAATCTTGTCCTTGTCTCCTCACCTCAAAGCACTGAACTTCAATTCGGAGATTCCAGAAGATTACAATCACTTCCAGTCGTGGACGGACAAAATTGTCCACGCCGAACTGCAGTCTCTCACCACCTGTTCAACCTACTTCATGAAAAAAATGAAGTTTCCCAGATTGACGAGCTTGACTGTCAGGCCTCAATTTGAAGAACGGGGCGACGTAGACGATGCCATCAATACGCTGATCACCTCGTCTCAATGTTCTCTCCGCTATCTGCACATTGAGGGCTCTTACATGACCGACTTACTTTTTCAAACCCTTGCTTCTACGCCAGAGCTCACTCAATTGGAACTTTGTTTTTTGCGGTGGGACTATGAATACGCCATTGGAGGATTTGAACAGTTTACCCTCCGTATGGATGAATTAACCGAAAGCGGCCATCATCGTATCATACCTCTTCTGGAATCTCTGAAGGTCGTGGTACAGAGGAATACCTCAGGAACCTCGTTTGGATCCATTGACTCAGTGTTTACGGATATGGCTGTGTCGAGATGGAACTGCGGTGCTCTGAAGTCGCTGCTTCTCGAGGCAGAGACTGATATGGTGCTGGTAGGACTTGGGATAGAGAACACTACACAGCTTAGAACGCTGAAAGATGAGGGCTTCGACATCTCTATTTGTACCACGACCGCGGGTAGCCCCTACACATCAGGTCATTGGGATGCTCGTTTTGTTCAGGAAGATTATCGACGTATATATGTATGGTGCAATATACAATTTCCCCCGACGGCAGTCGTATCCGTAGGAATACACAACAACGTACATATTTTCGCATATTCTCATAGCGGTACGACTGGTGGTTGAGATTAAGGGGAATATACGTCGGGACTCGGCGAATTTCGCTTATTTCACCTCGACTCTCACCATCGCCATGTCGCATTACGTTCTGAGACCTCAAGAGTCGTGTGCGCTGTTGATTTCAGTTTTACTTGATAAAGATTGCACGCTGTTCTGGAGGCTATTCTCTGAATGGGGGTACTCAAGACATATCATTACAGCAATAGACCAATGACGAAGTTGCGAAAGAAAGGGTCAGTTATTACCTAATAAAGCTCCATTTTTTCTCGCTAACTAGTATACTACGAGGTGCTGATAAACCACCAGAAAGTAAAGAGGACATCACTGCAGAGATCCGGGTTGCTCATTCAACACGAAGATCTACATGATCACTGTATGTGTCTTCTGAACTTGAAGTGAATCATGCTGTGCCAACGAAATGAAGGACTCCGATGAAATCTTACTTTCTTGTATTTTCCTCCCGACACATGCCTAACTACCGTCTTCCATCTGAAGTCCTAAGCGAAATCCTTAGAATGGCGTTACACGGTGAATCCTTCATACGTAGATGTCCATTTCCTGACCACAAAAATATCCTTAATTTAACGTTTCGCCTTCCCAAAATCCACCTCATTTGAAATGAGAAATCCTCCAAACGCGGTTGAGTTGCTGGTAGGAGTCATTCTAAATAACGCGTCGCGGTACCGAATCACGTGGGCGTAGTGACAATATGCCGAGGCGTCTATTTCAAATTACAATCCGACTCTTATCCATCACTCCATTCTTCAGCAATGATGACCTAGGAAAGTTTTGAACGCAAGGCACTGCTGGTCGTATCAAAAGAAGATATGATCGCGCTAAGGATCGTGGCACACAGCCCTAGCTTGTAGCGTCTTGCCCCTCATTTTGGGGCACTATGGATCTGGGCGTTATGCATCCGCAGGATTTCTTGTGGAACGTGTTTGACTGGGTCCCCTTGTCTCGCAGCCTCTCTACCCGACATAACTGTGCTGCGAGCTCATCCCAACGTCGTAGACTCCGGGTGGCGCATTGCTTAGGCGCGCTGGTGAGTCATTATACGACAGCATTGATCATAGCTGACACATAAGGATATAGACGCTTGGGCCCCCATCTACGCGTGACTCAGAGGTGATAAATAGCATTGACGCACTGCCTTCCCTCTGTGTGACTCCAGTGCTGTCTACTCGTCTCACTGCCGTTTGTGCCAACTGTATGACTCAGGATAGGTCTTCCCGTGCTGAGCTGTCGAATGCATTTTATGACTTGCTTTGACTCGGACGTGAAAAATTATACTTAAATGGGCACATCGGGAGCTATACTACATCTACTCATGCCTCCGTACCTTCCTCATTTACCTCAACGATCCTGGGGACCAGGATATTCCTGGGCAGCAGGCGAGATGTGCCTCGTTGCCTATGTAGAGAATCGCAGGCAGATGATTGCTGCGTATATGTGCCTCGTTTCGCGTACGTGTGCCTACTTGATTCGTATGATTAGTTGTCCTAATTGTGTTGTAGATGTTAGCAATGGCGCCAATGGCGTAAGTCGTGCTTCAATCATTTCGTGTGTTCGTCGATGTTGACTCGGATACGCTAGCCTTTGAACTCAAATTTCTGGAAGCCATGCGGGCTCCTGCGATAGTATTATCTATCTGATGTGTGAGCTCTCCCTTCGTATGCTACTTTGCCGTACTGATTTTTTTTCTAGTATGGTTAATCATTACCACCCACGATCGCGTCTCGACGTGGGCTCACTCCTCATGGCTTTGTATAACCTACTGTATCCTTATTCATTGTTTTCGAAACGGACTTGCGGATTGTGGAATGTTTTCATCCCTTACATATACGGCATATCATCATTTACAATGTAGTTTAGATCTTTCTTCGTTTACGTTAGATATATCCCCTTAAGTAGCCTACTAGAACAGCCCATCTCCCTCGCTGGACACCTCCGCGCACCGCTATGTTAATAAATGAATCCTTCCTCAGCGCCCCCCAAGCTCAATCACCATCGGTGAACAGTAACTATCCCGTTAGTGACTTGGGTTTTGTATTGTTAGCGTGCGAAAGGCGGCGGGCCCTTTAGGTGTATCTGAACGCGTGGCACAAGTGATCTGGTAGGGAAATCACCATTGATAATTGATGCTCATCGGTACCGAACAGTCCGTTGTAGAAACACAACATATTGCCAGAGTGTTGCATTTCTACACTGCGAATCTCGCATGGAATATCATATGTTAAATGAAAAAGAAAATGCTAGGTGATCTTTGGAAGTGGATCTGTGTTTGATCGGGGAAGAAGGTCTGAACCCAGTCGGATCACGTTGACCATAGAGAAGCGGGTACAAGCTGATGATGATACTCTAGATGAAAATCTAGGCGCACTCTCCGTCGAGTCATTAGGCTGGTCCGTCATGGACACCGTACACAAAGCGGTTTGATCTTAAGAAGCGGCATGTGCCGCGGCGTCATCGGCTTCGGAGTTCGGGACCAAAATTATCCTCATTTTACCTGATTTTTCAACCAAACTTCGGCCATACGGAAATTGACTCGGATCGCTTCTTGCTTCTTTACCATCACCATCCCACTCCACGAACCATGCATCGTCAGCCGTCGCCTTCGCCTTCAGCCGTGTCCTCGAATCGCATGATCCATCTGACAATACCCGGGATACCGTAATCATCACAGCAATCATTTCCGACGTCCACTCGAAATACTACGCACAAATTTTAGGCTCCGGTAAACCTTCTGCAAGCGTTGCTAGCAGCCTGAACGGTTTGGATAATGGTGCGTTAGCTTTGACTTTTTACGCATGACGACGAGAATATTGAATAGCCCTTCAGCCGCCAGCCCACAGGCTCTACGACAAGTGCAGTTTCCTCTTTCTGTCCTCGGACATCAATGCATCATGGGCCGATTGTGAATGACGCGAACAATAACGGCAAAAACGATGCGATATCGGAGGATAGACTTCTTCGGGTACGCATAAACGTTTCTGCTCTGCTGTACTATTCTTACCTTCAGATTGCAGCACATGCTTCCTCGCACCGGTCTCATTTCTCTCTCGGAGAATGAAAAGAAAAAAAAAACAAATGCCTCGTGCCAACCCATTCTTCTCCATTATTCGGCTGGACAAGCTCAAATTGTCATGGGTCACTATCTTATAAAAAACATGAGAGACCACTGCGTTCGAGTTCTCCTTTTCTTTGCTCATGGACTCCGCCGCTTTTATCTCCCGCTTACCGATCAGCCTTTACGGTTATGTGCCCGAGCAAACTGACTGTATCGTATTCTTGGTCTTGTTCTCAGTTTCAACGGGCAAGCGTTCTTGCTCTTGCTCTTTTTTAATACTGATCTCTCCTTTAGCTCTTCATTTCGTCCAGGCAATCGCCTTTCGCCAATTATGGGTCTTTCCTACTATTTTCCTGTGTGGTGTTGCTGAGATTATCGGATGGAGCTGCCGGTTGTGGTCATATAACAACGTTTTTCTTATACGGCCCTTCGAAGTCCAGTGCGTTTACCTATCCTTCTTGTTTCATTTTTCTGACCTTCTTGGCCAAGGTACTTTTGCCTCATGATTGCCCCAGTATTCCTTTTCGCTGCAAATATCGTGATCTTCGTTCGGATTGTTCAGCGGTTGGGACCATGGTATAGCCCACTCAAACCTCGCTACTGTGAGCTATCCTTTCTCTTCCTGGTGTATTGGCTATCTTACCTTCTTCTAGACCTGATTATCTTCGCCTTCTTCGTAAGTGCCCTAGCCGTTGGAATATTGCACGTTCGTTTGACTCGAACCATAGGCTGTGGTTGCCGCGATCGTTATGACAGTCGGTCTCGGCGTCGCCCTAGGGGCCGTTCCAGGCCTCGATTTGGACCAGGTCAACACGGTACGCGCTTCTGCTCCCCCTCACAGGCCCTCTGTACTGATAAAAATCCAACAGGGCGTCAACGTCGTCCTGGCTGGCGTTGCTATTCACCTTTGTTTGTCGATCTTACTCCATATCTATCTCATTATTGACCATTCTATTTGTATTAGTCGCCCTCGTCCTGTATCTTACCCTCTCTGGATTCTTCTTCATCCGACATTCTCTCGATTTACCGAGCAGCGAAGCTGTGGAAAGCTCTCAAGGAACGATCATTCCTCGTTCACCGTGGGACAAGCAGGTCCTCGTATTGAGCTTAGCGCTGATGTTCGATATGACTTGTATCCTCGTTCGGTGAGAAGCCATTCGTGCAAAAGATCTCAACTCGACTAATGTCTCACTTTCGTAGAACGATTTACAGAACCCTTGAGCTCAGTTATGGAATATTTGGAAGATATATGGTCACTGAGCGGTTTGTCGGTAAGTCTTCCAGCCCTCCTTTTATTGCATTTTGGTTCATGTCGTGTGTAGTTGCGATGGATGCTGCGATGATGGTGGCGGCGATGGTTCTATGGAATCTCGTGCATCCGGCACTATTTATGAAGCGTCGCATTGCTATCGAATAGATGTCCCTACGCAATGATACTCCTTATCAGCAATGAAATGCTGACAAATCATCTTACTGCAATGGAAGTTTGGATCCACATGCGTCCATAGTTTGAAGATGCCTTGCTTCAGGCACAAGCAATCAGAGCCGCCCATTTTTTCACGAGGAAAAGTAATGCGACATAAGCCCGAATGAGCCCATGCATTAGCCGTGTCTGTCGCGTTTGCCGTGGACTTTACTTTTCATCGCTGAAGCTCCAGTGACAGCGCAACGCGAGCTTAACGGCTACTTTCTCAAATGATTGTTCATCCTTGTGGTGATATCTGAAAGTGTGCCACTGGTGTTTTGGCCATGGAGCGGCCTGGTCCGTTGTGGCTTCAGCCTCGGGTCACAGCTCATGGTTCAGTTAATTCTGCATATAGAGTTTGACATCATTGCTACGCCTCCTCCATCTCCGTCCCTTTATCTTAGCGCTGGCTTCAGTCGAATCATGTCTCGCTTGTACATGGTGCGTATCACCGCACTCAGTTATATGTGGAAACTAATTACCTTCTACAGCCTTACATCAACTGGTCCTCTCCGGGGATCCTAGATCGCATCCCGACTGATGGTCGACTGCTCCTCGATGTCAACCATTCGACGCTCGATATCGTTCAAACCACCATTAAACGCTTTATGCCTTGCTTGAAGCCTCTCAAACACAAGCACGGGGACTATCTTCCTCCCTGAGAATGTCGTGACCTTGCTCTGCAACCGGACAATATACATCTTCATGAATGACCCCTGCCTCTCGAATACTACCCTTCCTCGCTGGAGATGATACGATCCCATAAGGGCATGCGATGGATCATGGAATGGTCCCATCTCTTCCTGGAAGTCCTTTTCAAGGACACGTTGCGCAACCCCGGCGTATCCAATGACGAGTTCGACTTCCGCTCTGATGCTGGGGACGCGTATTCAGAGACAACGGCGTTCGTTTCTTCCTCCTTTGTTGCGCTAGACCATTACATCGAATGCTCAATACCATCTGTCAACGCCGTACGAGAGGCGCCCCTCGCCGACATATCTTATCTCCTCCCGACGATCGTGGGATACGTCAACTCGTACTCCCGAGATGCCACCCAGCCCTCGCCGCCCAATGCTTACAGCTCGAATGTCATGCCCATTACGAACGTGCGCAGATCCGACGACGGATACAGGAAGTACCTCCTAGAACAAAATATGCTGATACGGACTTGTCGCGCCCTCGCTGAGCCTACTTCCCCTCGTATTCCCGTCCTTCAGCGAACCTGGTCCATGGTCGCCGAGCTCAGTCCTTTCTGTTCGTCCCTCGAGTTCATTTAAGTACCTTTTGCCGCCCAACAGCCGGGTGGAGCTCATCAAGGTGGCGCTCCGGCACCGTCTCTTGCAGTCCATCGTACGAGCTACCAATCTGGTAGACAGTTTCGCGCCGCTGACGGGGTTTCTGGAGATGGTTATAGAGTATAGGGCGGAGCGTCCGATGTTGGCGAGGAAGGCGAGGAGTGAGATCGTCCATGGAGAGTTGGATGTGAGAGAAGACTCACCTCTGGATCCTACCCTCAGTCCGTCCAACGTTCTGGCGGAACAACGAGATAAGGCTTGGGAGGCTTGGGGAAGAATGAAAGAGGCTATCATTGGTGATAGGAACATCCTTGAGAAGTGTATGAATCCGAAGGTTTGTTTCCAGGAACGTTCTTTTGGGGCCGAGAACTGATTTTTTTGTTCAATGATATGTAGTGTCGTACAAAGCCACGCAAGGAAATTTTTGAGGAAGTGCACGCGATGCTTAGAGCTGGTGGTGTGCTCGCAGGAGTGTCATGAGATGATGTGGGATGCGGATCATAGGTACCAGTGTAAGAAGATGAAACAAGGGAAGATCTTGTGATGGCGATGGGTGCTATATCTCTCCTTGATGTATATCAGCTGCGCGCAACCATCATCAAATGTTATTAGCATCGTTATGCCGTCTCATATTAATATTGGGATCCGAGCGTTTCACAAGGTAAAGATTTTCTTGTTAAGTATTGAGCTCGCCTATTTCTGCGGGGGATAAGAAATGTAACATAAAATTATCTACGCATTGGAGCATCGATTGTTGATAGAGGAAATGGGCATAATACACTCATAATATATAACTATTAGCTGGCAGCCCTAAAATCGCGACCGTACATCTCGACCAATGTAGATGGCTGAGTAAAAGATAAAATAGGAGAAATATCGTATCTCAGTACTTGAACGCGAAGTCCCATTTCCCGGATCTCCTTCAAACGTAGCCGCGTTTCTTCCATCATCTCTGGTGCCGGATATCTAGTCCCCAAGGACACGTCCTCCAGATTCATTTCACGACGATGCTCGATCATCTCGAGTAGCGCACACTCATTCACATTGTGCCGCCAAACGAGTTCCAATGATTTCAGGTGAGGTAGCAAGTGTGTATTGTTTGACAATGCCTCGATGAAGCCTTGTGATATGGGGTAGTACGGCACGAAAAGTGGTTCGATAGGTATTCCATAGAGGCACGGCGTTGGTTCGTGAATGGAGAGCCTGGTAAGGCTGGTAAGTGGCGTAAGGAATGCAAGGACTTGGGCTTTTCGCATGGGGATTTTATTGAGAGTGAGCGATGATAAGGAAGGGGATGACTGTAACAGGTTTTCAACATACGCGGCCTGGAAGGGATAGCGCATGTAAACCATTTGGGCACCGTCGGATTCTGGTCCGAACTTGACATCTTTGTGATACGATATCTTGAGATGAAGGAGGTTCGGAAAACGGAAATGCTCCCCAAACCAACAAATGTTATGTGTATCGACGTTGATATCAAAGGTCAAACTGATGATATTGCCAATTTCGTGGACCCCTGGCATCTGCGACAGACCGTTCATTGGTTCGGTGTCGTCTTTCTTCCGTTTCATTGTCGTGGTGATAATTAAATTCCGTGCATTTTTGAAGAGAGGGAACCAGCAGAGGAAGTTTTCGCAGATAATGGTTTCGACGTTTCTGCTCCACGCGCCAAGACGTGAGGGCATGTTCACCGATGAACGAGAATTCGGGCTTTTTAGATCCCGTCGCGTGTAGAAGGTGCGTAGCAAAGGCATTTTTGGCTCGGTTGTACTAAGTTTGTAGAACTGTTCAAGGAATATGTGCCTCACACTGAGACTTTCTAGGCTATCAAATGATGGGGTGTCTCTGATGAGATGGTGGACGGATTCGGGATACAAGTCCGGGGAAAGTAAATCCAAGCTCCTCCATCGCTGAATTCTTGTACGTATGAGATCTATGCATGGCAAGGCATAACGCATCATGTCGTCCCCGTACACCTTGACGTGGAGTTTATAACCCCCTGCACGATGCAGCTGGAGATTCAGCAGACTCATCTTGGCCGCAAATAGTCGTTGTTTGCTTTTAGCTGAATCAGATGTGGAGAGTGGCAAAAATCCCTGGTGCCACCCGAAGGACCTGTCCGGGATATGTAGAGATACGTCGACTTTGGACCACAGTTCAGGAAAAGAAAGAGCCACAGATCTCCACCGCCTGCAAACGGAGGACATCCGTAAAATGGTGTGCACCGCTGGACGATTGGTCTCCACTGTCGAGCATGGCGAGCGTTAACCGCAAGCCACGGACTATATTTAGATTACCGGTACATACCTGATTAGTCTATTTTTTTCATCGCGGCATCTCAGCGTTCAACCAACGTCTTCATGCTGAGATGTACGTGTATACTCATTATATTTCTATTATACTATTGCTAATCGTACCTATAGATATACTTGATACTCATACATATCTTATAGGTACAGTACAGCGTTCAACCAACGTCTTCACGCTGAGATATATACTTGATACTCATACATATCTTATAGAATCTTTTTCCCTCTCGCAACCGTGCCTTCCCTTCGCGTACACCCCGGTCCACTGCTCAAGAGGTTATGGGCCCCGGTGATATGAATACCGCCTCCACAGTGAAGCTTCTCAACCTGCCCCGGCTCAAAGATGACGGGAGCAATTGGATCCTCTACAAAGAGCGAATACCCAATGCAGCAACCTCAAAGGGACTAAAACGTCACCTCACCGGAACCGCAAAGAAGCCAGCTGAACTCACTGAAAGGAATGGGGACTATTACAAGCCGGGAGAACTTGCACCACTGTCTGACGACGAGCTCGAAAAACACCTAAAGCTCCAGGATGAGTATGACCAGAAGGAGGCCTCGATGTGAGAGATCTTTTACGAGACAGTCTCAAACTCTACGTTCATGCAAATAAAGAACCAACCGAGCGCAGCACATGTATGGGCTGCACTTGTAGCCATCTTCGAGACAAAAGGAGACCTCGTACAGCAAGATCTCCTCTTGCAGTTGCAAAACACACGATGTCCAGAGGATGGTGACATTCGTGCACACCTCTCAAATATGCAACGCATGGGCAAGGAGCTTGCTGGCATGGGTACTGTCATCACCGACCAGTCGTTCTGCATGTACATTCGACAATCTCTTCCCCCTAGTTACCGCCCAGTCCTGAAAACGCTCAGCATAGCAGCCAAGCTAACAAGCAAACCCATAACAAGCGCTATGCTCATCCAAGAAGTCTTGGAAGCTGCTGACGAGATGAAAGTCGAAAAGAATATTGACGAAGGAGTACTGAACTCCGCTCTCGCAGCAAGCGCTAGGGCTGCAAAGGACAAGGGAAAGGGAAAGAAGAAGGGAAAGGAATCAAAAGAGAAGAAAAAGAAGCACTGCACGAACTGTGGCATGGATAACCATGCCTTCGATGACTGCTTCCGTGAGGGAGGAGGCAAAGAGGGCCAAGCACCTTGGGACTTGAAGAAGAAGAAAGACGGTGACTTGGCTAATGTTGCAGGCCAGTCCTCAAGCTCTGAAGTCAAAAGCTATGGCTTCGCTACAATAATTGATGACAAGAACGTGGAGCTTAGCGCCACATCTGACTGTCAAGCCCAGGCTGAAGCATTAGCCGCCTCGGGCATATGCTACGATGGTGAACTCGTTGACATGGGAGCTAGCCACCACTTCTCACCTGCCCGAAGTAAAATGATCAACTTCGTGGATATCAAGCCAACACCCATCTGCACCGCTGACAGACATTCATTCAATGCTATTGGCAGAGGAGACTACATCACATACCTGCCAATAGGCCATGGCAAACCAGTGACCAAGGTCACCCTCTACAACACGTACTACTCCCTGCACCTAGCGTTTATGCTAATATCAGTCAGCTGTCTTGATACAGCAGGCTATTCACTTACAGTTGAAGACAGAAACTGTTATATCAAAACCCCGAAACCCGACAGACACATCATTGGGATCGTGCCCAAAATCAATGGACTCTACCACATACAAGGCTCCACCAACCATCACCATAGCAAATCCCCCACAGCAGCTGCCGCTACCCCTCAAATCAGTATCTCGCAGTTCCACTGCATGACAGGACATGCAAGCCATGAAGCCCTGAAGCAGAGCATACGTAATGGGGAGATTATCGCCCCCAACATTGACCTAAACTCCGAACCAGAGTTCTGCTCAGCATGCGTGCAAGCTAAAGCTGTGACGAAACCTTTTCCGAAGCATAGTGACAATGAGTCAGCCAAGAAATATGGTGACAAGGTCACAGGAGACATATGGGGACCAGCCAAAGTCAAGTCTCTTGGCGGTTCAAAGTATTTCACACTATTCAAAGACGTCGCAATGAGGGAGCACTTACCATACTTCATGAAGAAGAAATTGGAGACATTGCGCTGCTACAAGGAGCATGAGGCTTGGATGAAAGCCCAACGTGGAGTAGGCATCGTGAAGATATTCGGGTGTGACCGTGGAGGAGAGTTTATGAGCGAGGAGTTCAAACGACACCTTAAATCTGCAGGGACAATACATCACCTCAATGTCCATGACTCGCCATCCTCAAATGGAATGACGGAACAAGAAATGCGCACCGTGCTCGAAGGTGCCCAAGCCATGATAATTGCAGCTGGGCTGCCCAACTATCTGTGGGCTGAAGCCATAGCCTACCACTGCTGGCTGAGAAACTGGCTCCACCACAGCGCTCTTGCCAACAAAAAGACAACCCCGCATGAAAAGGCTACACAAAAGAAGCCTGACATGTCCAATCTGCATGAATTCGGGTGCACCATGTGGGTGAAGCAACTCGGATGGGGGAAACTACAGCCTCGTGCTGATCCTGGCCGATTTGTAGGCATTGACAAAGAGTCAAAGGGTATCTGGGTCTATTGGCCTGGAAAACATCTTGTCAGTGTCGAGAGAAACATCTACTTCAATAAAGATGAAGACCTGAGCAAAGAAACCATCAAAATTGAGGGGGAGTACAAAACAATTGTCAATCCCAATGGATTCCATGCTACAAATGACACTTGTGACAGCCCAAAAGAGACCAAAAACAAGGGAGACGAACCTGCCACACCCCCCACAGACACTCAAGACACTCCAGAAAACCCACCATCACCACTAACACCTCTATCAACCCCGCCATCAAGCCCAAATCTCACACCACACCAATGAAGGGTCCAAATTGAGGACATTCCTGATGAAAATAACCCCCCAGCCTGGCCCCAACGAGGCTCACGCAAGCCAGAGGGTTTCTACAACATCAACCGAATGTCAAAGGCTGCTGGTGTCACTGCATGTGTCCTTGAAGACGACGGGAACCTTGAACCAGGTGGAATGGACTATGATACGAGCGAGGAAGAGTGGTTTGCTAACCTAGTTGAGTCAGCACTAGCCACAACTAACGGAGAGCCGGATTCCATACAGGAGGCACTGAAGGGACCGCAAAAACGGGAATGGAAGGACACCGTCGAGAGGGAGCTAAGCCAAGTCGAAGGCTTATGTACGTACAACATAATCCCCACTCCACCCGGGGCCAATGTCACTAAAAACAGATATACATTTCATATCAAGACGGATGATCAAGGCCGTATCATACGATACAAGGCCTGGCTGGTCCTAAAGGGGTTCTCCCAAATTTACGGCGTTGATTTTCACGAAACATTCGCTCCAACAGTCCGCCTAACTACCCTACGTGCATTACTATCCATAGCTGCTCAGAAGGATGCCAAAATACACCAAGCAGACATCAAAAATGCCTACCTCCAAGCTGACCTCCACGAAACCTTGTATATGGAGTTACCACCAATGTACGAGGACTTTAGGGAAATCCCCAACAGACTCAAAGGGAAGAAGCTATGCTGTAAACTGTGTAAGCCATTGTATGGAAGCAAGCAGGGCGCACACAAGTGGTACCAGAAGCTGAGACGAGTATTCCTTGCTCTTGGATACTCCATATGCCAGGCCAATGAAGCAGTGTTCTACAAATTCAGCAAAGACAAGTACACCATCGTCGCCGCCGCTACAGACAACTTCACCATCATTGCCGACTCCAATGATGCAATGAACCTCATCAAGAAGCAGCTCAGAGAGCACTTCGAGATGACTGACCTTGGCGAGATTAAATGGCTGCTTGGTATTAGCGTACACCGCAACCGCGAGGCCAGGACCATCACCCTAGGCCAACAGGCATATGTCAACAGCATCGTCGAATGGGCTGGCCAAAGCGAAGCTAGAGCAGTCGTCACGCCAATGGAACCAGGAATCGATTTGAGTTATGACTCACCCTCCGTATCCACCACTGTGCTCCCCAAGGCCCAGCATTCCCAATACCGTGAGGCCATCGGACGTCTCATGTACGCATCTCTTGCAACTCGACCCGATATCTCCTACGCGGTGTCAACACTATCCCGTTACATGCAGGAGCCAAGAACCTCTCACTGGCATGCAGTTTTACGAGTCTTCAAATACCTAAAGGGAACTTGAGACTATAGCCTCACCCTAGGAGGAAAGAGCACACACGTTACAGGCTATTCCGACGCAGACTGGGCTCAGCAGATGCACAGGCACTCGATTTCAGGGTATGCCTTCTTTGTAGGGAACGGAATCGTATCCTGGAGCTCCAAGAAACAGCCTATCATCACCCTCTCCAGCACCGAGGCTGAATACGTTGCCCTGACGCACGCATCAAAGGAGCTGATATGGCTCCGCAAACTCTTCAAGGAACTCATCCACCCAATCGCCACCCCAACGACGTTATTCTGCGACAATCAAGGGGCAATCACACTCTCAAAAGACTCCACGTACCATGCACGAACGAAGCACATCGATGTGCAGTTCCATTTCATTAGGCAAACAGTCTCCAGGTCACAGAGTTCCATCAAGTACTGCCCAACGGACGACATGATTGCGGATGCGTTCACCAAGTCCTTGAAACGTGTCAAACTTGCCCAATTTCGTGCGCTGATGGGTCTTGCTCCTTCGGATGGCTAGCGATTAGGCTCGAAGGGGAGTGTCGAGCATGGCGAGCGTTAACCGCAAGCCACGGACTATATTTAGATTACCGGTACATACCTGATTAGTCTATTTTTTTCATCGCGGCATCTCAGCGTTCAACCAACGTCTTCATGCTGAGATGTACGTGTATACTCATTATATTTCTATTATACTATTGCTAATCGTACCTATAGACATACTTGATACTCATACATATCTTATAGGTACAGTACAGCGTTCAACCAACGTCTTCACGCTGAGATATATACTTGATACTCATACATATCTTATAGAATCTTTTTCCCTCTCGCAACCATGCCTTCCCTTCGCGTACACCCCGGTCCACTGCTCAAGATCCACCTCTGCGACACCCGCAAAGATTAAGATAAAAACGTCGTCAGATAGTCGATTGTTGATTGAAGCCTGCTGAATCATTGGTGAGTAGGTCAGTGGAGTGGCAAGGACACATACCACATTCAGTTTCTCCATATTATCAAGTTCTGTTCAAAATTCGAGTTATTCGACCCGCTGAAGGCACTGAACGTGAACGGATCCGAGATGAAACAATGAGCAATGAAACCCAGTGAAAAGTCGGTCGAGCCGTACTGAGCCAAATCAAGCCCAGGGGAAATGATCGATGGGGCTCTATACTGCTCGCTGTAGCTTCGAAATGTGAACCATTTACCAGCTCAAATCGAGCTATTTCGAGCTTGGTATGTCGGTGTCATGGGTTTCCATTAGGCTTCGTAGGGCTCGATTTTATTGCTATTTTTATTTAATACTATTAATATACATAAAATCAGAGAATCGCTACTACGCTAAGTAGCGGCACTGGTCTGCAGCACCCTTCCCACTGCGTCTACAGCTGGCTCTGTCCTGCATGAATGTCTCAATTGCGTTTCATGGTGTCAAGATAGATGTACCAAAATAGACAGCCTTGGATAATGTTAAATCAGCACGTAATGACGGGGAAAGACAATTTTAAGGCTACTCACGAAATGGAAGCTAGCTGGAGCGATAGCAAGCGCGACCTAGATTTAGTGAGCTAAGAAATATATGCATATATGGAACAGAACGTACCGTGACCACACCCAGGTGGCGGCTAGAGAGCATAGAGCGACTGAAGACATTCTAAATGTCGCAAAACGACATATAAGAGTGCAGCGAGACGTACCTGAGAAGTACCCAGATATCCTGCTACTCAAACGAAATTTCCGAAGACGTATTCCTGCTGAGGGTGTTTAAACGCGGCGCATATATCCACCTTTCATGGCAGTTTCAGTCTGTAGCATCGTATCGCTGGGCTTCGCGTCAGTTTGCCAGTAAGAGGCCACATGCGGAGGCCACAACCTGCGATAATACAGGATTCGGGTGTAGGGCGACGGCGAAGATGGCGAATAGGCTGGAAGGTGACGGAGAATCGGAGATGGTGGTGGTAAAAAGGAAAGAGGCGTTAAACACGTCACCGGACGACATGCACGTGCGTGGTCAGATCCATTGGCTCGACTTGGCCAATGTGGTTTGCGCTCGCAAAGTTCGGCGCATTTCGGTTAACCATTGGATTCAGAGAAATTCGACTCTGGTATTCTTGGATATGCTGAGCGCAAAGAGGTGTAGGTTTGGAGCTCAATGCTTTCTTGTATACGCCGCTTGATCCGGCTCGACCACGCTACATGGTAATTTTTGCGGCTTGATTTGGCTCAAACCGGCTTGACGGAATTTTCACTGGGAAGGAAAGTTCGTAAACAAAGCGACTTTGAAATTGAAACACGTCGCGTTGTAGTCACGTTCTCGAGTTACGTCAGCTCCCCACTTAGAAAGGAAACATTGTTTGCGGGATACTGCCACCATGATCAGCAACTGATCAGTGCTCACTGTTCTCGACTTGCATTCAATTTTCATCAAGGGAACCCCTTGAAACAAGATAAATCAATCTTTCGCTCAGAGCCGTGCTTGATTAAACTTTGACTGTGCTATGTAAAATTCCCAAGCTTCGCAACTAGGGATCCCGGCTCCCGCATTCTTGCCGCTTCCCAGGCTATACCTCACGTTGAATAATAATGGTCCTTAGCGACGATTCTACGAGGCGGGTCCTACTGCATTAACCAAAATAAATTTTCGACGTAGCCTCCAACATTGCCAATAGTTTCTCTAACGCAATGATCAACCTAAAGCAAGCTCTCCCGTTTTATGATGCGCATCTGATGTTGAGGCTGTGAGCATCTGCAATCATTTCGTCCTATCTGTCTATATAACCGTAATTCTTTAGTCTGTCGACTTACCGGCTGGTATCATGATCCTCAATCTGCTCTACTCGTATGTCAAATACGGATGTTTCGATGTCTACTAATTACCTGACTGTCTTTCAATAGATTCCTATTCACGCTAATCTCGCGAGGATGCTCTCTCAGCATTACGGTAACCACTCCGCCTCATTTCCAAGCCAATCAAACCATTTCGGTCCTTCTGACTCCAAGCTCCGAGGACCCGTTCCATTTCTTTATCGCCGTTCGAAGAATGAGTCCACCGGATACGAACTTTACTTCATCCATACAGCCTGTAGACAATTTAACTGAGGCTCGCATTGTGTCTGTTGATCTCGAGTTTTCAGGGTGCGTCTTTGATGGCTATGGAATCGTATAACTAATAAATGTCCATATATGCAGTACAACCTACATAGTAGCCCAAAGAATTAGCCCCATCGACTTGTCAGTGGTCCTTCACTGAAAATTTTTGCCTGTATCTCACAGAAAAGTTTTATCAGAAGTTCAAACGTCACATTTGCTTTGAGTGAACCTTTTCAGGTAGACGAAGGTCGGGAAATTGACGTCTCGTGAGTACTCGTACACTTCCGTGTCAAAGTCAACATCACCGAATCTCTCTTTTCAGATCACCCACCCTTTCTAATGTCGATGAATCTGCTACAATGAGCTCTACGTAGGTTGATGCTGAGCTTCGATTAATTTACATCTGATGGATTCTGATAGAATGATCGCTTCAACCCCTGGGGCATCAGATTCCTCACCGTCGAAACATGATCATACACCCACAACCATAGCCGGCATCGTTATCAGCGTCTTTCTTCTCGTTCTAATCGCAGCATCTGTCTTCATATGGCGGTACCGCAAGCGCCGGAACATCCCTCCCTCGCGCGCCTTCCTCAATGACCTCGATGACAAAAGGCATCTTAGGGCCTCACCGAATGATCACTCGCCGGACGTTCCACCTCCCGCATATTCACCGCGCATCAGCCGTTTAACATCTATATCACGCTGGTGGGAGCCTCGAAGTTACGATCCCGCAACTTTGAAGTCTCCGCTGAAAGTCTGAATTTGACAAAAATTTGCTGATAGAGGTATGTTTTGCTTCGAATTTGTGTCGCTTATATCTAACAGATATTTCTAGTAACATCTGGTGGTGATTTATTTGGGCAGGTCTTGTTGATATATTGCTCTGGCTGGACAATCATCGAAATTAGAATATATGTAATTTAAATTTCATTCAACCCACAATCTCAAAAGAGATGAGCTGTGAACGGTGGTATAATAAGTACTTGATTTGTATGTGAGCGTCACCAGGGACGTATTTCCGTTCATCCACATCAAGTCTCGCTCATATTCAATTATCAATTAAGTGTAGGGCAAGCATGACGAAGCAGACAACGAACCTAGACCTCGCCTATGCTGTCCTGTCGTCGACATAGAGTCCATCCTCCTCCATGCCAACTGAAGCCGCCAGATGGACAGATGTCCCCACAGCTAAGAATCGCCAAAGCAACTTGAAACGATAACTAGATCCTGTAGTATCATCGCCGTACATGGAGAGCCGAATCGTTCCTCGAAAATTTATCTACTCTATAATTGTTACCGATATCATACAGCATCCTTTGCCCGTCAGGGCATCTTAAAGGCTATTCGGCCATCTTCAAGTTGATCAATAAACTAATTCAATGGCCTTAATGACCACGTCATGATTTAGTCGACTGCGTTTCTTTGCGGAAGATGAATCACCGGAGTTTTGACGAAGCGGGCTGATCGTTCTGTAACATCCCTGGCCGAGTTGACGGTGTCAAATATTCGCGCATCGCGGTCTCAGAAAGATGGTCTCAAATTAAACACTGATTCTGTCTAGGCACATGGGAAATAAATAATACGAGAACCGAACTGAGTGAAATAACTATAACATAGTATTAGCTCTCCAAAAGATGGGTATGTGCAGTTTATCTCCGAAATCCTACATATCTTCTCTTATAGGTCCGCAGCAGGTGTACTGTCGTATATGGAGCAGAGCTGATCCCATTGATCTGCGCGAACGTAAGTGTAGTGTTCGAAACGAAATAGAATCAACTGTACCAGTTGGATCAATAGTATTGTTCCAGTTCTCTGTGGCTTCTGCAAAAACCACGGCAAGTCCACTGTTGGGGATGGTTGACAAATTGAATAAGAATGTAATGAATCACACGCACGCCTCCAAGTGCCAATCAATGTGGCTAATAGAGAATCATTAATACATCGCCACCCCAAAACCGTAGAGAAATACCGACCAGTGAAGGAACCAAGGTCCCGGGTTGTCGGTTGTGAAACGGATAGTAACATTGTCCCCCTTGACACCGATGTTGACAACGTCTCGCCTCACAGGGTTCTCATAGTTGTACACAGTGCTACCGGTGCTGCGGACGACATCGAACGTGTGCTGGTTTCAGGGCTATCGTGAGAACGAGGAGCAAAGGATATTTGACTGAAGAACTTACACCGTGTAAATGGAACGGATGCTAGAAAAAGTATCAAAGATAGCGTCAGATAATTGTATGGTTAACACGATAACGGATAATGAACTTACACCTCCACCGACAATACCGCCTGGCATGGAAAGTTCGATCGTAGAATTCGCTGGTAATGGGAAGACCGAACCCTGGGGAAGGAGATCGCTCGCACTTTGTGCACCGCTTAGAATCTGGAGAAGAACGGGAGTTGTGGGAGGAACAAATTGAGCGCCGTTGACCGTGAATGTGCCCGCTGTCGTCTGTGTGACCGTTCAATACAATAGAACCATGAAATCAGGAAGTAGACGTACAAAAGCGAAAGCCAGGTTGAGCGCGTAGTCGACACCTCCGATTTCAGGGGATCCCGGCTATATTAGATTCAGGCCATGTTCGGAGGGTATATCAGTGTGAAAGTGTAGAACTCACAGTTCCAGGGTTCTCAAGTGGCTGTCAAGAGTTATTCAGAAAGGTGAATGGGAACAAACAGTCATATTATAAGGACGTACCACTAACTCGGTCTCATTCATCTTTAGCACGCTCGTGAAAGTGCCGGTAGATGGTTCCGCGCTATCGGCGCCGTCATATCGTAGAATCGCAGAGTTTATACCGCCTGCGAAGCCTGCTGTCCCAACGCTGGGATTGGCTCGGATCCCTGAAAATAATAAAGTCAGATATTGATTTCTTTACGGTCGGAAAACTTTGGCGTACAATAATTGCCGACTGCCTGGTCTGCATTTAACTACAGTGCGCCTCAGTATCTTCACGAATATCCGAAGAAGAAAGAGCACTGTACCACGAAGGAGTACCGTTGACCTTATCGATGTTAGCTGCTGTTTTACAAAGGGAAGGTAGTGCTAACATACCTGTAAAAATCTGGATTTCATCCACGGTATACGGGACGTGATTCACACCGTCAACTTCGATGATTGTCCTACCCATCATCGGTAAATAAAAGAAGCAAGGATAAAGCCAGGAAGGTAATCACATCAAATGGCTTTCAATGGAGACGGTGAATGCCGCCTCACAGCCTACATTGAACATTCTGATGCGGTACCTACAGTTCCCATGAGCGAGGTACCGTTAAATATACAGAGTAAACTCACCGTGTTCCTTGTGTAACCTGTACAATGGATAAGTCCTCTGTGAGGTCTCCGAGGCTCCATCTATGTCACCTATTATTACCCGGACTTTAAATGTTGTAAAATCGTAGCTTACCTTCCCAGTCCGTTTATGAGTGTAGAGTCCGGAGTGCTATTGATTTATCATCAGATGCTGACTTGAACAAATAGTAAAAGGCATTACGGGAATCCGAGTTGCTTCGCGGGTGTATGATACCAATCTGACAATGTCAAAATACTCGTACTATCTGTGACAGAGTTAAGATACGGACAACCACGGAGATATGATGAACGTACCATCATCGACATCATATAAGTCGGCATGTGGATCATTGGGGTCGTAGATGACAAGAGGCCCTCGTAGCCCATCACAGTATTGAGTAGCTACATTGACAGACGTCGTCGGAGATACAGGTGATCCAACGAAAAATGAATACCTACACAAATGGGAGTGGTACCAGAACGATCCAGCCTGGTCCGTGGTATCAAAAGTGTATAGGAATGAATCTCCCTTGGCTATAGGACATTGGTTCACAAATGCGGGCCCATCAGCCCACCCAGTACCCTTCTGGAAGAGACCGTGCCAGTGCTGAAGGAGATGCATGAGATGTCAATCTGATACTTTCCGCGGAAAGTAAACATACGATAGTCGTGCTCTGTAAAATCGAGTCATTAGAAAGCTCGTTGACGACGTTGATTTGGAACACGTCTCCCTAGCAAGGCGTTCATAAAACATCTTTTAGTCGGTCAATCAAGAAGCCGACCTTGTTGGCTCGAATGAGCGTCCCATCAATACGCGAATTCGCCAATGCAGCGATGCGTCCAAAGCCATCGGGAGAGACGTCTCCATTGGAGATGACGAGGTCTCCCGTAGGACCAATGGTTCCCTCACGTTGACCGCGAGAGCTAGCGGAAAGAAGAGCAATGGTAAGCAGAGACGAGAGGGATAAAGCCATGTCGACCTGGAGAACAAAACTATGGCCTCCACTCACTTTATACCTGCTCTAACATGCGTATGAGTACCGAGACAAGGATGAAAGCTTCACACACTATCTAATTGAGTGCCTCAGGACGTGGTGTCCATGACGCTAGCACTAGGTACCTTGAAAGATCCGTTAGTAATGGAGACATGAGAAATGTGACGCCGTACTCAAGCCGTCCTTCTCTAGACCCGCATCCCAGCCTGCTGGATGCCAAGGCACTAGACAGTCAACTCCTTCATTGAATTAGGCCGAAGCGACAGACTGTATTTCAAATGAATTTAGTTGGGATCTACTCCCGCTAGAGACATTTGTGCGGTATGCGGTCGTCTGGGAAGGTAAACGGCTAGGAGAGAAATGAGTCCGGAAAGCTTGGCGTACCATGGCCCCGAAGCTTGGATTGCGATTATCGTGGTTTTTAGTTGATTTTTTTTTTCGCGGCGAGAGTGAATGGTAATATCAGAGCAGTTTATCGAAGATAGAGAATATTTTGATTCGATCAGAGCCAAAATGGCATCGTGGGTATTGGCGTGATCTAAAGAATTTCAGTGAGAATCATGTTCTTGCAGGGCTGCGTCCTTTTTGACTTTGACAAATGGTGAATCCACTATTGGCGGTCCAAGAATACGCGTGTTACCTGCCGCGGTCTTGGCCTCCTTCTGATGACACGGAGCCGTATTCTTCATCAGGGCGCCAATTCACATACGGGCTCCTGCTCCCCGACTAAAGTATTAAGAACTCGCGTCCATCGCTCCTACGAATAATTCATCGGCATGCACATTACGAAGAACCGGAGCCTGTGAATATCTCAAAATTTAAAGAAGCATGGACCTGGATAAGGAACAAGACAGCTGTTCTGAATGAATGGAAAGATAAGCGACACGCCAGATGTCCCCCAAAGAACTCGCAAGCAATCACTGAGGCACCACAGTACTTTCGTTCAACATGCACATGAACACTGATATAACGCAGATCATCGCAGGAAGGGAGAATCCGAGTCGCGCAACTACACATGCAAGGAGAAACTTCGGGTTCCTGGAGTGCCTTCGTATTCAGTTGCCCGACGCTGACAATCCGGGGGGCTCATTCGAGCGATGTAAGTGGGAGACAGCAGACAGCGATCCTCGGAGCTCTGGGAATGCTCCATGTGGTCCAGCAGTTCGCACTGGGTACCGGCTATCCGCAACGATGGGAGCGGGAGAACGGGAGAAAAACAATTTGCAGCCGGTGGACCAGGGTTCGTTGCCGCGGTCAAGCCGCGGTTAAAACTTTGAACGGCGGCCCGACCTAGCTCTTCACCGTCACTGATAAGAGGATGGCTTTTCTTCACCGCTACCTCAAGTGACATATTTCCGTATGTTCTTTCTCTTGCAATGGTTCAACGTATACAAGTATATTTCTTCATTTGTACCAATTTGACCGTTTTGCACTGATTCTTTTTTCTTTCTTTTTTTTAATCCAAGCATAACACTCTGGTTTGGCCACCGCTACTATCGAAAAATTCGAAAGATGAAATCGACACGATTGATAATTATATGCCGCTGAAGTTCGTACACAAATGCTTGAAGTCTGCCTCGCTTTGCAAACGCAATACTGGTGTACATGTATTTATTTATACAACCCGAGTCGGCCGATGAAGAACCCTCTCGCTTGTCTTGTTCCTTGTTGATTTCCATGTTTTGTGCAGCGCTGATTCGAATGGTTTCCTAGACGATATGTCCAGATCAGCATCTCCACCTTTGGGGATGCCTACACTGTCGACTGTCAAATGGATTATCTCATGCCGGGCATTTCCATAATCCATTGGCCATCTTTTGTAGATCACAACACTTGCATTTCAGTCTTCTTGTGTCGCCTCAAAGATGCCTAATGCTTGGATTTGATGCTATACATCGCTTCCCTATCCTCATACTAGTTATTCTTCTCGTAGAACACAACATGTTGATGGTCGTCTATTCTCGACGAGGCGCCAACTCATTCTATTCCATTGATGGTGAGTCAATGCCGTATGATCTCAATAGGATATCCATGACAACTCTTGGACATTCAGCGACCTACGGAAGCGCATTCACGTTCGGAACGAGGCATTCCTTCCGAATTGCGTATATCAAGGAACTTTAATACTTTCTTTCTTCTGTGAGGTCGAACTATTGCTTTCCGTTCGACGCCAATTACCTTTCATTTCCCCAAGACTCATATCATCGTACAGTGACAGCTATGCCTATCCTTGGATTGATGAATATCAGCTCTTCGCGGGATCTCATTGCGTATGATGTTCGGCTCAAGTAATAGGCCGCAATTTGTTGGTCTGATCTATGGAGAACGGGAAGGGTTTATTTTTCAAAGTCGGGCTTTCCTATAAATGTCGCAGATGTGGTATACCCTCCCACTATCCGCTGTCTCCGGGGTAACTAATCCATCTTACGGTCAACACCCCGTTCCCAATCTTCATCCTCGTCATTCCACAGGTGAGGCGCTAGTTGAATACATGTGGATCTTCTTTCGATTCTTCGGTATCTTTCCTATGACAGTGTTAAAATGGGCCATGGACCTAGCAGACACAAGACATATCCCGTCAGTCCAGCCGTTGGTCATGCAGGAGCATGTCCTTTCTGCAGCGGAACAACGCCCGACTCGGATGAACCTGAGAGTTCTAGCACGTCCCTGGGGTTAGTGGTTTCTACCTCGGGCTCTCGCAACTTCGAAAAAACTGATATTCATACAGTAAAAGAATGATAGATGACAATGATATTACATCGTAAGTCCGATTTTCGTTTCGAAGAATGGCCGTGTTACTCATCGGGTCGAGGAATTAGAATTTTTATGATCGCAGGGGCCTTGTTAGGGATGTTACTTCTCATAGCCGCTTTCATAGTCTGGCGTCGACGAAACCGCGAGATTTCCGTGATCGAGAATGAGATTCTCCATACAACCACATTGCCCGCGCAGGTCGATTTGGAAGGCGGCAGCAACGGAAAGATGACTCTGGACTTTCAGGAGGCGCCGCCCGCATATTATCATGATTAACCATGTCTCGAATGGATCAATAGAGGGATCGTATTCTGTGAATAATCATCAGTATTTGTATAGGGTGCAGTTTAATTCGATGGAAGAAACCGTTTACATGCACGTTCGAGCAACGTGATAAAATGCAATGATACCCCGACAGGGGATGGTACGAAAATGGTCCCTCGTCTCATTTCCTTTGATCAGCTCAGTTGCCGAGAAAGCAAGGAAGGTCATACGTAGAATTAGACTACGACAAAACAGCAATTGGGATCCAAACTTTCGCTGGTTGCGACGTGATGGCCTGGAGTCAAGTACAACTTGAAGATCGAGACATGAACCTTCACGTATAAGGTCGCCTTGAAGTCCATTGTGATAATATCCGTGAAGTAACTGTCCTGTTGATTCCTCACTACTCGCAAGAGATGTACGACCCACTCCAATGGATGAACTCCTGACCAGCTCCCGACTCAATTAATTTAACCACTCGCTAAGCTCAGAAAGCCTATGCCAGCTTCCCAGAGAACAGAGGTTACGGAAGTGAGGAACATCAGCATCAAGGATCAATTGATTCGCGCTACTGATCTCAGTATTTTCGTTAACGCACGTTTAAACTGTATCTATCTGAGTTCAGCCACTACGGCATACTACATAGCGAGCTTCAGAAGGCATGTTCGAGTTGGCTTCTATCCATGCGGAAACAAAAAGACTCCGAAAGAGACTATGGGTCTCCCTGTAATGCAAACGTTCAATGAATGAAATAGGAGAGATAATCCTAGGAGGTAAATTCAGGAATTACTTGGAACCTGGCACGGGCCGCCAGTAAACTTCAATATTAGCTGGGCGCATGCATCAGGGGTCGAATCGGCTCTGTTTAGCCTCGGCCCGCACGGACCGTGAACATCACGTGCACATCCGGGCAGGATTTCCCGACTTCTTCAATCTCTGCTTCGTAGCTGCGACCGCGACTATCACCAGCGATCCCCATTCTCTCTCTTGGAACAAATGTCATGGTTTCAGCATGAACCCAGAAAGCTATAGCCAGAATACAATTGCTGCTGTGCGAGGTACCGGTCTTTTACCCCCCCCCTCTAAGGCACATCAAGCACCGCCGTCCGACGGGATTGATATCAGTGCATCACTGCTGCGCATCGAATCAGTGATGACAAGCCCTGAATTCTGTCCAGGTATTTTCACCGAGTCTTCAAGCATCTCATTCTGTTCACCTAACCTCATATAGGATAAAAGCTACCTGATATAAAAGCTGCTGAGATGACCTCGTAGAACCATCATTCGTTTTGTTCTACCCACTCCAGTGCCGGTATGTTATCTTCTACCATAGATTCTTCCATTCATCATTATATGTAGGTCATCTCGTTACTTGGATAAACTAAGATGGGAAATTCGCCAAGTACACCCGAATTTCTTTCCCTACCGTCATCCACGAGTATCCTCCCCCCACGTTTGTGCTCCACTTCTTACCTATAGCAGTTCACTAACCATGTCACAATAGTAAGCGGTCATTGTTCGACTGGTCTATCGATACGAGTGGCAGTACTTGGCGTACAGATCCTTATTGCAAGATCTTATTGGGGGCTACACTGCTTGTGTTCGTCATTTTGATTTGGCATCGATGGATTCGGGCGCGTCGGTACAGTCAGGCACGGCGTGTCGCAGATGATTTGGAGAGGCAAGGAGCACCTATCGAAACATCCAAATGACATTATTTAGTGAGATGTTTGCGTAAAGGGATGTTTTACTAGACGTAGCACAGTCCGAGACCGAGACATCAGACTCGCTGACCAAAGTCCTTCAGGATCAACCATTCAATACTATTACCGAGTTCGTCTTCTGTGTGATCATCAATCCGCCAATAGGTACATCGCTAAGAAACATATCTGCAATCATTCCAGTCGGTGAAGCCGGGTATCAGGATATATGTTTCAGAGTCTGAGAAGCTGTAAATGTTATATCAGAATACAAATATCTGTTGAAGAATACAAATAATATCATTGCCTTGACTTCACATCGACGATTCCCACTCTCATTTCGTGATATCAATTCATCCACTGAAATCGAGTCCGAGTCCAATTCACGATTAACGTCAGGGATCAAGTTCAAGTAATGTTTCCTATGAGCATCTGTTAGCAAGGAGACTCTTTTGCTAATTCAGAATGAGAGGGACCAGATACCGCTCATCGTGGAAGAAACAGGTAGATCGTCATGGATCGGACACCCCGTTTTGATAATGGAATACATGCCATTGCTTATTCAACCCATCTCTCCATTGGAAAGGCTGCACATACCTGTGTACACAGGATATATCCTTGAAAAAGACCTAAAATGTGTGATATCCACGTAAAAGGCGGATTGATCAGGGTTGGGAGATGTTAAATTTACTCAAAGTACACAAATGCTTATTATATTACTGTGATAGTATATTACGTTGGTTTTCTGGACTTCGGAGCAAAGGATTAGAGCAGAGGATGCATCCCGAGCATCCATTCCACTCGCTCGGTCATTCCGGTCCGGGAAACCGCAGAGTGATCGAGTGGCTGTACCCCTTCTTTGTTCTGACCGTCACCATCGGTCCATCGTATAGTCGCCTGCGTGCCATTACCTCTCGTTTGAATGTGCATAAAGGTATATTTCATTACTTTCCATGCTTACATAAGGTCCATAGATACTTTTGATCCATCTGGTGGCTCTCGAATGGCTTGGATATCGTGCATCATACCCCACTCGCCTGCGCGTAAGCCCTCCTGCAAGGCAGCATAATTTCCCCCCTCCAAACGATGGAGAATTGCACTACGATGCCCGCCAATTCTTGCCGCCGCCATTAAACCCCATCTTGTTGCCACCGTGACACACCTAGCATCCCTCACATCGAAATCGGGGCCAATCGCCGTTCACCATGGCTGCCCAATGCATTAACGATGCCGCATTCACTCGAGAACTCAAAATCCGCCTCCATCAGCCGCCAGGAGGACGTATAGATGCAAAGCCAACCACCACGACGACCAGGACGACGACAGTGATGGCGTGAGGGGTGGGGAGGACTTGAGTATGAAGCATGGCCATGCCAAAGGGCAGGCTAGGGATAAAGTGGAAAGCAGGGAGGGCGGGAGGGTACGGGCGGGAAGCTAGTTCTTGGGCCGCACGGACCGTTCTCAATCGGATGCACATCCGGCAGGACTTTTCGACTTCTCTGCTTCGTCGTTACGACCAGTGATTCCCATTCTCTCTCTTGGACTAAATGATACGGTTCCAGCACGAATCTAGACGGTTATAGCTAGAATATAACTGTTGCTGTGTGACGTACCAGTCTTTTAAAGACTCTTTTACCCCCCTTAAGGCACATCAAGCACCGTCGTCCTACGGGATTGGTATCAGTGCATCACTGCTGCGCATCAAATCAATGATGACAAACCCTAAACTCTATTCAGGTACTTTCATTGAATTCTATCCGTGTACTTTCACTGAGTCTTCCAGCATTTCATTCCGTTCACCTAACCTCATATAGGATAATACAAGCCCGTCTGATATAAAGAGCTGCTGAGATGACCTCGTAGAATCATCCTTCGTTTCTGTTCTTCCCACTCCAGTGAAGGTGTGCCATTTTCCATCAGATATTCTTCCATTCATCATCACTGCGTATAGGTTAACCCGTTACTTGTATAAGCTAGTATGGGAAGTGCACCAAGTAAACCTACACCGTCTCCCGTCTCCCGTCGCAGGAGGTCCCCCCTCCAGGTTTGTGCTCTCCTTCTTACCTATAGCAGCTCGCTAACCATGTCACAATAGTAAGCGGTCATTGTTAGACTGGTCTATCAATACGAGCAGCGGTACTTGGAGTACAGATGCTTGTTGCAAGATCTTATTGGGGACTACATTGCTCGTGTTCGTCATCTTGATTTGGCGTCGATGGATTCGAGCGCGTCGGTCCAATCAGGCGCAGCGGGTCGCAGATGACTTAGAGAGACAAGGAGTACCTATTGAAACATCCAAATGACATTATTTAGTGAGAGTTTTGCGTAAAGGGATGCTTTATTAGGGCGTGACGTCAGACTCATTGAAAGTCCTTATCAGTGTTTCCAGGATCAACCATTCATTACTATTATCGAGTTTATATTCTATGTGATCATCAATCCGACAATGGATACGTCGCTAGGAAACATATCTACAATCATTCCAGTCGGCCAGGCCGGGTCTCAGGATATATATTTCAGAGTCTGAGAAGCTGTGAATGTCTTATCAGAATAGAGATATCTGTTGAGAAATACAGATAATATCATTACCTTGACTTCACATCGATGATTCCACTCTCGTGTCGATATTAGTTCATCCACTGGAATCGAGTCTTGAGTCCGATTCACGATCAATCTCATGATCAAGGTCAAGCAAATTTTCCGACGAGCATCTGTTAGCAAGGAGATTCTTTTGCTAATTCAGAATGAGAGAGACTAGATACTCATACCGCTCATCGTGGAAGAAGCTTCAAACCGTCAAAAGTGCCTCAGTTCAAGCTTTGCAGTTGCCAAACTATGCCTAGCTGATGCTTTTGAGTCGAATAATCAAAGATCCAGTCGTGAATTGATAAAAAACCAACAGACGAAGAAATCCCTGCCTGATTCCTTGCTACGCCAGTACTTGAAGATGGCTAATTTTAGTATGGTGCAGTATGACGTGAAGCAGCCTGCCGTCGGCGTCGTCCTCCGACCTAACTCCGACCCCAACTTAATCTTGACCCATCCTTGACCACGTTGAATTTTCTTCAGGTTTGCCTCTGCATGCCTGGCTATTAGAACGATAAAAAAATAAAATCTCTACTTTTACTATCTTAAGCATGGACGACACGCAATACCTGTCTTCGCCTGGTCCTCCCTCCAAGTAAAAGTGTTCTAGATCGCTTCTTCTACACTTGATTAATGGTTTTTCCTCGGGTTTAATGTAGGATTAACCCACATGTTTTCTTGTCAGTCTGTGACCTTCGAAATGTACATTCTTCTAGTGCTTTCGATCTTTGAAGAAATATGTCATCCTCGCCTGCTCTTCAGTCCGCGAAAGATGTGAGTTGGACGCAAATGGACTTAAGGATCTGGCAGCGCTGTAATGCAAGCGGCTCGCTCGTGTTCTGATGCGGACTCAATTTCATCAAAGCACGAGCTCATCGGTGGTCATGGTGATCCTGAAGGTCATGCGCCCTGTGATAAAAGAGCGAAGATCGTAATTGCCACCTTTTCCCCAGCTAGTCTCACGCCAAAGTGGGGAAAGACTCCCACTAGCGTGATGATACATTTGGGACCGCCGGAACTCCTAATTCCGCTATCATGCCTTTTCCTTCCATCGTAGTCAACTCCTCGACTGGAGTCGAGCTATCCTATATCGACAGCGGTGCACCAGTTCAGTCCTCGTACATCACTATATTTGCTATTCATGGCATGATTTTCACCAAGGGTCCGTACCATTGTCTGTTCACAGAAAACGACGCATAGATATTTACGCCGCACATTCAGAAATCTTCCAGCGAGTGATAGACCTCGCACCCAAGAAGGGAGTCCGATTCGTAGCCCTCGACAGGCGTCCTTTTCCCGGTTCCACACCTTTCTCAGCAGAAGAGTTGGGTATTTTGCGAAACGCCGGTACGGATGATGCTCAACGAGAGGCTTTTGTCGAGGCTCGAGGGCATGAGGTTGCCATATTCATCGACACATTCATACGGACATTCGGCCTCCCACCGATCTCGAGCGGTGGTGGCGTCGCACTCCTCGGATGGTCACTTGGTGCAACCTTGGTTTCCGCTGCGATATCGAGCACTAGTACACTGTCTAACGACATTTGTGAACGTCTAGAAAGGCATTTACGTTCTGTCATCCTCTACGGTGAGCACATACTTCTCTCGAGCCCTCATAGTTTCTAAGAACACCTCATAGAACCGGGACCAATCACGCTTGGCTTACCTGCCCCAAACCAGTATTGGACGTTCCTTCGCGATCCAAGCGTGCCCGAGGATCTTCGTATCCCTGCGTTCGGGCAGTGGTGTACTTCCTATTTCGACCACCCAGATCTCTCAGAGCGCAATCTGGACAATCTGTCCTGGGTGTTGGCTTCGTCCTCAAGGGTACCCTCGTTTTACAACGGAATGCCTGCATCCATTCAACGTTATGGAAACGATGCCGCGATTGACCTGCCGTTCTTGGTTGTATACTCCAAGCAGATCCTGCAAGCTTATCGTAAAACCTTCTTCGATTCCAAGGTGTTCCCAAATGTGAAAAGATCGGTATTGTGTGGAGATAAGACATGTGCATTAGCGCTTGCTGCATTTTGGGCGGTACAAGATGATGAGAAGGAACAGAGGACTACGGATATAAAGGCGCTTGAGTATAGGATCATTCCTGGGGCAAATCATTTCGTAAGTTTCCAATGCACCCTTGCTCCCATACTTTCATATCATTTATTGATACTCATGGCAGGTGCATTGGGATGAACCCGAGAAGGCGCTAGATGTCTTCATTGAGTTTTCGTAAACGACCGTTCCTCATTCTCTTTCATTAATGTATCCTGGAGAAAATACCTGTTGGTAAAATAGCATGCGAACGCGATAGCATTTCAGGGCAATCAGACTGCTGTAGCTCTTCCTTCCTCTCACTTATGGCTTAACAATTGGGTCCCGTCACCCGTATTTACCAAAGTATGGATAGGACATTCGAATCAGATTATAAGAATATCCATTCGTCAACATGCCGTAGTAGCTATGATCCCCTAATGCACGTACACGGAAGACTACGGTGTATACATGCTAATTACTGATACTGAAAGCTGCGTTCATGAAGAAGTCCAGGAAGTAGAAAGTCCGTCAATAGTACAAAAAAATCTGACGTCCATTGATATAAAGATCGAGTTCATTGTTCAAAGTATAAATATGACGACTCCGTGGCGAACTTCGTTTAAGAAAACAATAATGGAAAAGGGAAGGCGCGTGCGGAGGGGCAGTGGGTTGTTCCTCTCCTCTTCAGCGTGGTGACTGATACGATGGTGGAGGCGATGGACCGTATGTAGTTTCCACCGGCTCAACCGTCGATCTCATTGGATTTTCATACGCCAGACTTCGTTCCTCCTCTCTTCGCCGCAAGTAAGAGCCTCTGGAAGATGTTGATGTTACGTCCTGGGGAAGGCCAGCATCGGAAGGCAGAGGGGAATTACTGCATCTCCTGTTTGGTGCAAAAGGATATGGATGAACTGAAGGCGGGGATGAGATGAAAGTACCGACAGAGAAATGTCTGAAGCCCGTAGGTAGGCTTTCAGCTTTAGAGGTATTGTCATCTCTATATCTGCTTTTTCGTCGACGCAAGAAGAATCCTAGGAATCCTAGTATTACCACGAAGGTCAATGATCCGATGGTGCTGCCAATGATTACGGGTGCCTTTGTACTATGGCTTGTGGTGTCAGTACTCGTCGATGTAGTCGATGAAGCTATTTGTCTAGGAAGAAGATAGTTAACACAAATACGAGTAGAGTTGAGTCAAATTCAACGTACACGGCGGATGTAGGGGTAGGTTCTCCATCTACTGGGCTTTCATCGCCTGATATAGCATCTCCACTAGTCGCAGATCCACCATCTCCGTTGTTTGTAGCGTCTCCGCTGGTCGCGTTCCCGCCGTTCCCAGTGATAGCATTTCCACTAGTCGCATTTCCACCAACCCCGCCGCTTGTAGCGCTTCCGCTTGTAGCAGTTCCGCTTAATATTTTAGCGTTTCCACTCGTAGCGGTTCCACCGTGCCCGGCTGAAGCATTTCCAGTAGTCGCGTCTCCACCATACCCAGCCGTGGCATTTCCGCTGGTCGCGTTTCCGCCAGCTTCTCCGGTTTTTAGAGGATTTCCACTAGTCGTGGTTTCATTCCCAGCTGAAGCATCCCCATTTCCACCAGCGTCACCGGTTTCTGGAGGGTCTCCACCGGTAGCGGCTCCGCCTTTCCCACCGGTCGTATCTCCGCTGACTGCGGTACTGCCACGCCCACCGCCATTTAGTCTAACATTTCCACTGGTCGCGGCTCCGCCTTCCCCTCCGTCTGTTGTAGAGTTTCCGCTGACTGCGGTACTTCCGCGCCCACCGCCATTTATTGTAACGTCTCCGCTGGTCGCGTTCCCGCGGTCTTTGACCTTCTTGAATGTTATAGCTTTTCCACTGTCTGCGCGAATCTTGATGTCTTCACTGTCGTCGTCACGTAAGTTTCTATCATGGATTTTTCTTGATACTTCAAAGGTTGCTCTCCGAGCTAGCATTTCGTTTGTTGTATTGCCCTCGTTGAGAACACGAGCATCATGCGATGTTGCGCGTTCTCCGGACAAAGGATCTATGTGATGGAGGCTACGCAGATCATTATTATTCGGTGATGTAAAGGATAGGCTTGTGCAACTTACCCTGCGACACCAAATGAAATGAATGGCTTCCGAGCTGCTACAAAGCTCTCCGCTGAGTGCAGTTCACGTCCCCTGCCCGAGGTGACGCGTGAAGCTAAAGAAACAAGATGGAAATAGTCTGGATCCCGCGGTTCCCAAGCTGGCACAACCATGCTTTGTCGGCTTGTTTGAGGAGCGCTTTTCGTCGAGATTGTGATAGGGTGACCGAAAACATTGAGTATGAATGCGATTGAAAACCTAGCAAATATCAGTTTCAGTCACCTGGGTGTTATATGCGATGAAGTTATTTGGCATACACTGCGTAGAAGAAAGTGGATGCCATGACAGCCAGCTGGCCAAGATAATGAACTACAGGTAACAGAATCCCTCTTTAATAGATATCGCGACGGGATTATCCAAATCCGTCAATCGCAACTAGAATTAAAACGACGACAGTGCTTAATGCATTAATCATGCAGTTGACAGATGAAAGTCCTGTCTACTTTCATGAAGAACCCCTTGTGCATGATGGAAAGAGAGCGAGGGACGAGTAATTCAATGCGGGTATTCAGAATTGTGGGAGCATCTTCCTGAAGCGATACCCGTCAGATGTGTAGTCAAGGAAAATGAGGTGAAGTTCAGACGCGGGTAGTTTCCGTTGTTATGATCCGTGAGATTTCCGATGACTGGGAGAGCAGCATCCTTCCGATTCCTTCGGCGTTGTTCTGAACAAAGCGAAGGTCGCATCTGACAGACACTTCTACCGCAAGCGGATAATGACTGTCGCCATGCACCCAAGCACTGGAATAAGCGATTGTTCAATCGCTAACATTCCCTTGGGCTTAGTGTTATCAAATGACTGACAGATTCATTGAGTGCATATGGTGCTCGAACCGATGCAACGGTAATCGGGGCACCTTGAGAACGGTCTATGTCACAGCAGCTCAACTTGTCTGCAGGCTGACGTAAGGACTACATGCGATCGCAACTTGATGAATTCGGCATTTTACCTCCGTATCTTCCTATCTCGGGAATGACGATACCATCATTCATCAGATTTTGGTCGTCCAAGAATGTGCGAACTCTACATGCCGGAGAGTACCTTCTGACGCAATTACCGTTAGCTTGGTAGCCTCGTTAATGTCAAGTGCATTATGGACTGACCTAGCTAACTGGAAACCCGAAATGACGATGATGGTGACCGTTCTTTACTCCGTATCCGTATCCATGACTCGGAGCTTCGAGATGTTTTCCGGAGTTAAGCAAAAGATATAAAACGGACACATTGATATACAATCTACATCAAAGGAATAACATACCATGGAATGATCGACGGCAACATCCAAGGCAATCAGTGGCAGAGCATCACGCGTTCTCCGCCGGACCATTGCGTCGGTAACCATTCACAGGCACGATCCAAGCTTTGTGATTCCAAAGGTCACGAAAAGCTCATGTCGACTTCTTGAAGGTCTTCGATTGAGTTGATCATGATCCTCTAGAGGCTCGGCCTTCAGTGCAGCTGACGCAGAAAAGTAGCAGGAATAGGATTTGAAGAGGTGAAGCCAGAAATTGAATGTTACTTGATATATCCTCGTCGTTGTAAGAGATTCTCATGTTAGGAGAGAAATGCAATGAACTTTGAAAGCGACATGGTGTTGACATGTATTTGCCGGCTCACGTTCTCACGCGGCCCGCGTTTCCGCTTCCCTCTCGTTTGCTTTCGTTGTATGGAGGCTTGCGTCAGAGACTTCCCAGGAATTTGATTCTCCTAATTGTATAGTAGTCTACCGTGTTATCAGCGTATCGATCTGTTACCAATCCATTTTGGATTCAGTGCAGGTCTATCAGCGCGAAGAAACCCCATCATCTGTCTCTCGCGAGGAGCAAGTAGAAAGGTAAGAGGGTGGAAGAGAATCGTGATATACCGTTTCATTCAGGCTGCCCAGAAAGCTGTAGGTGTAAATGCACTCGAGTATAGAAATATCCCTAGGTTAAACCATTTCGTACATCGGAGTATTACTGCCTCCGCTTTTTACATGACCTAATAGGAGAGTTACATGAAAGTCCTTTGAGTTTGTGTAGGCGACTTTTGTCCATTTGTTCTATACTAATAAATTCCGGGGGAAACATTTGTCCATTCGCAGGGTACGGATAGCAGAAATGCGGTAGCATCTCCGAATAGTTATACTAATGCGGCTCTTCACTCCACTCCAACCAAGTCAATGACTTAACGACCAGGCCATGCTGTATCCCTTAATATGGTGACAGATATTAAGGTGGTGGCGATTCGACGTGCGTAGTTTCCACCGCTTCAGCCGTAAGCTTCCTTGGATTTTCCCGCTCAAGACTTTGGTTCGCCTCTCCCGGTCGCCATGAAGAACCTCTGGAAGGAGAGACAGTTACTCTGTGAGGCAAGTCAAGCGTGCCATCGTCGGAAGGCAAGGGAACATCACTGCCTCCCCTGTTTGGCGCGAAAGTAAAAGGATAAGTCGAAATTGACGGTATGGCACGGGTTCCCGTAGACTCAGGTCTAGAATCTTTTGGAGGGCTTTCGGTTTTAGAGGTACTTTCGTCTCTAAGCCTGCTTTTTCGCCGGCGCCAGAGGAATCCCAGGAGACCTAGTATTACTACCAGGGCCACTGATCCGACGGTGCTGCCAATGATTACCGGTACATTCGTATGGCGCACTGAGGTAAACGTTCCTGGCGATGTAGTTGCAGAATTTATCTCTCTATAGGCAAGTTAGAACAAATACGAGCAGAGCAGAGTCGAATTAAACCTACGCAGAGGTGGATCCGGTGGATTCATTGTCCATTGTGCTTGTACCATCCGCTACAGCATTCCCGCTGACCGCTGACCCGCCACCACCTACTGTAGCACTTCCACTAGTCGCATTACTTCCAAGCCCGCCTGTAACATCCCCACTTATTGCGGTACCACCTTTATGCCCAACCTTTATTTTAGCACCTCCACTTATCGTAGTACTCCCACGCCCGCCATTGATTGTAACACCTCCACTAGTCACATTTTTGCCGCCGCTACCCTTCTTTAGTATTATAGCGCCTCTACTGTCTGCGCGAATCATGAAGCCGTCACTGTTGCCACCATGCAAGTCCCTATCGTCGAGATTCACTGTTGCGCTCCGAGAGTGTATCTTTCTTGTTATGATGCCCTCGTTGGAAACGCGAGGATCAGGTGATGTCGCGTGAAGAACAACAGAGTCCCCGTGCCAAGTATCGGTATGGTGTAGGCTACAGAAATCTTTAGTACTCGTAAATGTACAGCATAAGTTTCGAGATCTTACCCTGCGACACCGGACGAAATGAAAGCCCTGCGAGCCGCTAATAAGCTCTCTGCTGAGCACAGTTCACATCCCCTACCCGAGGTGACGTGTGGTGGAAAAGAAACAAAATACTCTGGATCCTGCGGTTCCCAAGTTAGCACGATTGCGCTCTCCTGATTTCTTTGAACAGCAAGTTCAGTCGAAATCGTGATAGGAAGACCGAAGACTTGAAGTATGAATAGGGTCAAATACCTAATAAATGTCGGTGTGAGTCAACTGCTAATCACAATGAAGTCAATCGACATACGCGTAAAAGAGAGTGAACGCCATGACAGCCAGCGTCAAGATAATGGGCTACTGCTGAAAGAACCACCCTCCCTTATCTGATAGCGAGACAGAACCGTCCAAATCTTCGTCAATAGAAACTAGAATCAAAATGACGGCAGTACTCAATATATTCATACCGTACTTGGAGAGATGACAGATGAAGTCCCCCCAAGGTTCACAAAGAAGCTGCTGTGTATGATGGAAAGAAAACGCAGCACCGGTCGTCCAACGTGACATTCAGAATGGAACCGTGTACCATCTTGTTGAAGCAATATCTGTCAGATGTGTAGTCAAGGAAGACGCGATGAACTTCAGACGTGGGTAATTTCATGGGAGTACGATCCGTGACCTCCGATGACTAGGAGAGCGACGCCTTTCAGCGCAGTTCTGAAGGGAAAACCGAATGTCGCATCTGATATGTGGTTCTGCTATAGGTGTAACCTGACTGTCGCCATGCACCCAAGCACTGGACTAGGTGATTGTTCAATCGTTAGTATTCCTTTTGGCTTAGTGCTATCAAATGAACTGACAGATTCACTGAGTACATATGGCGTTCGAAGCGATATAAGGGCAATCTGGAGCGCTCCACAGTACATGTCACGGCGACTGACTTGTCTATAAGTCAACGTAAGGATTACATGTGGTCACGAGTTGATAATTGAGAATTTACCTCCGTATCTTCTTGTACAGACCTCGAGAATGATCGTACCATTCATCTATTAAATTTTAGCCGCCCAAGAACATACGAAGTCTACACGCCGGAAGGTATCTTCCGATACAATCCGCGTCGGCTCGTTAAATAGTAGAAAAAATGCTGATAGACCAACTACCGTGAAACGCGAAACGTTGATGATGATCTTTACTTGCTCGTATCCATGGCCCGAGTCGCGAAAGCCAAGCGTCGAAACATCGAGATACCCTTTGGCACTAATCCAAAGACGTTTAACGGAGCTACCTTGATATTAAATCTACATCAAAGGAATAACAAACAGTCACCGTGAAATGATCGACGGCAACATCCAAGGCAATCAGTGGAGAGTATCACGCGTTCTCCGCCGGACCATTGCATCGGTAGCCATTTCCCAGGCACGATCTAAGTATTGTGATCCCAACGGTCACGAAAATCTCATGTGCAAGGTACGCATCAGCCTGGCCGGAGATGTGAAATGATGCCGTCAGCATCGCCTGACGAGTCGTCACCAAAGTGCTCTTAGCAGAGATCTGAATTAACATGAAACTCTGCATACGTGAACTTCAAACGAGCAAGGAATACCTATCTCCTCTTTCTCTCCAAAAAAAAGACTCAGATCTTTTATCTTTTGTTGCAATATTCCGTAATGCCGATGGTTCATCTCTCCAGTTTTCGTTGCCGAAGAACTATGTTCTCCAATGAATGGATCGTCCATTCATTTGTCTGGAAAAAATCGGATACATCCCCGAGAGAAATATAACGGTAGCACAACGACACACACTCAGTCGCTGCCAAGGGCACGTTGACGGGAAAAAAGAAAGCGACACTGTTTGCATCACAGATATTCATCCATAAAAATGAATGAGCAGCCCACACACTCCCCAGACGGGTGCAAGGATCACTATGAAAGCCCCGACGTGGATCCCAAACGCCGATGAATGAGCAGAGCAGGCAACGTGGAGATAGGCAAGAGATAGGGGGAGAAAGGCGGAAGGCGTTGACAAACACGTATCAACTTTGCGCCACTCTTCCGAAACTCCGTCCGCATTGCGCAACTGTTCGCAATCAATCACCTTCCTGCAGTTCGGCAGCTATCCGAGGCTGCTGCTGGCTGCGTTCCTTCGCACTGGATTTACAACAGTTTTTACCTTCGTGGTGGGCACTCATTTCACCGCAGGCGGTTGGATGAGACTGGGGAAAAATCGTGTGTGTAACTGTTTCCTGCAGTTGCTACGATTGTTGATCTCTGTCCTAGCTGATAACCGCCAGCGAGCCTAGTCAGATTATCAGCAGCAAAAAAAAATTGAATAAGGTCAGTACAAGTACAGTTTGGACGAATTAAGCGTAGAATCTAGAGAGTCAAGCTGGTAGCTAAGGAGGTCCAGTTCTGTTCTTGCTTTCTTGCGGGACCTTGTTGAGCCACTGGCAACTACGACAGGCGTAGTCACTAACCACAGTAACTATCATATGTATGTTCCTTTACGTTGTACAAATAACTATCATTGTTTTTTGTTACGAATGTCGTGCAGAAGGGGGCGGCGTGTACGTGGAATCAAATCCTTTTGTTACTCTTGACTTCGTATCCAGTATGGGTATCGTTAAAATCATTCCAATTTGAATCTCGTAACTTCTTCTGAAAGGATAGCGGAAGAGACGTCCTTTTGCCCTTTTTCTTTTGCCGACTGACCTGCTATTTACGGAAATATCCGGATACTCTCCTCTCTTCACCGTCGCTACCCAGTTTTCCGCACTGCCCCGATTCTTTTGTTTCGTTCTCATCGAGAAACAAAGGATAAAATTTCACTGTAGAATGTTCGAGTAGCCTCGTTCTCTCATAAAAAGGTAACCCCTCAGCCTACCTTATCACCGTTTTCTGATTGCACGAAGGATGACGGGAGCTCCGAACGAGGCCAAAAAGTCGCGCCCGGCACGAAATCGTGCATCTACCAGGATAATCAAGGACGAGCCAACAGACGCCCAAATCCCTGTCGAAGTTCCTCTTGACCATGGCTGGCAGAACCCTGCCGAACTCAACTATATCGACGCCAGCACCATGACTAATGCCAATATTATCGAATACCTTATCACGCACTCCTTCTCCGTCCCCCCAAAGCGCAACATGTGGGTAACCATCACCTCTGCGGACGGAACAACGACCGTGATACCCGGCGGATACCGTATTCCTCTCCTCTTCGCTGCTCACTTCCAATGGACCTCCCTTCGCCTCGTTTTAGACTCTGGAGAATGGGATCAGTTTAAGTCCGGAATTCTCCACATCTCCCGGATGTGCGATAGATTTTTGGAAGAGGCAAGGAGTGCTTTGAGACGGGGTATGGTGAAGGGGTGGAGGTGCCCTACATTTGATAGGTTGCTGGTGAGGTATCGTTCGTATTACCTCTTATCTGATCCGGACAGTGTGAAGGAGTTTCATGAGATGTACGGGGAAGTGGAATATGCGAGCGACGCGCTCAAGTTTGGTATGTGTGTGGTATTGCTTTGTTTTTTCCTTATCAGCTGATAGGCTGGAGACTGGAAACAATGGGCTTTGAAAGGACATAAGGGCTTCAAGCTTTTGGAAGAAGATATCCTCGGTGGGATAGAGCTGGGTAGGTGGCTGGAAGGGCTCAGGGAACGCGACGGGGACTGGGTCTGGGATACATCACCAGGCGCTTCGGGCCGACTGGCGATGGATTATTTGCAAGAATGGAGGAAGACGAAGGTCTGGTCGACGATCCCGCCAGTGTTGCCCCCAATCCCAGAACCTACACCCAACGATGCCGTTCCTCCTCCTGATTATTCCATTTCCCATCCCCCTCCTCCAGATGAAGACGTCCTCCAGTTCCTCAAAGCTCGTGCAGAAGAAATCAAAAGTCAAGAACGCCGCATTGCTGCTCTCGAAGCGGACCTCGCCATGCTCAAAACGACTAGGAACAGCGCTCCACCAACCCCCACAGAGGATGCGAAGCCAGAGTTTATCCCAATGGCGAATTTTCCTGACATCGAGGACGTGGACTGCGCGTCGAGCTTCTGGCAGGACCCATTGAAGAGGTTTTTGGATATGCCGGAGGTCGAAGCGGCAAAAGCGGAGGACATGGATGTAGATGTGGTTATGGAGGATGCCTCTCTATCGGCTGGGCCAGTCAAGTCATGGCGCAAAATTCAGAGGATGGGTTAGTGTCTTGTTGCTATTAGTATCATTATAGATTGTTGTACTACACTCCGCTTGTTAAATATTATGGTCAAAAATGGCCTTTGTGTGACTACAACGATGACAACGAGAACTTCGGGGATGTATAATCCTCGAGCTTTAGTCATTTAGGCAGATGGATATTGGAGCTTCCGCGAGAGGGTTAGGGCGTCTGTCGGTTCATCCCTCATGATAAACTCGCAGATATTTCGATACCACATCTTGATGGGCTTTTTTTACTGTTCGACGAGACATGGTTTGAGTATAATAGCTTGTCTAAACAATCATGCTCATGCGAGTCTTCCTTTCCCTATAACTAAGCTGATGGCTTAAACAGTGCATTTCATATTGTCCAAAGTAAAAGCGGCGTGCTATTATGAATTCTCGTCCTCAATGTACAATATCAACTACCGTAGACAACCAGCTGACGTGTAGAACATTAGCTATAGAGTTCATAAACCAGCTCAAGCAGCAGAAAGAAATTTCCGGGTACAAATATAACTGTATGGCAGTGTCTGTATGAGTTTAATGCCCAAAGCACGACTCTGAAGCGCACCTTGTTTAAAGGGATTAGTAATACTGGAATGTGTAGTAGATGCAAATGGAGGGGAAGTGAATTGTGCATTCTCTTCAATATCATTCGCGATATGATGGTGGGAGCGGTTCGCCATATGCGCTTTCCACCGCCAACCTCACTCGACTTTCCCCAGTCTGGATTTGGTTTTCCTCTGCTTGCCGCCAAGAAGAAACTCTGGGAGGCGATTCCGTTCTCGTTCTCGGCGAGGGGAAATCACGGCTTTTCCAGCTCGGTGCGAAGGGATAAAGATAAGGCGATGACGACGATGATATGGGAGTATCGACAGAGCCAGGTCTGGAATCCGTTGGAGGGCTCTCGCTTTGAGAGACCTTGTCATTTCTGAACCTGGTTTTTTTCCTGCGCCAGAAGAATATTGATAATAGTATTATCACTACCAGGGTCAATGATCCGAGGGTGCTCCCAATGATTACTTTCGTATGGTTCGTTGAGACGTGGTTATGTAGAGATGTAGATGCTGAAGCAGTCGTTCCTGGCGGTGAAGTCCCTGAAGTGGTTGTTCTATGAGAAAAATAGTTAACAAAAATGCGAGTAGAACAGAAGCGCATCAAACCTACATGGATACAGGATCAACAGAGCTGAGGGGCTCCCCATATACTGTGTGGCTACCACCAGACGGGGCATAAGTAGCATTTCCATCTTGACTCTCGTCTGTACTATTGCAAGTTGCAGAACTTTCATGAGTCTTGCTCCCAACCTCCCCATCGACGCCTTCCAGTTCCGTGGCGTCGGACACGGTACTAGAGACGCAACTGGCAACGGTACCGCCTTTTATGGATCCAACCTGGTCACCAATGTCGGTGTCGCCACTTTCCCTGCTTCCCTGGTCGTCGTCATTGCCACCGAAATTACCACTGTCAGTTTGTCTGCTGGTCAGAGTTCGACCGTCTTCATCATTTGTTGTAGCGCTTTTACTAGTGGCGATTCCGCCATCCCGACTCCTAGTTATGTCCTCTCCACTGTCTGCGTGTATCGTAAGGTCTTCGCCGTCTTCTTCCGATAAGTCTTTATCTGCACACCAAGATAATACCTCATTGGTTCTAATGCCCTCATGAGACCTCGCGCGAAACATAAGTGACTCGCCGCAGGAAGGGTTGATGAGCGCCAGATGTACACTGCGGAGAATGTCATTACTCGGCTATGTAAAGGATATCTTTGTGGAACGGACATACCCTTTGGCGCTAGACGTTGTTAAGACATCGTACGACAAGAGGTTCTCCACAGAACGCCATTCACGACCCCTACCCGAGGTGACGCACGACGCGAAGGAAGGAAGAGAGGAGCGGTCTGGATCATGCGGTTTCCAGGCTAGCACGATCATGCACTCTTGGCCTGCTTGAGGAGCGTGTTTAGTTGAGATTTTTATAGCGATATCGAAGACTTTGAGTATCTGGACGACCGAGTTTATAAACCTTGTAAATATCGATTCAGGTGAGCTAGGTATTGCATGTGATCCGATTAATTGACGTACACATGGAAGAGAGTGGACGCCATGGCAGGTAAACGGGTCAAGACCATAACCTGCGACAGAAAGACTCTCGCTTTAATAGATATCTCGGCAGGTCTGTCCAAATCCCTGTCAATAGCAACTGAAATCAACATGACGGCGGTCCTCAATGCAATAATCACGTAGTTGGACGGACAGTGCCCAATGTTCGGGAAGAAGATGTGGTTCGGTCATTCTGAATTATAGCACGGAACTTCTTCCTGGAGAACGATCAGATAGATATGTAGTGAAGGAAGACAATATAAATTTAGAAATGACAGCTTCTGTCCGGATCTCTGAGTAACTGAGAGTGAGTCCCTCGGCGCAGTATTCTGGAGAAACAGACAAACGAGCATCTGATAGACACTTCTACCCAACTTCTACCATAGGCATAAATGACCTATCGGCATAATGTCAGCACTCTCGATTGTTTGATCATCAATTCGATGTCTTTGGACACAGCGTAGTAATCAAACGACTGACAGGATCATCGAGTAGTCATTAGCTAATATCATAACGAGATCGATGAAATGACGAAACATAGTGAATGAAATTGTCTCCAGACCAGCGTAAGCCTTTCGGTCACAATGCGATGGCTGTACATTCTATCCCTCCTACACAGAGCCATAGAAACATGATATATCCATCTATGAGATTTTAGTCTCCTGAGACATTTAGTATATGCCAGTGAGCTCTACGTACCAGATTTCGAGTCCTGTGGAAACGGGATTACTGGTCTAAAGCTGTTTCGTAGTGCTCCATCTTCGTCGAGTGCAGGTTTACCAGTCTTAAGCTGTTTCGTCCATCTTCGTCGAGTGCATCGTACACCGCCAGAAGCTCGTCGAACTTCGTCGGGGTTTTGCCATATTTTGGGCCCTCAGGGACTCAACTAGCACAACTTTGTCCGTAGTTAGTATATTGTGCGGTGGCTGAGGGAGGCGAGCCAAGGCAAGGCCCTCTAAAGAGTATTGTCAACACAGTAAGCAATTGGAGTTGAGACGAAGATCATTTACTCGATCCTCACCCAATCATTATCCTTTCGTAGAGGTAAAAATCGGTAAAAAGACGATTTTGAAAGCGGAACCGGCTATTTCGGACCGAAGGGCTTTGTCTGAGATAGCATATTTTATCATCGTAATTTGACTCTAATTTGATGCCTAATTTCCTCGGATTTCCCGGACAAAGTTTGGCGGAAGTGGTCCGAGTTTTCTCCGCTCAATCCGTCCAAGTGCGTCACGTGCTACCCTCGGCAATTACCGGCTTTCGAATTAGAGACTTTTTACGTCTTCACTCTTCCCCATTTCCTTTCTCCTCTGGGATCCACGGTGTTGAAATGAGTATCTCAGCTCCTGCATTGGGATTTCCATCGATAATCAGTATAATAAGAGACCTTGATGCCATGCTGGACGAGCTGATCTTCGAAATACTTCCTAAGTCAACTGACACCTCACTCTTCCTACTTAGAAAGCTCAGTGCTGTCACTGTACTCTGCTTCTCGAACTCTGAACCCTTTGACAGCCTCGAGGTGTCCTGTGTGGCGCGGTCTGGCTCTTTGTCGGCGAGAAAGACGTGAAACAAAGACTTTTCTACACTGAAATGGTCGACCATTCGATATTCATTGCTGTGAATAGAGAAGAGAACTCGAGGAGGCGAAGCAATTGCATTGAGTACGTATCGTTTCAGGATGCGGGTCTGGAACTGATCTGTCACACTCTGTGATAGGCGACCGCTTCGTGGAAAGTCGGAATCTGTGTCACGGGCAAACGTCGGAAGTGATGCGAGGACTAGGAATGGATAAGATCAATGCTCGAGATCATGCAAACGGTCTATAAGTCGATAAAGTTTAATAAAAGAAGTCTGAGGAAGTGAATAAGAAGCGTAACGAGACGAGAAATATGTATGCTTCTGCCGCGTTTTCTCAACGCTTTCACCAGAGTCAAATCCATGCCCGTTCATAAGTCTCGTAATGTGCCCATCTCACAATGGTAACGCCCACTCGTCCAGACTCTATGATTGCCAGTGTCCGATTTGAATGACACCTTTTGGCGCTCACCGGAAGATGACTCAGTGGATCTTCGCCAAATTTATTCAAGAGTTACAAGCAGATCGGTGACGGGCAATCATCTACGGTTATAAATGCTGTAAACACTGTCCAGTAGCGCATCGACCCTGACCAGGTCCTTCTCCGTGATATCCATATACGTCATGTCCCCCAACTTGAACACCACGAACGTCCCTGGCTGTGAATCCGAGTACCACACGTGGTATTCATTCCCGAGCTTGTGGAAGTTTGTCAGTTGGTATCGTGTACTATCGGGTCGGGGATATGGGTAGCAGGTGTGGTGGTAACCACAGCGAAATGGTAGTTTGCGATACGAGCCTGGTGGCGGCGAGAAGAGATCGTCAGCATAAGAGTAAGGTAAAGACGACAGAAGGCTCACTGTTTGGGAGGAATTCGTAGGCATATACATCGACTGTCTTGTTCAGTGAGGTAGTCGACATGGCCATGTGAGGGCTTCTAACTAGTAATGCTGCGACTGTCGCTCGAGTGAGGTATTTATAAGGATCCATGCTGCGAAGTGGCATTATTTTCGGTGGCAAGACAACGTGCTTCGACTTTGACTGTATCAATCATGACAAAAGAGAAGAAAGACTTTGCCGGCCCAAAATTTGTCTCGCACCCATTCATAATGGCTATCCATTCACCATTGTAGACCAGATGGCAATTGAGAGAGAAGAGAAGAGATGAACGCGGGGTACAGCCACTTGAAAATCAACTTGCCTGATCGGGGTTTCTCTGTTTCCCCGGCGTGCCCGATGATTTGCCGAATCTGATCTTCTGGCCAACCATAGTCAACCATCAATTAGTTCCATTAAAGCCATCAATATTCGAATGGGCAGATTATACACCCACACGAACGAATGGCGTGTATTGACCAAGTTGGAAGCGATGGGCCAGTATGCTTGATTTCGTTCGCCATAAGCATCGAGGCTTTAATTCCGACTCGGTGAGCCACCTGCCGACAGCTCTGTCTATCTCTCTTAGTCGGCCATTAGGGGCATCCTGAGGATGTTCTGTGTTACGTTATCGACCTGATAGCTGGCCACTTGCGGATTACGTTTCATCGCTTATATACATACAATTCTCCTTGTGATACTCGTCTTTGTGAATATAGGATCTTAGTTTATGTGAAGTTTCAGCCCGAAACATATGTTAATGTATGACTTGCAATTTTTTTAAAATTTCCTCAACCACTATGCACTTTAAACTCTTTGATACGAACGTAATTGGTAAAGGTAAACTTGGATGGAGAAAGTCGACTCTTGAAAGAGTGCTATAGGGTTGGGGCCTGGGCACGAGCGTTAAGTTCAGAAAGTTCGAATTTTGGACAAATCGTTACGTCGTACTTTTCAGATGCTTCAAGTCTCAGGATGGGTTTGCGCAGAGAAATGACGTTTTGATACACTGGGTTTCGGACCAGTAAGTTGCCCCTCTGCTCATTAAATATACTGTGCCATATCAAAACACCTGCTCGAGAAGAGGTAAGTAACAAACCGTAGCTTACACCGGTTAGATGCGGGCAACAATAAAATTAATTTCTCAACAGATCACTCACTGCCCCAGAGAGGCTCGAACTCTCGACCTTCCGATTGTGTATATGCAACACTTATGTAACAGTCGGACGCTGTAACCAACTCAGCCCTGGGGCACACGTCAGTAAGATTGTAAAAGACTTTTCATTCCAGGACGGGAATGGCTTGTAAACTAGAATCCGTTGTAGGCGCGTGTTATGATATAAATTGGCACTATATGCGTCTAACTAAAGCTACACTGTAGAGTATCAGAAGCCTGCACGTCCATGAAAAAAATTCCCATCGCTCAGTCTATATTCTACGGTCTGCCAAGCTCAAGCGCACTATCATTCTTCTCCGCGTCTTCAGCATTCCTATTTCTTCCCATGCCGCGACCAATCAAGAAGCCGGGGTGCGCAAAGTTCAATGTGTAGATAGCCAATACTACCATGGCTCCATCGAGAACATCTGAGAATCGCGAGAATCAGTCAAGAGGCGACGTGGTGATTAAAATGGCGCAGCATACTGAAGTAAACCTCTGTAAGGATGATCCTTCCGTTCCATCCATCAGCGAGTTCAATCGTACGATATATCGCACTGCGAATTCATGTCTATCAGTTTTGAGGCGAAAGGCGTAGATATAGTACAACGTACCGAATGAAGAGACACAGAGTGTTGAATGCCAGCGCGAAGATCATGATTTTTAATTTAGTATCCATGACTCCGCGAGCAGGATTGGGAGACGAGAGCGTCACCAGGGAATCACTCCGTTTCCTGCGCGAGAACAGTTTTGCTACAGGGCGGTTATGCGTGTAACGGATGAGGAATTCGCAAGCGAGGATGGCGTAGAACGTGATGACGACTGCCAAGGAGGTACGTTAGGAGACGTCGAGGAGACCGAAGGGTTTCGGGACATACCAAGCTGGAAGACGATACCGGCAAGCATGACATTGGATCCCTATATCCCAGAACGCCGTCAGATCAACACATTAGAAGAAGCCACAAAGGTCCTCACTAGCTTGGCACCTTGGAGGTCGTTGCGGTTAGACGCGGATGACGCGATACCTCCACCACCACCTTGTACCACCAACGACAGGATGTCCTAGGATCGATCAGCACGACAAGCGAAATGGTATATTTCAATGTACTCACGCAGCTGACGAATATGATGGAATCTAAGCACAAAACTCCGTGAGCGAGGTCGAAGTGCAGAACAAGGAAAGAGCTTACACGCTCTGGGGCTCAATCTACTATAAGCAGGCCCCAGGATACGAATTATAGCTCCGAGGATGAGGAAACTGGCAGCGACGAGTGGAGTGGGTCCAATGATCGTAGCCGTTATTCTATTCTACCGATTAAATCGGACGGTAGACTGAGAACGACAGACTTACTGAATCATAAACGGAGTACTTAGAGATGGAGAGATACTTGACCAAAATCTCCCGCTCCATCCTAGAATCTCAAGGCATCCGGCGAGGATGATAGTCGGGAGTGCCCACCACATGCGGAAGTAGATACTCTGGGCCGTGTGGGTTACTAGTAAGATATTGGTCAGCGCGACTCATACCAGACTGAGATTCCCGAAGGTATGATACATACGGGTGGATATAGAGAACAGGATAATGAATGTGAGGGCGACGCCTTTCGATGGAGTGTATCCATACGGGGAATCTTCTCGTGCGGCTTCAGCAGCAGTAACAAGAGTTTTCACTACAGCATGGAAAACACGCGATTAGCCACATACGTCAGCGCTTTTTCAAAACGCGCACCGTGCTCTAGAAGGGACATGATCGTAACGGGTAAGAGCCACTTTACAAGTAGCCAGAAGAGGAGAGGGAGTGATGATGAAAAAAATGAAGGTGTGCTTTTTGTATGAGTCAGAAATTACGATAGACATCAACAGACATGTGTGGAAAGTCGGTAACCGCAGTTAATTAGGAGGTCCCGTATAGCCTTGCATCATCTTGGCAGATGTTTCAAGGTGGGGTAACAAGACCGTATCCCTACTGGGAATTTTATTGGACACCGACATTGTGATTGATGATATTCGGGGAACGTTTTGCAGAGCATTAGGGGTTGCCGAGGGACGCGTCACTGTGAGTGAAGACGAAAATTCGAATATCTAATCTGGAGATAAGCATCGAACGTTGATCAGTATCAATCAGGGCAGCCACGCAAGGACACCGCCATGTCGCTTGGCGCTGTCCCGACTGGTAGAGCGAGGACCGCAGCATGAAGCGATGCAACAGAATGAATTAATTCGCATACCGTGGGTAATCGAGACGTGGGACGAGCCAGGCTGAAGACTGTTGAAACCATCTTGGAGAGATGGATCCCTGGCTGCGTAAGGCTGGGATATCAATATGTGCGTTACATTTTCGATCAGGTCGGAAAGAGGGTCGGTTGCTCGTCGTACCTGTCCTGCTGAATTTGAAGAACTAGACGTGGCGACGCAAGAAACTGGCAACTGGCGTGGAAGGGACAGAAAAGACTATTATTATTGGAGCAGATTGAGACTGATGTGAAGCGCTTGTTTAAATACTTTCCTGAATACGACTCAGTTATCACCGAACGATAGTGAAGCGATGTGTTCGTTAGAGTGACAGAGTCGAATTGCTCCGTCGGTCCGACGGCGTCCGACGGCTGCTGACGAATATGGATTTCCTCTTTTAGTTTTCAGCCGTGCTGCCGTGCCGCGGCCGCGTCACCTTCCATGCCGTCTGCGACTGAAGGAAACCATCAACCCGATTCAATGTCTTACCTGAAAACATCTCTGTAGGCTTACAGCTCCCTCGTCCAGACTCAATGACAATCAGTTTCCACTCAGCATTGTCGGAGGCCAGCAAACATAGAATCCTTTCACTTCGTTTTCATACATGCCAAGCGAACATAATTTACAGGCAGTACCCGTAGGGAAGACTTCCCCGCAATTCTCCTGCAGCTGCTGGCGATGTCGTTTCGTGACAGCAATTTTGCTGAAAACCGGACATCGTAAAACAGAAGGCGTCTTGACAATGGTAAAGCAGCCGCGGTAGAGCTTTTCCCTTTCCTTCAGAGGTTCTAATGTTACTTTAGTGCTACATCTTGGGGTCTCCTGTCGTATAAACAAATCGCAGTAACAGTCTTATCACCATTGGTTTCACCATATTTGCTTCTTTGAGGAAGCTCAATTCGATATCAATACTGGACCAATCCAAATTGGGCTCGCAGCGACGTGTCGTCGCGTCGATATGTCCGTGATCGTGAATTTACAAATTCCTCAGCTCTCACTACGGGGCACGTGTCAGACTTTGACAACGCGCCGCTACCAACCACTGTCATCAGAAAAGTGCGGCAAATAGCTCCCCAATTCCATGAATCGTCGAGCGGTACGCTGATACACCAATCCAAAAGAAATAATGCTCAAACTTTGCTTTCAGCGAAGGACCCGTCTGCCAGCTAGAAATTCGCCGAACCGTTATCCTTTTCCGATTGGCGACGCTCAAGATCTTCTAGATGAGGCCGTCAGAAATCCAATCAATGCTCATCGAATGTTATCTCTGGTCGATCTCCAGTTCGGTAAAACCCCGGTTCCCGATGGCTTTGACCCCTGGACCCATACCCCGGCTGTCCACGTCATCGACGCTTGCATGCGCGGTATTGCTAGAATTATCTCAGAAAGTCCATCTTTTCGGACCGATCAGCAACTTCGTAAGAGAGTCACGACATTTTGGCCGCGACTTATCCCATGGAGCATGTACTTCCTTGACAGTATCATACTGGAGCACGCCGATATCATGGTATCAAATCATGAACTCTCAAAGTACATCGACAGCGCTGCATGCAACTGCGTGCGATTTCTCCTCCGGGCTCTCGAGCTCGACGAGATAAAGAAGTCACTCGCCCAAGTGGCCCCACACTTGTTGTCCAGTTTAACGAAGGCGTGGATCGTGACGGTCGAGAATGGTATCCAGGTCGCCAGCCTTCTCACTCAGGCGGCCAAAAAATGGATGGATTCTGAAGACCATGACACGTTCGGAGATGTAACTCACACGTTCATCGCTTTCCCAAAGTCCCGTCTAATGGGTTGTCTGACCCGCATCATATCTTGTGTTCAGGACCGTCAAACGCCTGTACCTTGGATGTTGTTGACATACAATCTCATGTTTATCCAATTCATTGGCGAGGGTCGTGATCTTCGCCTCGAATATCTATTGATGAAGTCCATACCTTGGGTCTGCAGACTCATCACGTATTCCCGCCACCATCTTGACAAACACCCCGAAGAAATGCATTTCGCAACTAAGCCTCTAATCCTTTCCTTCGGCTATTTAGCTGGGGTGCTGGTCGATGGGCCGGAGTGGATCACTCAAGCCCTGGATAACCGGCTCTTAGTGTCGCTTGCATGGTTCACTGGCAGAAGCCATACGTTCCACTATCCCCGAGAACTCGACCAGGCCATCTGCTCACTCCTACACCTTTTCACCGTTAACACGGTTTGGCGGTCTGTGCTACGACCCATGTTTCGGTCGATGAGACACGCGGATTTATCCTTCTTGGAACACCGAAGCGAAGTATCGAACGAGATTCTTGAGCAGTGGGATAACTTGGAAGAGGCGTTTGAGGAAAGATGGAAGGAACGGTGTTCGTACAAAGATGAAGTGGGCGACTATTGCATGAATACGCTCGTAAGTATGGACGCCGTTTGAGTGTTGATCTCATTATTAACTTCTTAATAGCACTGCCCTGGCATCGAAATTGACTTGTTCAGATGTCCTGCCTGCAGTGGTAATTTTTGTTCGAGGTCTTGTCAGAAAGACCCGAAAGATACCACCCACCAGACAATCTGCAAGACCCAAAGAAATCGCAAAAAGAGTACGTTTCCCCTATTTGCTTTCGTGGGTTACTGACGTTCTCAAATGGTATGACACAACAGGAGGTTATCCCGAGATTGCCGTTGCAAGAGACTGCGAATTTCTCTGCTGGGTGGTTCAACAGTACCTGTTCGACGAGGAAAAGTACATTGACGACATTTTGGAAGAATATCTCGAAGAGCATAAGGATGAGTCTGTTGGGGTCGTGTCCGTGGATTTTACGCGTTTTCCCCCCGAGGTCACCGTCGGCTCGTTCGATGATTACAAATCCCGAGCAGGCGATAGAGAAGAGGAATGGAGGGCCGAGCTAGAGAAGGCGAAGCAAAGGATCCCTGTTAGAACTGGCACTGAGGGCGGTAAACTCGTCCTGACGTCCATCCTTCACGGTAAAGAGCCCTTATACCACTTTCAATGGCTAGAGGATTTCTCCGACCTAGAAATCGACGTATTTACCATTTTTACCTTGCTTTCATAGACATGGTGTGCATATAGATTGACTGTCCCACTTTGGGGTACTATCCATTTGCGAAGTTTCAAATTCTCGGGTTCACGTCCAGTATCAAGACATACTAAAAAGCACCAGGCGCCACTGTCACGTCTCTCACTATTACTCACATCCGACACGCAGAGGAGCATACCAAACTTTCGTATGACACTGATAATGAATCGCAAACAGGCATGCTGATGAGCATTGCAGTTTGTACGGTGCTTGCAATATTAAATCATCAAGTACTCTACATGCAACTGAGTTGGATTTGTTCTTCGGATGCGCCTGCTTACACTCCCGTCCTCCATCAGATTTTATCCCCTGGACGAAACGTGCAGGGATTTAAATTTGTCGAGACACTCATATTAGCTGCGATCACAGCGGCGTCTGGAGAGGCCAACAGGATTGTTAGGATGAAATGGTCTATTTACTCTGTAAAAATCGTTTGATCGGAATTTTTTGTACCATTGTGTGCCCCAGTACGCGTATACCTTACAAAGGTCAAAACTATTTAGCATTCCAGTCGCCGGCCGCAATACTGGAGTACACAATAGAGAAGCGGTGACGGGCAGGGCTGTGAAGTCCTGATATGATAGGTAAATAGCATTTTTTGAAAGAATAAAGGGTTTAGCTGACTACCTTGACTTCGTCCCTCAGTTCTGTACCCCAGTCGACGACAATTGAGGGAAAGTTGAAGGAAAGTTGAAGGAAACCCGGCAACCGGCAACTTTCCCTGGCGTTCCCAGTTGGACCGTGCCGTGTAATACTAACCACCTACCTACCTATCGGAATCAGGCCGAATGCCAGAGAGCACTCATCGAAGCATCGTCTTTCCAGTACCCTTATGGGGTCGTCAGAGAAAATTGCAAAAAGGAAAAATATGGGTCAAGCGTGCGCCACTTCTTACTTCTATTGCGCTCTAGGCTTATGAGGCAACACGACAATGTGGGTGTAATCTTGTAGTTTATTGAACTTGAATACCCGCAAGCCAACCGCAAGCATGGTCCCAAATCAAGTCGGTAATGGAGCGAGCTGGGCTCATCAAACCAGCACTAGCCAGAAAATGTACAACATCTGTATAAAGATAGCAATTTAGATAGTTCGAGCTATTGTTGACTGTTTCAAGGGAGCTGAGCAGATAATGCATACCCAAGGCTTCGTGGTGCGCTGAATCGTTTCGTTACAACAGCGATTCCGCCGGCTAGGTGATCATTCGTGCTTGCAGAGGATTGTAATTTTCGTCGTGAATCCATGAACGGTGCAGCTAGAACGACCTCATTGCATGATAGGTCCTCTTCTCACAAAGAACTTGAACCGATGTGATACTAATCAATTCCATCGGTCGCAAGGAACAAATTACGTGAGAAGTGGGTAACCCTGGCTATGATGGTCTGAAAAGCACAGACCTACATTCAATCCAAGACAGACGAGCAATTCGATGTTCAAATAATGCAACTAAGCTAAGCTTATAAAAGTCCTAGTGAAGGCACTGAAGGCTAATCGTACAGCAGCGGTCCGTATCCCTAGGGTGTATATATTCAAATAATACGTAGAACAAGCATGTTAAGTGATACAAATGATGGGGTCCTACCCAGTCCACAAAGAAGACAGGAGTACATCATCGGCGAATCTCGTGTTAAAGGTGATGATCATGGTGGTGTCAAGGAAGAACAAGAAGGATCCGGGATATCACTCCTGTGCAAGGAGCGGTAAGATGGTGGTGGAGAAGTACTGCGCATGATCCCCTCCTCATCCATGTGTCTGATTTGCTGTTGTAGCCACGAGATCAATTCTTCATACGCGTTTCGAGAGGACTGAGGTGGTCTCCTCAGGAGGTCATTGCTTTCCCCAGGGTCAGGTGCGAGAGATTCGACAGTCGAAATCGACGTGGCGTTAACGGAGGGGGATGGTGATCGTGACATTTGCGTAACGATCGGCTCTGTAAGGAGCGGATTCGGATTCGGTATAGTCGTTGGATCAATGACATCCTCGGAATTGTTAGTACTAACTCTCCGACTGCGACGTGTCTTCCAGATGATAAGAAACAGAGGGATGATAACACAGAAAACAACTGAGCCTATGACGCCCCCAATGATTGCCGTTTTGGAACCGGAACCGGAATCGCTGGCTTCTGCACTAGATACACTTGTGAGAAAGCGTAGTTCTCGGCATTCAGTGTCAAAAAGACTTACTCTCCCGTACTGTTAAGGGCCTCGTTATAAGTCACTGGACTAGAGATTTATCAATAACTTACGGTAGTAGCGCTGTGGACAAGACCGAGGCCGGAATCGTGATGAGCGAAGTCTGAAGTCTATGAAGTATATGAGAGAGAATGTACCAGTGAGTACCGAAGCATTATCACTAAAAGTGTAAGGGTGTTTCTTACTGATACAATTCTGTCTTCATTGTGGCAAGGCCCACAAGGAGAGCACAGAAGACGGTAGTACAGAGGAGTGTGTCGTCTACCGAGATCGGATCCTTGAAGAGCCTGACGAGAGTGGCTGGGTCGACCTACGGGTAAAAGAGACGCATGTACCAAGATAACTCATCACAACTGAATGTTTATATACGAGGATGGGGGCCCCCTTGGCAACAGGAACTCCGTAACGAGTATGAATGTTGCGTTGATCAGCTAGAAGTCACGGAGTTAGTATATAGGTCAGAAGGGGACTTGTCACTTACGTAACTTGGACCTTACACCATGCGCAAGCCATCCTGTGATGCATACACGGGGAGCCCAGTACATTAACATGTGGCTCCTCCGACGTCTAGTATGAGATGAATCACAGAAAATTTTTGAGGGGGGTGTGGTGAAAGACCTCGATATCAGGATATGGTCATTGAGCCGAATGGTACCAAAGAATAATCGCCAGGCGATGTACACAGCACAAGTAACTTACTACATTTCTTCGCTTCCAATTGTACAATTGTGCCACAATCTACAAATGGGAACGTTATTTCGATAGCGCGCTAATCAAGTTTACGAAATATGGTATTCAGCCTGGTGAGCGAACAATCAGCATCATGATGGTCATGCTGCATATGCTGCCACATTTTACCTTGGAGTCCGCCACACTTATTGGGTAGTGAGCGTGTTTTCCAGGAGAGAATGCTAACTAACTTTACCTTCTAGGTGCACAGCTTATCAATACTCGAATAAGCTCTCGTTCCCAAGTATATCGGACTGAATATACTTACCGGACATCTTGTGAAGCGACATAAGATCAATATTTACATTATCGCTCTGATCCCACATTCTAGTTTCCATCATGAGGTCATCGGACAGGCTCCACATCATCAGAGATCCGAATGAATTCAGTATGCGTACCGATACAAGGGGAAATTTGCCCAGCACTGTAGTCGCTTACCGCAAAATACACAATTGAGGAACCGGCAAGTGGAGCTACGAAGTCCTGATAAGATAGTTATATGAAGCATGGAGCATCCAGTTTGCTACCTTGACTTCGTCCCTCAGTACTTCTGTATTTAGTGCTCAAGTTGACCATGATCGAGCGAAAGTTGAATACTAAACGCACCAGAATCGGGCCGAACGCCGGGTGCGATTCACATGTACGCTCTCTTCACTCATTGATACCATTGGGAATCTTAAAGTCCTGATAACATTCTATTGGCGAGGGCGGTACGTATAGGTGAGATAAGGTTAAACTTTTCCTTAACTTCTTGTTCTGCTAGATCTAGATATCCGTTAATGAAAATCAACACGCAAATGCAAGAGAATTGCTCACCCCACCCTCCTTAATCTCCACCTCGGTAGGGACTATCGGTGATAAAGGCTCGAGTCACCGTGCTTGAAGCCGTCGGGTTGTGCAGCGTTGGTCCCACTCCCATTGATATGACACAGCTATGCGTCCTTGCTCCATATCCATCGCATCCACTTAGAATGGCCCTGCATATATGCAAGGCTGTTCACGGGGTAGACGGCGTCACTGCTAGCAACACGATATTTAACGGGGATCAAAAAGGATGGAACAACCAATAGTCACATCTCAGTTGTATTCGAAAGATCATCACAATGATGGGTAGGATCCTTCAGCCTCATCGCAAACGATGCAGCTATACAAAGAACTATCAGACGAACTTCAAGGCGGAACAGCAGTAGGCAGACGTACCATCTGGACTAAAATCTATGCCAATAGCCAGCCTATAACCTCGTGGGCAATAGAATACTCATCAGCACGAGCTTCGCATCCTTTTGGCACAGTTTCTGACGTGTTCATGCCGAGAATACAGGTCGAAAAAAGCGAGTGATTCAGAGTAAACGCAAAGTGCATATATGCTGGAAATCAAGGATCAAGCGCTCGACGGTAAGACCAGCAGAAGATTTAAAAAATTTTACGCACTTAATGCTGTACCAGGCTATAGCATACCGAGACGCACCGCAGCTGCCCGTGCAAAGGCAGACCGACCTATCCTGAATCGTTCGCCTGCACTACAAGTCATCAACACATATTCCATGATGAAAGCAGCAGTACACGCACCAGGAGGCCAAAACCATGCTCAATATCGAACACTTGCTCCGTCGATGAGGAAAGGAAGATCAGAAGCTGAGGAAGGCAAATACGGCCAAGCAGCTTATTCACGTGACTGATGCGTCGACGACCGTGACGTGAAATTCAAATGATTCATGCCTTCGGAGAATCGGAATCGCTTCAACCACCATCATTAATTTTGACAATGATTCATATCGCACACACCTTTCAGTGGCTACTCCGTAATCACAAAACAATATTTTATCACCGGTCTTTTCACCTAGTAAATGCATTTCTGGTCACCGGAAGTCCTCCTTATCATTGCACTTGCCCTTGCACTATCCTTCAAATCATCTTACAACGGCCTGACTTTGCAAGGACAGGCACTTCCGCAAACGTGTCATAGCATTCTGGCGCTACTTAATCCCGTGGTGCATGCATGATTTCCAAACATCAATTCTCGAAAATCATCAAGTGCGCTACGCGCAACTGCGTTCGATTCTTTCTTCGGATACTCCAGCTTATGGAGTCGAGGAGCCAAGGGTATTGCTTCAATACGAGCTTATATAGCACGGAAAACATGCATACCAGACAATACAAACAATGACATCCTATCCAACATGAAAGCGACAGGACTTTATCAACGAGCAAATATCATACAAAGGTTATGGCGGCGAGGGAGAAGCAAAAGGATCTGAAACTTCACTCCTGCGACGGGAGTGGTAAGATGGCGGCGAAGAACCATTGTGCATGATCTCCATCTGCTCATCCATGTCCCTGATTTGTTGTCGTAACTGCTCGATCTCTTCTTCGTACGCATTTCGAGAAGACTGAGATAGTCTTCTCGGAGCTGAGGGAGGTGACCCGGACGTGAGAGATTCAATAGTTGAGACGGATATGGGCCGCGTGAAGAGAGATGATGATCGTATCCTGGGGGAAAAGAACGGCTCAATAGTCTTCGTGTTGTTGCCAACCCTGTTGCGACCTTTTATTCTTCGCCAGAGGACGAAAAGTAGAGCAAGGACAACAACAGAGGCCAATGATCCGATTACACTGCCAGCGATCACCGCTGCCAGTGGAGTTGCCTTACTGGAGGAGTCGGTGCTTCCCGAACTAGATGTTGTTCATGAGAAAGCGCAGCCACATTGAGAATTGTGTTTGACTTACGAAACAACGGGCGAAGATACGGTAGTTCTATAGGGAAGCGTGAAGATATATCAAATGAGCACTGTAGCGAAAAAAGACGGACAATGTTCTGGAAGCCAGTGAGAGGTAAGTCTCGACAACAATAGATATGTTTATAAGATTTACTTTGTAGCAGTAACTGTTCCGACCTCATCACCGTCACTCTTTGTCGGAGTAAGCGTTCTATGGAATATTTATCAACAGTCAGATAATGAGATCGAGATGGATAAGGGTTGGCTTTACGGTTTACTAATCGCAGACAATGTGGACGTGGTCGAGAGTGTAGGCGTGGATATGATCGACGACTCCCGAGCGGCCACTGACTCGGCCAAGCTCTCTAGGTTTCTGTGGGAGAGATAATTCGTTAGTCAGTACCGAAGTCTTATCACCATTCAAATGGTGAGGGTGTTCTTACACGACACTCAGACTTGACAGATTCATTGTGGAGATATTTATCGGGTACACGAGGAACACTGAGAAGAACTGAAAGAAGGTGGCGAGATAAGCTAAGCGGACCTACAACTGAGTGTTTTTATAGAACGACTACACATACTTGACAACGGCGACCTGACGACGTGCTTAAACGGCGCTGCATCCATCATCCAGATGTTACCGATGGACTACATAGATCAGAACGGAACTTCGTAGCTTGGATCTATAAGTCGAAAGATAACGTATTAATATATCAGACCCTACACCACACACAGGCCATCCTAGCATGCATACCTTGGGAGCCCGGTACACTGACATGTTGGTTCCACCGAGGATGAAAATTTCTTACGAGATGAATCACAGCAAATCAGCCGTGAAGGACCGAGATATCAGGATATGATTATTGATTCGAATCCCATGATCTGGGAACTGCCCATTGGGTGGAGGGTGGTTATGGGTTTCAATGGTACGTGTCTGTGCCTGTTGTGTTGAATTATGAATGGCATTGATGTATATTTCCGACAAATTTCCGGCCCTGGTACCTCCACTTTGTCCCTCCCTTGCCTACAAGTTACAATTTCATGGCACTGCAACGTATCGATTTCCGGCAAACTAGTCACGAGATGGGAAATGGATGGATATGAACATCAGGAAAAACCCTTTTGCTATGTATCTGCCACTCAGATATATGTAGCTTATGTATCGCCAGTAGTGATGGTAGAGGGTGCACAGCATTAGGTAGCGGTAGGTAGCATTCTGTATATACTGCCGGTAGCTACGTACACATCTGTATACTTCAGTGAAACCTACTGAATGCTACAACATTGGTCAGCATTATCTCTTTTTTTGGGTCTTCGATAGTGGCTGATGGTACAAGTTGAGTGTCAGCTAAAAGAGGATATTGAGTCTGACTGAAATACGGACTTGAATAAGGATAGGAAAGTAATGCGAAGACGAAATCAGCACATCGGAAGGTAATTAGAACGATATATGCCTTGTGAAGTATGGACAGCTACAATGGCAGTGCCAAGGACGAGTAGCTGGGGGGGAGTTCTAATAAGTTCATTTGAAACTCCGACACAGAGTCCGTCCATCACGTGCATAATCAACCAAGATCACGCCATCGGATCCTGACCAAATCCAACCACCCTTGCTTCCTTTCCTCCATCAATGTTTCAGCGCCCACCTCTCTCGTTCCTCTTCACGTGTCACCATTTATGGTTCTATCTTCCTTCTGGCTTACCGGTGCAGGCAACCTATGTTCCCTTCAGATGGTCCTCTTTGCCATTCGTGCGCTCCTTGTATATGTGTCCCTTATGCTTTGAATGCTAAATTTACTGTTCATTGTGCATGTTCGTGCTGTCTCTTTCACTTGATCTCACATGGCCTTGTTTCACAGTACTTGGATGAGATGTCTTGTACTCAAGGCTGCCGGTGAGTACCCCAACTGCAACCCCATGCTTTTTTACTGACTCGTCTTGTGCTTTTCATAGGAATAGTGTTCTAAGGGTACCTGTCCTGGAATGTATGTAACTTGAATTGTTTTGACATTTGTCATATTTATGCCATAGCACTTAGGACTCGGAACAACCCATGAACTGTGATGGTGCCGAAGACCAGGTGCAACAACTGCGGTTATTGCACTGTCCCTATATTTCCCATTTTTCATAGCAATGCAATCAGTTGTAAGTGCTGTAGCCTTGTTCCTATCAGCTACTACTGATATCACTGTTGTTCTGCTAGGATTTCAATCTGTTTTGGTGTACTTTGTGATGACAGGGTGGATTGCAATGCTACTCAGAGTTCAGACGTTGGAGGTGGTCTAGTGCATGTGATGTCATACAGCTATATTGGTGTAGTAGCTAGTAGTAATATATTGATTTCATTCATTTCATGGTCTGCCCTCTTCTGTGTTCATCAGAATATGTCTTCGTAGGTATTGATATGATGCCGCTACTGTAGCGATACAATAGTTCAGGTGGGGTGCTATCACTTGATACAGCTACTACATACTCTTAGTGGTGTGCTACAAGCTGCTACATATGGGAGACTGTGCTACGGTGCTACAAGTGCTACATAGACTACATATTGTGATGTAGCAAAGTAGTTTTTTCCTGATGAAGGAGGAGATACAGACCTCAAGGAATTGATACTGCCAGAGGAGAACCAACTAGATCAACCCCACTTCAGTGCAAACCTATGCTGACTTGCACCTGCTCTCCACTGACGCTGTCGACCTCTCCAGTCATCACTCACCGGTGTTGCAGTATATTGGCTGCCATGAAGATATGTAGCTTCAGGTACGAGGTGCCTATCTGCCTATTTCACATCGCTATGCCGTATCAACTTCTCATGATCAAGGGAAGATAGGTGCGTAATGAGGATGGGATGAACAAACTGAGAAATTTGGGTGCGGTGGCAGCACAGAAGTGGGTGCTACCTTCTTTGCACACATTACACTGCACAGATGGACCCTCCACAGTCATACAAGTCAGCGCTGGCAAAACCAGCTTGCATGCATCAATGGTATGTATATTTGTTCCTCTCTTATAGAAACCTGTGCTTTTCACATGATTCGTGTAAGTGATCATATCCTCCAGACAGCGAAGCTGTTTGTTAATTTGTGCATTGACCTCATAGACCGAATCTTGTATACATACATAGGACTGGGGATTACATCCTGCTGCTTCTATTAGTGTACATGGCGAGTAGATAAATAGGTAGTTGAACGAACTGTTTGTGAGGGTTCCCTGCTGAAATCTGAGTGAGCACTGGAGAATTATTACTCATTTTAACAAAGCACCTCATCATTAGAGAGCTGAATGGGCCTAGTACATGTACACGATAGAAAGGGCAACCTGTTTAACATTCTCCAGTAGCTTGCCACACTAATGGAGTATGCAAGAGAGGAGCCGGCAAGGAGTGGGCACTACCTTAACTTCATTCCTCAGTGATTTAGTACTCCTAATTGGTCGACGAGTGTCCGACCGATCGTATGAGTTTACCGTCATCAGGAAAAAGGCTTTTGCTATGTAGCATCAGTAGTGGCCCATAGCTTTGTGCTTTGAGTACATACCAGCATATAGTATCCAGTTCTTCAAGTCTAGATTTTGTGATTCTCACAGCACAGGAAGAGTAAGACAGTTCATTTCAAGATGCATTTGTCACGTAAAAGTACAAAATCAATGTGTTGAAGGTAGGAATTTAAGAAGAAGGTATGGCACGAATCTAGGATATTGTCGCTAGTGAACCGTGGATCGATAACCTGCCCAGAACATGGAGAAAGGTGACAGCTACAAGAAATATACATGATTGGAATTATAGATGCATTCGGGCGACCACCTCAGATAGTAGAGTATTGAACTTTGAACATTCTGGTGAGCTCATCCACTTTGCAAAGGGGTGTGAACCACTCGACATAAGCAAAAGTGTGACGGAATTCCCCTAGCTCTGGAGGGAGATCAAAGATGGCATGAATTTGAGCAACGTGAAGGCCTGGAATATGGTTGAGTTAGTCAGTAACTGTGCAATAGCAAACATGCACCTTTGGGTCCAAGCAAATCTAAGTCAGTGATACCTTTCTCAGGCAAGTCCTTCCTTGCCAAGACTGTATCGAAATATCCTGGTGTTGCTTTCTTGTGACCACGAGCTGGTTCTGGAAGAGTTGCACGGACAGCATCAGTGGTTGCGAGCTGCGAGACTTCAGGCACTGGAGGAATAGAGACACAAAATCGTTTATATACTGAGTATGTTGCTGGTTCTGCATCCCAATAATCCATGCTAAATAGTCCGTGCTTGTGAAGGAAGGCTTCCATGGCATGGACAAACTCGGAAGCCCCAAACTTGGTCTGTAGATCATCGAGGCTGACATTTGTGTAGGACAGTGTTTTGGGTATGAAGCAAGTAGATTCCCCATATTCAAGCTGAGATATTGTGGTAATGTTGTCTTTGCTATTAGCATTGTCATCATTGTCATCATGGTAGTGATTGTTAAGGGTGGTAGTGGGGTTTATGTGACTGATATACTCACGGTCATTGCCAGCGTGAGAATCAATGCTACCATCAATGTCCATGTCGACCTCTTCCCCGTCAACCTCATCCTCCCTCTCTGGCTCAGTGTACTCATCGATAGCATACTGCAAAAACCTCTGAAACTTCTCAACTGCCTCACACCTCCTCATCCATGCTGTCATCTGTTTCACATACCCTTTCTTGTTCAATGCATTGTAGGCGATCTTTACATAATCAATGTGCAGACGTTCTGAAGCTTCCATGTTATAGCCACCTGCTGAGCCATGTGAGTGTATCATTGAAGCATAGTGGTACATGGAATGAATTTTCGGAATATTGAAGTGGTCACGTATCCCCTGGTCAATGAAGATCTCCTTGTGCTTGTGAAAGGTGTGCCATGAATCTTCCAGTTTCTTCAATGACTCAGTTGTATGCTCTTCATAGTGTGCAAAGTATATGAAGTCGAGCACTGCTCTAATGCATTTCATCACTTCTTCATCCACACATCCAGCCATAATGGACAGAAAAACTTTCTCCATATTCTTGTACTCGTTACCTGTCCACTGTGAAATTAACGATATGCCTTTCTTGAAATGTCGAAGACTCGGATGTCGTGTCATAGCTTGGAAGCGGCAATCCACTTCGGCCTTTTGCAATCCATCTATTTGATGCTCAGGTCCATCAACGTTCACCACAGTGGTTGCCCACTTGATGACATGGTCTTTGAAGACCCCTTTGTGTAGTTGGTGGAGGATATCAGGAGTGAAGCATTGGAATATGTTACAATGGGGTAAGTCAACCCAAAACGGATTGACTGGTTGCAGGCCCCAGTCTGTAAATTCTTGTGGTTCCAGCCCAGCTGATGCCTGCTTCAGAACCTCGACTGTTTCCTTTGGATCGCGCATGAGTGAATACACAGGATCTCCAAGTTCGCCAGCTTTTTCTTTGCATTTCGGGCAGCGATTCTCCATTGAGCATCCAATCAAGCACTGCTCCGGGTAATCTGCTCCATATGCGGCCAAAATCGGATAGATGAGTCTGGTCTGACCATCAGTGCACAACATCTCTACTCCATTCTTTCCAGCCTCGATTAATGGTGCAAGAAGCGAGCGCATACAAGTATGAAACAGCTGGTAGGACTCAACCGAGCGCTGTTTTTTCGAGAAACACTCTAGTTTACTGACGGGTAGGTACCCTATCAGCACGGTTGCATGTTCTGAAGGCTTTCGTCTAATGTCCTTGTCAATATTCCCAATTGTTAGATACACCGGCCATGTGGACTTGTCACCGCTGAAGTGGGAAAGCTGTGTTTTATCAGAGGCGAGAATCACTGGAGCAATGGTTACACCTTTCGGTAAGAGTTTCTGCTCACATCGTGAGTATCCCTTCTAATATGAACACATTGCGAATACATACCTGGATTTGCCACCACCAGTCGGCTGTTGCCATCTCACTGTATACCCTTGATGTGCCCATCTCATCAGTGTAGACACGTTCAGGTGCGTAACGCATGTGTTCCTTGAACTGAGCATCACCCATAAGTTCCCGGATACAGGCAACTGGATCATGCTTCCAAAGCTCAATCTCCTCTGTCTGTGGCATTCCCTCATTATTGAGCAGGTCCCCATGAATCTTGAAGACTTCACATGTCCATTCAGGACCAGTTGGCAGCTTATCAATGGTTTGAAACAGCTTTCTCTTATTACCAAAGCTCGGATTGACATTATTTTTGATCTAGAAACCATTTATAAGTTTTGCTCATGTGAACAGATACTCAAGAGCCAAGGTACACACACTTTCCAACTTCAAAAATGAGTCAATCTCCTTCTGACTGATACTAGAGCACATTAGCCATCGAGCAAGTTCCCACTCATCCCTAGAACTGAAAGGTGCCCACATCGCCTCACCATTCTCGACCTTCTGATGCCGAAAAAGCTCGAAAAATGGAGGTAATTTTCCACGCTCAACAATCGGATCACCGGCCAGCCAAGGAAAGTCCTGAATGAAATGTTCTTGTGGTCCCACAATATCATCTTCATCCTCGACATCCTTGACATGAGTCTTCTTTGGTGGTGGAGCCACCGGAGAATTATCAGCACTTGTATCTGGAAATGCATGAAGCTCTCCAGGGTTAGGTATGGGTCCGAAATCGGAGGATGGCTTGGAGGTGGAGGGTGGAATATCAAATGTCTGGGCCATTGCGTCAGGGGAGATAGGGCATTTCTGTTTAGAAGTTTTGATGGTTCTTGTCACTCTCTCATTGAGCTGAGAGCTGCAGCTAGTTTGGGAATAGTGGCTCTCCAAGCCAGGTTTTGAGTTTGTTTGACACCCGCAGATTTGGCATTTGAAGACAGAGTGGACCATTGCAACAGGTCTGGCAGTGAAGGATAGAAGTACGGTGCTATGGCAGAGTCAGAGTAAGTGGCTCAAATCACATTATCACAAATGTTTATTGTTTTGTGTATTTCCAATCTTTTCTAGCTCTCCTTCATACCACCACCTTCCTACTAGTATCAAAACCTGTTCTACAATGAAATATGGCTCGTCAAACAGCCACAACTGACATCTGCAGCTCAGATGTTCCTAGCAAGCGAACAAGCAGGCCCAGCAAGAAGCAGACCAAACTCAGTACGTGCCTTTACCACTGTACTTTAGTGTATACATGACTGCTCACTCTTCCAGACCAGAATGTGTCGATTGTGGAGAACAAGAAGCTTCAAGCAGCGATTGAGAAACTTCAAAAGCAAAACCTCGAACTTCAGAAAAAACAAGTTCTCCAGGATAAAGCTAATCGTGCGTGTCGCTCAGTATCCCTGATAGCTACTGACATTTTTATAGGGCTGCTTCGAGAAAACTACGCAGATGAATACTCTCGTGCTCACAACGGCTGCCAGCTATCAGACCTGGAAAGCGAAGATGATGATACTCCGAGTGGCAGATTGAGTTTTTCATCTTCAGTGAGCATTATTCCTATCCAGTTATTGCAAACTTAATCATTACCAAAGATTCAGTCAAAGGGATTGATCTCTACTCCACCCAGAAAACTTCGCAAGGCTGGGCAGCCTCGTATCCCTGCCTCACCACCATCTCCTGAGTTGCAGATGATGGAAATCCCCCATATCGACTTCAGGTCAAGCTCTTTCCATCGCATCTGCAACCAGAAATCCTCTCCACTTCCCGGTGACTCAGATTCTCTTTCTGAGGTGAACAACCACTTCATGACCAACCCGACTCCTCTGCAGACTGCCACTGTTCAGCACAGTGAACCAGAAAGAGATCCAAATTCATCAGCATCTGACAATCCAGTACAAGTAGCAGGAAGCAAGCATGCTCGCAGCCCTCAGGCTCCTACTTCCGAGTCTGATACCCCTTCTAATGCAAAGAAGGCTCGCATTGCAAAGGTCGCCGCAGGTTCAAAAGGTGTCAATCAATGTGATTATGATGGTAAAGCATGTCAGATCCTTCATAAAGTCTGTAAAGACTGGGAGTGATGCATTTACACTGTCAATGGGTATCCAGATACTGAGGTTGAACGTACATGGCTGCAGGAGTTGTCGGATGAAGCTTGTGAGGAATTCGGAGAGGTTTATGAGCTCACTAGGGGTATGCGAACCATGGTAATCATTTCTCCGATCTGAGGTTGAGCAAGTCTGATATTGCCACCTAGATTAAGTGACGATCAGCACATGTCCGAGGAGCCATGAAGTCGGATATGAAAGCTTTGGTTGTGGCGACTTACAGCTTTGCCATTTCCACCAAGAAAGTGACGATTGAGCAAAACAAAAAGAAGTATGTCATGTTAGCGACATGCGGTGCATTTACCTGCAAGGTATGTGTGAATTTGTATTCTTATCCAGCTGACTTCATTGCTCCACAGGAGCCTAAGGCCCTTCGACGCAGGTTCAAAAACAGGATTATCCCAATGGTGATCACTGAACACTTCTTTGGTCACAGTAAGGCACCTGGGATTATCTGGGAGGATGATTTTGCTGATGTGAAAGTGGAGACACTTGCTCTTGTCATGACTATAGTAAGTTTTGGCTATCTCCAACTAGCTATTATTGTTCATTCTCTCATTAGTTAGAGCACTGCATTGAGGAATGGGCAGATGGCACCTTCAAGGCACAGAAGCTCAATGACATAACCCAAACTCCTCAGTACCTCACTCATCTGAAAGACGTCAAGGCATGGTGTTCAGGGGATGCTACGGTTACCGGAAACATCTGTCGACTCTGGGCCATGAAAGGAAGGTGGGTTTTTTGGGCCTTTTCATAGAATGTGTTCTAACTAAACGTCTTGCTCCTTAGAACACATGCAGATGTGCAGCCAAAGCAGATCAGTGATGGGTTTATTGATGATGCTGAGAAGGAGCGACTTGTTGCTGATCTACAAGGTCGGACCGGTGAGACTGACAGTGAAGCTGAGGCCGATGACGAGGAGGAAGGTGATATTGTGAAGAGTGAAGAGTAGATTTGTTTCAATTGTACAGCTGTTCTAATATACAGACATTTTTACTGCATTTTGGCACCGTGTATTTGAATAGTGATTACTGTATACTAAGATACATGACATTCAGAGTCATGTATGTACAGGTATAGTACTGCTACATAGTCTCTGTATGCAAGCTACAGGTGTGCTACATAGCGCTACATAGCACTCGCAGGAATGTTACGGATGTTATGTTAAGGGGTACCTGACTATGGGGCTATGGGAGCTATGTATAGGTGATACCTATATGTAGCTTAGTGAATTTTTCCTGATGGTGTACATCGGTTTGTAAACTAAGCAAGCCCAATAAGCGTGTCCATCAACTATGAAGAAGTCCATGGTAATGATAGTCCAAATAGTCCAAATGAAAGCTAAGAATACTGTCCAGGGAGGGTGCTAAAAAAACACGAAAGCTCTGTCAATTCGATGAGAGTGACCTGTAAGCTGAAGAGAAACCACTATGAGAAGAAAGAGACATACCTGGTGATTCAGAGAGAGCGATAAGCATTCCCACTGAGACTTCCAGGTAGATATAGCTCAGAAGAAATGAGAGACACAGTGTAACCATGCTGTGGATTACTACTACGATGCATATATACACATGTTTGCCTAGACCATTAGATATGTCTATGGACGCTATGCAATCCGCTTAGACTAACCTTACCTTTGTTCTTCTATGTCCTTCATGCAATAGAGTTGTTGCCTATTCTATTGCGTGTTGCTCAGTGTTCCCGACACTGGTTGGGTTCCACTTTTTTTTGAATATCTTAGCGACTCTATTCTTTTCTACCTAGGTGATACCTCGAGACCAACTTCAGTGTTGTACACCAAATTCTGACTTAACGTTGTATGCTGAATTCTGACTTAATGTTGCCCACGTAACACCGAACGGATACCCAATACCCAGAAAAGTTCCCCAACCCCAAGTGAAACCCTGACTTCCCCAACCATACCTGATCCCATGACTTCTTTACTAGTTCCTTCGACGTCAAAAGGTGGGAATATAACCCCAACCAAGCGACGAAAACGATGGTTCCAACCTTGTTCCTCTACCCCCACAACTCTTTCCAAACTGCCTCCAGCTCTCAGATCCCTTCCCCATTGAAACCCCCCCATGCAGGACAGCGCCATTGTCCTGCCTGACTGTACCTCTTCGCTACCCTCGTTGACACCCTCTGACTCTCCCGACTCGGCAGAGGAAGTCATATCCACAGGGGACCTGCAGGAAGCAGCTCCACCGATTCCCCACATCGATTTCTCAACTCTTGGCCAAAGGCGGGTTACACACCACACATCTCTGCCTTCCTTACGGACACATACAACCACCTTTAGGGAGCATGCTCTTTCCTGAGAAGCACCGGTGACCTCTGTCTCGACGACACCAGGACCATCCCTTGATCCACCCCACTCTTCAAACAACGCTCTCTCTGATGCAACCTCGTCGCTTCTGTTAGTTGTGACGCATATACCCGCTGATGTGCTCGGTAACGGGCAGCGCGCAAATGAAACAAGCGTCTAGATCATCAATCTAGATACTAAATCACACACACACACACTATCACCAATGTATATAAGTTTGAGGGTGAGTACGATAGAAGCACTCGCGATGTACTTAGATTTAGATAATCTAGTGGGGTTTTGTCTGAAAACAACTTCAATTCTTCTTTCGATGTGTTTTACACAAAGTACACTAGTCCGCAATAGCGGGGTTTTATGAACTTGTTTTGCAAGGTATAGTCGAGCAAGTTATACTCATTTTGACGTCGTCTAGAAGAGCTTCTAGCGGACACTTCAAATAATCAAACAACCAAAGACTCCGAGGTCTACAAAGAGTGCGAAATCACTCTACAAAGAATGCACAGGTTCTGACTTCAAGTACGAGACTTGCAAAGAATACACAGACTCTGGAGTTCCTTGAACTCGACGATTGTTTGAACTTAAAGCGTTCTAGGGCTTATTTTACTTCAACTAGATGAGGTCTTTTGACTTAAAGTTGACTCAGCACATCTAGATCGTTAATCTCGGAGAGAGAGAGCATGAGGCCTTTGTCCATGGAGCAGTTCAATTAACTAGCAAGGCGCAAATGTGGGGACGGCTCTACTTCCTACTTAACTCTTCTAGATTACTGTAGTCACCCTTATGGGTTGACTTTGGTAACTTAATTCACTTCAGTCGAGGATATGCAATAAAACCAGTGATTGATTAGGTAGCTATACAGGCTACTAGCACAAACACGGGGGAATGCTTTCCTGCCGTTATGCATCTAGTCGCTGCTAATTTATACGATTTGTGTTCTAGGTATAGGAGCCTGTATCTACAGTAATTATGGTACGAGCTTTGGAATTAATACAAATGGTGAGTCACTATCCTACAAGTATCACGCCATTCTGTAGTTTCTATTCAGTTCGACGCGACTGCACCGGGTTATTCTGTCACCGAGGAGTGCCCTACTAGTCCGTGGGTGCTCCTTCTTCCATCTGCAAGGCTTGCCGCATGCCGTATGTATGGAATACTGCGGTATGCGCAGGATCTTGAGGATGTAACCACTGATCGTGATCGACTGCAGGTCCGAGATTATATTCTGTTGATCACTGCGCAATCAAGGTCGGTCATCTCGGTACCCAGCGCGGCTATTCATTCTTCCAAGGTTATTCCTTTCCTAGCCTGAGTTGATCTCAAAAGCTGATCTGTTTCTCGACTTAGCAATTTTTCTTGACAGGTTCTTTCTACTCGTTGAGGTGACGAGGCATCTAGTTCATTCCATTCTTCAACTTCTTGGTTTTTATACTCCATACAGACGAGTCCCCGAGATTTGACTGTAATAGTCTTGTTTAGGTGGGGCTTAGCTTGGCGTGTTGATGGCTGGTAGAATTGACTCTTCGAGACGTCGTTTCTAAGTCCATTCTGTACTGCCGTGCTTTCATTCTTTATGTAGTATTTAGCTACCAGCGCAAAGCCTCCACTGTAGCTCTCTGTACCGCTTGTAGATTGCATAAACTGATGTAAAATCGCAAAATCTATGGGTAGCCTGATACCAGGCATATCACCGCTTCACTGAACAGCTTTACACCTGGTGCACAGGCAGTGGCTTCATCTTGTAGTAACAGCCCTGCAGCTGAGTCCAGCTCATCCATGAGCTCTTCATCTTCAAACTCCTCTGCAAGTGCGGCTTCACACATCCGAGCTAACTCATCCAGTTCTAACTCATCTTCGAGCGCAACATCCTTCAACAAAGAAGAAGACGACTTTGCAGATCTGCCTGACCTTCTCCCCATAACCGACAACGATGATGATGACGACTTGTCTTCCAGCTCCTCATCTTCATCTTCCAGCTCTGCCTCTGCTCCAGCCAGTCACAACCCTCAATTGGACTCTGAAGATGATGCGAGCAATGCCTCAGTTGTAGACTCCAGCTCATTGTGCAGCTCAGACTCTGATTTCATACCAGCACCGAAACGTAAACCTGCATTTGTACCTGCTTCTTCTGCAAATCGCCATACCATGTCTGCTATTGCTGTTGTCGAACAAAATTCTTGCACAGACGCTCCCATTCTTCACCCTGGCTATTACACAATCGACATCTTTAATGAATTCAATGAAGCTTTCGAATCTTTCTTCCTGTATAAGAAGATAAAGCCTGAGGTGCATGTCCTGATGGCATTCTCTGCACTCTGTGGACCTGCAATGAAGTCGTGGATTCGCCTGATCTCTGCCTGCGAAACAGATCCGGTGGCTAATTGGACCTGGGACCATTTCATGGCCCAGCTCAAGGCAAAATGGCTCTCGGATAATTGGTTCTTCCAAGTGAAGAAAACTCACAATGCCACCCAAGGGAAGAGGCCTTGGTTTGAGTTCCAGTTGACTGTGCGTAGTGCCAATGAGAATCTGATTGGGATGCCAAGCTACCTTGATGATGAGGACATGAGGTTACATTTGGAGGAGCGCATGTCCGAAGATTTGGCTGAAGAGTACCTCAAGGCGAATAGACAAGGGTGGTTGGATAGCATCACGGATCTTGATAAATGGGTGGATGAGGTTTGCATTCTCGATGATGATATCAAGAGGGAGGCGTCTTGGGGCAAGCAATTGTTTAAAATGCTTATGGCTGAATCCAACACCCAGGCTGCTCCCATGGGCCCTAGTGAAAAACGTTAACGGGTTCCTCGGACCCAGAACACCGGTACTTCTTCCATGATGACCAACACCACCATGGAGGTGGCAACGTCTTCGACAAACCAAGCTCCATCAACTGCGAGTTCCTCTGCCACCAAGGGCCAGGGATGCACTCAACCGCCAAAGTTGATGGAGGGAGAGAAGGACTTGCTAGCTAAGCACTTGGGATGTTTCCTGTGCTGCACATTCTACACTGATCACATTGCTTCTGATTGCAAAGCTGGTGCACCTGATGTGCAAACCTACCGTACACTGACTGAAGCAGATGCTATTGAGGTGAGGAAGGCATATGAGGAGAGAAAGTCATCTCTGATGGCCGGTATCGAACTCCACTACCCACCTTCTGCTCTCGAGGATGATGATCACATGGTCAGTAACTCCTCAGATGTCTCCAATGACAATGAGTATGTTTCTTCTTCCATCGAGCAGATGCTTACAAGCCTGCATCTCTGGATGGAGGGTTTCATTACCTCTCCTATGCTTTCATCTCCTCTCCCTGTTCATGCTCTTGTTGACCATGGATCACCCACAGTTTTGATTAGGCCGGACCTCGTTGCCCGCTGAAGAGGCTGGCTGTGGGCACCTGTGGAATAGTGAGCGGGCTAAAAGGCAAACCTCAAAAACCCACACACACACTCACACAACTACACAAACTACAATCACCCTCATAAGTTCTAGGGGGAGTGATTATTTCTAATGCGATCCAACTATACTTCAATATCTCGAAGAGTTTCTCTTATTTTCAGCGCTCTTAGCGAAGCTAAGCTTTCTCTAATGAATTCCTAAGTCTAGGAACTTTTTACAGGAAGGTCGTTCACTGGCGTGACGCAACCTTCAAGGCAGATTTGAGTTATAATACTCAAGGGACACTGATCCCAACAGAAACAGAGGCAATACACGCCAAAACTTTAGTGAGCTCGCTAAAAGAACACCACAGGCAAGCACTGACTTAGCCCGCTCACTACACAACTGTATGTAGGGGTTCTCCAACTAACTCCAGCAGGTTATCTCGACTCAAGAACACTTCAGAAGCACTCGGAAAACAGATTCAGAAATGGAACTTCGAACAGAACTGACATGGAACAGACTGACACAGAACAGAACAGATCTCAGATTTCCACTTCAACACATTCTCCGAACAGACTTATCACACTTAACAGAACAGAAACAGCATCACTGATTCATATTCACTCTGACTAAGTTCTCAAAAGTCTTATCAAAAGGGTATCTCATATTTCTCTGAGTGAGCTCGCTAATTCTATGCACAGCTCGAAGTCACAAACTGATCCTTTGTTACAGTACCGCCTTCAATGCGTGCACGGGAACTCGGGGGCTCGAAACTTGGCCTCTACCTACTGTAACCAGCCTACTTATACTACAGGGGAATTAGAATTACAAACGTCATGCAGTACCCAGACTCCTACATGCATAGCACGTTGCCACCGCTGCCTTACTGAGCATCCGAGTTGGACTTCCCAGTTTTAGTCTCATTTCTATAGTGAGCTCACTAAATGCATGCCAAGAGGTGCTCTCCTGACACCCGCGGGCTTGTTCTCTAGCGACCGACAGGTCTAGGCACACGGAACTATCAGTTCTGGCATATGTTGTTCAAGACTTCTTTCTTGGATTCACAGAGGCTTCTCGTAGACATGGCAACAAGTGAGTCTTCGAACAATGGGACTCAGAACAATGGAACGTGGGCTCGTGGACTTCAGCCAAAGCCCATTGCCCAAGCTCGTGCCAGTGATATCTGTCATCTCACTTAAGGATTTCCCCGGATTTTCAGGTACGACGCGTCACAGTTAGCGAGCGCACTAAGTATTCTCAGTGTCACTGCAATCTTCAAAGTTCTATCTAGCTCCCACGAGTGTGCTTGTAAGTTAGAGCCTAAGGCATTGGGTATAGGGTTTGGCCTTCTCATCATGCATGCCTGTCAGGTACAGTGCCGTGACTAAGTCCTGTTTAGAATCCCGTTGCTTCTTATGCCATAAGTTATATTCCATATCATTGCACCACGTAGCATTAGTGTTGACGCATAGTTTTAGTCCACTCACTCACTATATCTCAGTATGCGTGTAAAACACTTTAGATTGCAAAATTACATGTGTAAATAGGCTGCAGTCGCAACACCGCCTTGGCCTCCATATTCGCAAGTTACACAGAACACTTCCGCTGTCTTCAATAATTGGCTCAGAAAAAGCAGAACCATTAGATCACTGCGTCAGATTTCACATCACCTCATCAGATAAATCATGGACTTCCTGTAAAATCCTCGCTGTACTCTGCCCTTCTTTACACTGTGACATCCTCCTCGGAGGACCGTTGATAAGCCTTAACTTCTGTGGCAACAGCAAAAACCAAAACTCTAGAGGAGTTCACGGCAAATGGCGTGTAGCGGCAATAAAGGCTTTGTTGTTGTGCGAGTGTTTCAGTGCACCTCCATGCGATGAATTCCTCAAGAACGCAAGTATACTCTGCGACTTTTCAGTCAGCGAAGTAGTACCCTTAACGATCGAGTACTAGAAAACATTGGCTGTAAGCCGGGAAGGGTCTCGATAGATGAGAAGGAACAGAATCTGGTATAACTGGGAATACTGGCAAACCATGAATGAAGTGACAGCAATTTAACTAGTAAAAGCCATGGGCGATGTTGATGGAATTAGAGAAAATGCTGTCAAAGAGAAATACCATTTGGCAAGATAACAAATACTGTGACGGCAATAAACGAAGACTGTAGTTGAGAAACGAGAAACTGGCGGTAAAACAAAGATAAGATGAACTGGCGATGATATGAGGGGGAACTAGTGATGGCAAAACAATGGCTGGGACTGGGCTGGGCTGATACTGAAACTATACTGAGGTTAACAATGGCAAAACGAAACTGATACTAATCCTGAGTCTACACGGAGACTATCCTATACTGAAACTGACGGCAAGATACCAAATACCGTGACTGATGATCCTATACTGAAGCTGTTGACCGAAATTCCACGACAGATGCTACTGGCGGCAATAACGATCCTAATCTGAGTCCACACAGGGACGTAACAATCCTGAACTGAGCTGGGTAAAACGATGGCAATGTAGAAGGTGAAAACTGATGAAAACGATCCTGGCTGGTGAAAGTGAAATGATGCTGGCGGATTAAAAGATAAAAGCGAGTTGTGGACACGAAATTCCATGTATTGGTGCAATATGAGCATACACCAATACCGTTAGAAGAAAAGCCATGACAGAGAGTATAACTCGGAGTGACTATGCTGTTATTGTCTGTCTCCTAGTGAGTACAAGTGGTGATGGTGGTCGATAACATGTGCGATAACTAGTGTCCGGTAACTTCTGTCTCGCAACTCCCTATTTTCCGTGGTGTATACTAGCTTTTATACTACAAGTCCAGAATAAATTTAGAATACTTGAAGCGAGTCCTTAGTAAGTCCGTAGTACATAGATTGGTAAGAAATGATACCAAACACATGTTCCCAAGGTTCTAAAGTAACAGCACCCTCACAGTTTTACTGTGTACTGTGGTTCAAAAGTAACAGCACCCATATGGCTTTTACCGCATATAGATGAAGTGATTAGCAAGAATGCCACCGATCTCTGGAATTTTGAGCTGCTGTGTTGCTGCGGCAAAGTACATTGAAGCAAGTGTACTGAAGTAGATGCTTGCGGCAATCTCTTGGTGGTATAACAGCCTTAGTAAAGACTGAGGAAAGGTCACAGCATTGGAGCTAATGCCACGGAATTGCTATTTGAGCTGCGGAATTGTGGCTGTGCTGCGGAATTGCGGCTGTGCTAGGCAATCAGATGGGATTCTAAATCTGTGAGATCAACAATCAGGTGCCTGGCGGAATTAATGAAAGAAGACTGGCAGAATTAATGAAAGGGGCATGTAATTGATGTGGGGTACAAGTGGGGAAGGATAATTGGCGGCATTAAGCAATATTGCCGGGATTGAAATAGTATGTTGGTGTGGTGGCTGGGGAATTAGCTATCTGGTAAAATCCGCGAATTCTGAGCATACAGAGCCTGGAGGCTCATCACCGTTTTTATATCAAAATAGCATCATTGTTGATCACAGCAACCGTTCCGTGTTCCCTGAGGGATCTTCAACAAACTTGCTCAACACGCCAACAAATGCTCCATCTTGTCACTCCCCTGCCCAACCTCCACCTCATGCCCTATGGGATGTGGAAGAAGCTGCGATGGCAGAACAAAAATGTTTAAACTCTGAGATTCGATCGATAAGAAAGACTCTGCGAATTACATGGGCTGACCTACTCAATGAGCTGAACACGTATTTTCAAATGACTGGTCTGACTGAATGAATGTCTGCATGGACTACTGAATGTGATCTTCCTTGCTGAGTGGCAGCAATGAGAGCATGCATTGATTCCCTGGCTGAGATGGAGAAACTGGTGACATTGGATTCCAAAGTGAAGTCTAAATTCTTGGCCTTGTTCCCATTGGAGCTACTGCATATCACACAATTGCCTACCAACATCTATCATAGAATACTCCTGCGACCTCACAGAAAGATCTCAGTCTCATGACCTTACTCATGCCCAAGGAAGTACCAAGAAGCTTGGAAAACACTTATTGAACAGCACAGGAAGGTGGGTAGGATCCGACTGTCGTCTTTGGAATATGCGTCACCCTCCTTCATCATCCCCAAGGCTGATCCCACTGTCCTACCAAGATGGGTGAATGACTTCAGGCTAATTAACGTGGTCACAGTGCCCGACAATTACCCTATGTCCTTGGTATCGGATATCTTGGCTCACTGCATGCGAGGTTGATTCTGGGGAAAGATCGATATGACTAACTCCTTCTTTCAGATGCTGGTGCATCTGGACGACATCAAATATACGGCCACTCTGACCCCGTTTGGGCTCTGGGAGTGGGTCATAATGCCAATGGGCCTTCGTAATTCCCTGGCAACGCACCAACAAAGAGTAATGCTGGCACTCCAACCGCTTATTGGAAAAATCTGTCATGTGTATCTTGATGATATTATCATCTGGTCTCAAACGTTAGACAAGCATGCACGCAATGTCGAAATGGTACTAAACACACTCAAATCTGCAAGTCTTTTCTGTTCCCCAAAGAAAATGTCACTCTTCCTGACTGAGGTGGATTTCTTGGGTCACCATATTTCATGGAGAGGTGTCGAGCCTGACCCTTCCACGATCGTTAAAATCTCAAATTGGCCAATTCCCCGTTCTGCAAAACATGTTCAACAGTTCCTGGGACTTGTGCGATACATAGCAGATTTCCTCCCAAAGTTGGCAGAGTACACGTCCATGCTGATGCTGTTGATGATGAAACACTGTGACAAACTTTTTCCCAAGTGGGAGCATACCCATCAAGCTGCTTTTGAGAAGATTAAGAAGCTTGTCTTAGGTGCAGACTGCCTCACGGTGATTGACCATGAAAACCCTGGGAAAAACAAGATTTTCGTAACGTGTGATGCGAGCAAATGTTGTACTGGGGCAGTCCTCAGTTTTGGAAAGACTTGGGAGACTGCGAGACTGGTAG